ACATTGCAATGTCTTCGGTCAGGCTACATGTTCATTTTTTTCTTTATTTTGCATTGACCTTTACTATACGGTAGAACCATCGGCAATTCCATTCTTTAAAAATGTTCGCTAAAATGATTGTTAACGTTCTGCCTCTTTTGTGTCACGGAAGCATCCGCGTTTTAGTTATTTGCTGTACAATAAAATTGTTTTCCCGAATGAGTGTGTTCTTTGCTTAATTGCTTTAAAATTCTGGCCATAAAATGGCTCTCGTTCTTCTTCCCGATTCATTTTTTTTTTCACACATGCGTAAGTGGACAAACCAGTTCCCGTGCATTCCCCCCCTCACACCTTTTTTTTTTCCTTTTTGCCACTAGATTTCCCGTTACTGCTTTTGTATGGGCCTTAATTCTTAGTCGAGATTAGTGGTAGGAAGGCATTCTTTCTGGTGCACACGCTCTAACTTTACTACAGTTTCGAAATTTCCTTTCCATCGCTGGTTAGCTCACCTCATGTGCTGCATTTCACTTTGTTTTAATTTTTTTCTATTAATTAGGCAAAACTTCCATATTCCCGGGCAACTTTCCATTTAACATGTAAAGACTTCCTTTCGAACAATTTGGCCTTGCCCTCCCCCCAAACAAAGAGTCCTGTCTACGTGCCTGATACTAACGATAAGTGTAGAATTGTGAAACCGACGTTGCAGTGTACTAGACGAGGAAAGTGGGCTTGCTCATCCACTTCTCTGACGCAGCTGGCGTTGAATTTGATAGGTGGCGCCACAGGCAACTTCACTTGCAGAAGCTGCTCGTCGTTAGTATCACGTAAGCGTTGTGATGTACGTTTCTGTAATATTTAAAATAAATTTGCTTTTATTGACTTTCCCGCGACTGTATTGCAAGCGTGTGTTGCTTTCGGTTCACCCTTTTTGCCCATTTTGCGATATATAGTTAGCTGAAAATCGCTTCGATGGCGGTCAACGCAACCTACACATTTTCTCTTTTTAGTGCGACGCAGTTAACGCTTTTGATTTTGACGCCTTTGAGTTCTTTGCATATTTTGACGAGCACTGTGCATTCGTTCTGGCCATATCACATTTGCACCAATACAGCGCATCCTAGAAAAGGATGACACATCTTTGAAAATGTACGGTTTCATGCCATGTAGACGTAACCTAATAAGATATTGTATCAAGATTATGACCTGCTTTCCACCACGGAATGAGAAAATATTGCATGCCCGCTACTTTTGCAAGCATAAACATGCAGGTATCCCGCTGGCTGGGTTTGTGCCTTAGCTATACTAAAATGAAATTGTAGCTTATGTATCTTTTGTTTCACTTTGGTTGTTGCACATCAGACAGTTGTTTTCAGGGGCCTATTAATAACCATTATTATGCAGTTGCACGGTTGCTGCGCATATATGCACAGCGTCATAATGGTAAACGAAATTAAGATACACAATTAAAACTCTTAACAATAAACTCTTATATTTGCAAAAACTGAAGCACAACATCCATTCGTTGCTTCGAACACTTTATTCTTTATGTGCAACGACTCAGCTTCAGCTGCTTGGCCCTCTGCCGCTTTTTCCTGATTTGTCGCTGTTCAGTCCTTTCACATAAAATCGAAGATGCGTTACAACGTAAACACGAATTGCTTTCGCTGTGAAGGTAGCAGCGTGCACACGACAACCAATTTCGAATGAAAGTATGCGTTGAACAACTGCAACCATGTCCATAACTCCATAACGCTGTCGGTGTGCAGCTTGTTCTGGCAGAAACATTCCGTGAAAATATTCTCGAGCTTTTTCACGAAGCCGCAAAACTGGCTAGAGGAATGAAGAAAACCACGAAAAAAAATTGACCCCGTATCTGCATGTAGTCTACAAGTGTCGTTGAAAGACGATAGTCTTGCGTGTGGAAAAAGTGAACAATTTATTTGATGTTCTGTGCACGAAAATCGGTGAATGATATTTTGGAGGCACTGCGTTTGAGTGCCTCGAGCTTGCAGCGGAGGTGAACGAGCGCATCAAGGCACGTCACACGTGAGACATGAGCACCACCTGGCAGTGTTCCTGGAAAACGAAGCGTGTGGCTCTGAGATGGGTGTGCGCGTCCACCTCAGAGGTGATAAGGTGTAGAACGCAAGGCGACGGGTAGGTGCCACCACCATCGCGTCTTAGCAAAGCGTTTGAAACACTCACCTTTCGTGCAAGCTTTGCATGGTCATCGCAACGTGAAAAGCGCTACGGTCCTTAAAATTACTTATGTATGCCTTTTTTAGTAAAAGATGTACATGCAGAGTATATACGTGTTGTTATGGTGGCCCAGACTTGCGCAATAATTGCTTATTATTGACAATTGCACAGGTATGAACGCTAAATCTTGAGGAACATTGTTGGGCGCTGCGGATGGAGTCAGCCGTTTCAAGTACCCGGTGACGTTAAGAGTAGACAAACAGACAAATGTACAGAGACATACATACATACATACATACATACATACATACATACATACATACATACAGACAGACAGACAGACAGACAGACAGACAGACAGACAGACAGACAGACAGACAGACAGACAGACAGACAGACAGACAGACCAAAATTTTTGCGTCGAAGGTCCCCAAGAAAAACTATCGTCTTTAAAAGAAGCGCATCAACATTGAGCAGAAGTGCTACAAAGGAATATAAAGTTACATAGCGTATCACTTGAGGGTACATTTGCTGAGCAGATATGCGAACTCTTTTTCCGTGAGATATATCAGTGCCTCACTGCCGCATGCTTCATACATTCGTTTAACATGGAAACGCTCTATCACTTCCCTGATTATCTGGGATGTGTGTTTCGACAAAATGTCTGTATCGGCAAAGACAGGTGAACAGCCACACGTGCTGCAGTGTGATGCGTGATGCGAAGCATTCGGATTCTTAAGCGAATTTCTGTGCTCTTTTAAGCGCACATTTATGCATCGACCATTCTGCCCCACGTATGACTATCCACATGTAATAGCAACATGACAAGCACAGAAGTGACTGCGGAATTAATAGAATTAATCATGTTTCCTGACCGAGACTACACTGTACCCAGACTGGCCGGCGGTTTCAGCTGCAACGCTCCTCCAATTTTCTACGGATGACGACGCCAGTGCCGCTACTCGGGTACAGTAACTTGGGTCATAGCCTCCTATATAACTTTATAGAGGAGGCTATGCTCGGGCGAAGAGCACAAATTGGCAACGTTTGTAGAGTGACCTAGATAAAGTACCCACCCCACATGCCATCTCATAGCCTCCGCCGGAGAGTGAGCCCATTGCCTTCTTCTGTAACTAATGTACTAGGATTGATAAAAAGGAATTCTTTCCTCCATGTACTCCATGGACGATGTGCCTAAATGCAACGTTTATAGAAATATCTATAAACGTTGCCTGAATGTGCCCCTATACCATTACATCTATATAGCCGTCAGCGCCAACATTTTGCGGCGGGCAGAATTGAATATCGCGGGAAAGATAAATTTTAGGACTCGCCATAGCCGTTGGTGCTCAGGTTTAAGAGGTCGAAGAACCATTTGTGGATCCCGCCTTGCTACGCAAATATAGCGCAGTGATGGTACCGAGTAAACGACGAAAGGAAAGTCCCCCTGAAGAAGAGCCCAATGACCCAGCGCAAAATAAAATCCCTATTCTACTGCCCCAAGGTGAGTGAAATGGCGGCAGTCATTGACCGAATCTTGACGAGCTATATATATGCAAGCAGTTTCCGAGTTCGGGATATGCACTGCTGATACTGAAGCATGTGTGTACAAATTTCTGACGTTTAAGCCCCAAAGAGCCAGTCTTGCAGCTTACCTTTAGGCTGAAGTTCGTTTCCTTCGGCGGCGATACGTTTGGTCGCCGTATCCACCCTTCGCATTGCGCGAAACCTAACTGGTAGCATCTTGTGTTTCAGATGAACGCCATCGCACGGTCAAGGTTGCTGTAGCTCTGGCAATAATACGTACGAAGCCAGACAACGTTTCGGCGGAAGATTACGTCATAGAGCTCGCGGAACAGCTGAGAAGCAACGAAGCCAAGATGTCTGATGTATGCCAATGCCTCGAAGATGATGTTCTCCAGTTGCAGCAGAAAGTAGCGCTGATGAGCATCAGAAGCAGCCTGCCGTCCAACCCATTCGGCAAGTTCCTTGTTGTAATGTAGTGCTCAGACAGAAATGGTAACGAGATCTGGGGCACAGCACGATCGAGTGTCGGCAGCATTTTGTCATGGGGTGCGCAAACACACTTGGCATCGTGGCTGGGGAAGGGACAAGCGCTCGTGTAGGTAGGGAGGGGGTGAGTTCAACACCCCCCCCCCCCCCCCCAAAAAAAAAAAATCCATTTTGCTGACGCACAATACACGTACGCACGAACATAAATTTCCGGCTACGCCCCTGGAGGAAAAGAGAGAGTGCCCTTGTTGCCCCCCCCCCCCCCTCCTACCGACGCTTAAAGACACTAAAGAGAAAAAAGTTCTCTGGTATTATTAAGTTATACTCTTGCACTGTATCGAAAAACACGCTCTCTGCTAGAAGGCTTGGCAAGTGAGAAAATGAGGGGGGGAGGCGGGGGCTGACAACACATCACGGTTCCCCCATCAGTTATCGCGACGACAGATTAGTAGGACCCAAATAGTTTCCAATTGGTAAAAATGGAGTGCATTTTCTTCTGAAAAAGCCAGAGACTACGCAAGTTTCAGAAAATTTTGTTGAGGCAATGCTGCGAAAATACCAAACACTTTGGAATATGTTAAGTCTTAATGGAAGACTTCAGCAAGAAATTTAAGTGAAACTTTCAAGATTTTTCATTGATTAATATACCTGTGATGTTCAAACTGACAACCAATAATAATAATAATGTCTAATCTGTTCAACTTGGGTGCACCTTTAACCACACTAAACGATACAATCACTTATGCTTGAACAGCGTGTATGCATGTTCACACAAACCGAGCTTGAAATATTGTTTCTATGCAGCTTACTGTCGTGAACCAACGTACGAACCCACGGAGAAGCTTTCGATCACTGCAGAACGCATCGCTCAGCACTGGGCATTTTTGCAGAATTACCTGTCGGTAACATCCAACGCAGCTCTTCTGAAACGGGCTGTCAAAGGCACCGACGCTGAAGAACTGACACTACGTTCAGCAAACAACCTCTTACGGACGTTACGCAAGAGCGCGCCGATCAGTGGCACCGAAATGGAGCTGTGTCACAAGGCACTGTCTACTTTATCGGATATGTGCAATGATAGGCGTAACACACTAACTCCTTCTCTTCAAGCAGCTGTGGTGGATTTCATTGCAGACTGCCTCAACGAAATCGCAGAACGGCGGGAAGAACGAGTCGATGTAAGTATTTTTGAGATACTTTGTTACAAACAAGGTACATATTTTGAGAGGGATCACATAAGAATGCGTTGTATGCTTTGTATATCGAACAGCCCCTCGTGATGTTGCAGGTTTGGACATCTCGGGTATACTGGATTCATTTCCTTACTTAAAGGTTATTCTGCTGCCCATTATTGAAGCAGATCAAACACTTTGCAGTAATCAACAGTGGAGAAAGCTGCGTATTCTTGCACTAATAGTTCATCTTTGGTGGCTCAACATAGACATGCTCCAATGACATATATTGACGTAGGTGTAAAGGTTGGGAATTGTCGAGAATATTTTTATTGCAATGCTTCAGCTGAGCACACTGAACAGTATAATTCCTCAGTGCATGACGAATCTTTGACGTTTCATCAATAGTTTGTCAGTAACAGCGCTGCTAAATGGTGTCCCTAACTATTTTAGACCAGAGTTTGGAAAAGAAATCCACGAGGCATTGCAGAGAGGACTAAAGTTAGGAGAAAACTGGGTATTCTTTGCAATGAATCATGCACTTGCACCCCACATGATCAGTTTTACAGAATCAAAACAGTATTATTCAAGTCTGAAAAAGTAACAGACAGCATGCACTTGCACTCCACATGATCCATTTTACAGAATCAAAACAGTATTATTCAAGTCTGAAAAAGTAACAGACAATATCAAAGTTCATAACAGCTCACCAATTAAATTCTGTCACACAATTTGCTTCACAGATTTTAGTAACAAAGTTTCCAAAGAGCGTATTCCTTGGAACACGCTGCATGATAACAAACCAGCTATCCAATGCTGAATTAAGCAAAGTCATTTTCTTAAAGGGGCCCTGAAACACTTTTTTGTGTAACCATGGAATTAATATGAAAATACCCTAGCGCACAAGGTAGAAGGAAAAGCACTTGACAGGAAAGACACTTCTGTGTGCTCATATATTTCTACATTATGTCGTACCAACTGGCTCAGCATTTTACTTTATTGAACCATGGAATTAATATACTGGAAAAGCGTATTACCTCACAAATTGAACGCCGCAAAAATTTTAGGAATCCGTCCAGTACAAGCGTAGTTGCAAAGATTTGTCACACGCTGCAATCACATTCTCTCGTTCTGACGAAAGCACTGGAAGCTGAGCAGGGAGGGATGAGAGAGGCAAACAAAAGCCATCATTCTCGCCTTGTGACCTTCAGCATTTTTCTTTTTTTCTTTGATTACGCGACTTTTCAGTGCGATCTCACGTGCACGCGTGGACAAGTGATGGCCTTTTGCGGTAACCTCTGTAACAATCGAGTGCGCCATGTTCAAATCGGCCAATGGTTGATAGATAGGTCTACTGGGCTTATTTTCCGCGATTTGTGGAGAGAAGAGAAAGCCATTTTTAGCTGACTGATAATTTATTGAGATTCCAGGCCCCATGCTGCACTATAATATTTGGCTCGAGTGTTGTCGGGAGCCTCTACTACCGATCGGCAGCATTTTCTGACCATGCTCAAGAAGTGTTGCAGGGCCCCTTTAGCACACACATGATGAACATTTGAAAGGACTACCAGCCTCTAGTTTCAAGTTTGTTTTCCAATTCAGTACAGGCGCCAGGAAAACATTGCAAGCTGGGTGGGAAGCCTTGCCCGTGGCCAAGTCTTCACACTTCCCATCGTCAGGCACCTTCTCGACAAGCTGCTTCAGTTTGACAGTTTCATCGACACACTCCAGGAAGACCAGAAAGCCCTAGAGATAGACCACTTTGATCGCTCCTTCTGTCTGCTACAGTGCACTCAAAATGCTGTTGCGTCGCTTAAAGAAGTTTCGCCTCTAGTTCGCTGCGAGCTTTCTGATGTGGGAAAAGCTCTGGTGGCCTTTTGCAACAAATGCCGGCACACACACCCACTGTTTGCACGTTACCTCTACGACATTCTAAAAGTGCTGAAAGATAGGATAACTCCTCGCAAGAGCAATAAGCCACCAGCGAGGAAATTGTACACGTATCTAACAAGAAATGTGCACTAGTTAACGTGGCTACCAACAGCAATGTTACACTATACAATTTCAACATTTCCCAAGCATGTTGCAATCTGAAATGCGATCTCGGTGACTAAAAAAGACACGACACGAGAAGTGTATAATAAATTAGATTTATTCAACCATACCTCACTCTCATGAAATGCATATATACATGTAACAGTCTAGTCAATTATGTACTCTGTCTGCATGCCTTGTGCAGAGAATAAAAAAAAAAAGAGAATAGAACAATTCTGCTTTTTTTGGTTACTCTAGCGCATGACGCCGACCTTGACAAAGCCAAGCACTCCCGCGAATTGAGCCTGGAATGCAAACATGTCAACTGCATAAAACCACAAACGTACTTTAACTAAATAACTATGGCTTGAGAAATAGTAGTGAAAACATTTATTCTAGGCTAGTGTTGCCAGCGATTGTGCCTCTTGTCTATCGTACGTTTTCACATGGCAAGAAGCGCACAAGACTGCGGTAGCGCACTAAACTATCGTACAGTATACGTGAGTCAGCATGGACTAGATCAAGGCACACTGTCCCACCAGAGAAGGCAAGTCCATCATAAACAAAAAGAGAGGGGTAGGCGTGGTGACAACAGCAAGCTGCACTTAACAGGGTTAGTTACGGAAGCGTGCAGGCGAAAACAAGTGCATAGTAACTTTGAGACCAGCTCGAGCCTAACACTGAGAACATGAGACTAGCTCGAAACTAAGTGAGAACGATGGCAATGAAAAAAAAGAGGAAAATGGAATTCGCCGCATCCCTCAAATGATGGCTACCCAATAGCATCGAGGAAAGTGCAAAGAAATTAAAAGAAAACATCTTGTGCTCTGGTAAAGCTGGGATTGCTTAGAAATCTCACAACACAGAAGATGCTGCGATGTGTTGCAGCCGCTTCAATGCGAGGTCTGTTATCACAGTCAACGTGTTCAAACACCTTCGCGCCGTGATGGTCGCACCACGTCGCAAAACTTTTCCAGCATTTCCACCCTGCTACTAGTACAACAATGGAGCAATTCCTTTTTCATAGCCCATTCGTTCCCATTCTGTGTACAACCTAATTGGAAAAAAAAAAAAAGAATGCCTTAGCTAAAAGGACTCTAAAGACTGCACAGCCTCACACGGAATTCGTCAATCTACGCGATGAAATCAAAACTGTAGAGAGAGTTCGTGTCTAATTAGGCGTGCTTCCCTGGTTTCAGTCACGAGCCCTGTAATGACGAAGAAATAGGCGACAATGTGAAACCACAATCGCCTACGTTAAAACATGAGTGTCTAAAGGATCGTCTGCAGAGTTCAGAGAGGACCCCGATGTCAGCAGTTCGGTATCTCCATTTTCGTCAGTGCTTCGCAGCTGAGATGTGGTCTGAAATATAGTGAAAAAAAAAAAAAATTAAATATTACACACATAGATTTATATATATATATATATATATATATATATATATATATATATATATATATATATATATATATATATATATATATACACACACACACACAGTCGACTCTCATTAATTCAAACTCGAAGGGACCCCTGGATTTTGTTTGAATTATCAGATCAGACATCTATATTCACACTTTTAAGCATCTCTAGATCCTAACTACACAAAAACAGAGAGCGGTGCATGTATGGTCAACAAGTTTATTGACTATCTACTGCTGACTAGACCTTTTAAAAAAATCATGGATGGTCAACTGCTTATTTGCCACATGCGCATTCAGCACAAAGCTCTCGATGCCAGTAAGTGCTGCCAGTTGATTCTGAGAGTTTTCTGTTGTCAGAAATTTTCTCACTTTAGCAATGTACTGGAAAGCCTGTGCAGTTGTCACATTTTCCACTTCCGGTTCTTCTTCACTTTCACTGCTGTGTTGTGCTGGCAGCACCTCTGCCACCAAGTCATCGAGTGTGTCCTCCCTGCACACGCACAGGTTATCATCAGTAGCTGCATAACTGTCGAGGTCGGCAGCTATGTTGTGAGCTTTTAGAGCAGACAGCACTTGGCTTTCATCGTCGCCCTCAGTCTGCAAGCAGTCAGATGAAGTGGCAATGCTGCAGCCAGGTATGCGGAAGGCATGCTCGAAGCAGTTCCTTATTGTTGCTGATGTGACAGCATTCCATGCGTCGGCGAGCATGCCCAACGACGAGAGTAGTGTGACACTGTAAGGCATGGAATTGTCCATACATATCAGCATTCTCTTTAGCAGTGTTTTCCGGTAATTAAGCTTCAAGCATTTGATTACCCCTTGATCCAGGGGCTGGAGGACAGCTGTAGTGTTAGGAGGCAGAAATTCAAGGCGAATTGCTTCCAGCCCCTCCACGTCGCCGTGCGCAGGGCAGTTATCAACAATGAGCAAAATTTTCCTTTTCGCTCGCTTCATTTGCCCATCCAGTTTGCGGAGCCAACCCTCGAACAAAGCTTGCGTCATCCAGGCTCGCGTGTTTCCGTCATATGCAACTGGGAGCGTTCGGACGCCTTTAAAGCACCTGGGACGCTTTGACTTGCCCACAACGAAGAGTTCTGGCTTGTGACTTCCGTCCATATTGGCGCAAACCATGACGGTTAACCGTTCTTTGCTCAGCTTTCCGCCAGTGCAACGCTCTCCCTTGCGACACAAGGTTTGATCGGGCAGGCACTTAAAAAACAGCCCCATTTCGTCGGCATTATATACATCAGCCGGGGAGTATTCAAGCAGCAGGCTTTGAAGTCTAGTCTGCCGCCAGTCAGAAGAAACAGCTTCATCGACCACTGCTGCTTCACCACTCACTGTTTTGAAGGAGAGACCGTGGCGTTCCTTGAACCGAGAAATCCAGCCATCGCTGCACTTGAAATCTTCAATTCCCAAGCGCAAGGAAAGTTCTTCAGCTTTCTCTCGTAGGATTGGCCCATTTATCGGTAAATTGGAGCTCCGTGCGCGCTTGAGCCAAAGAAGCACGGCGTTTTCGAGATCCGGGTACGCAGCTTCCCTAAGCCTTTTCCGATCGGGAGCGAAGCGGCTCGCGTTATTCTGCAGCTTGTCTTTGGCTTTCAGAATGGTTGTGAGAGTACTTTTGGTTATTCCATACTTCAGTGCCACTTCGGTCTTCTTTACCCCAGCGTCGACTTCTTGGATAGCGGCCAATTTCTCTTTTAGGGGTAGTGTCCGATATTTTCCTCGCGGTGACATGGTCGATCGAAAAATGCGCAGCACGTAAGAAAGACGGGCAGACCTGTACGCACGGAGGCAGGTCACGTGCTTCGGAGTCGGCCGGCGCCACCGGCACGCCGGAAAAGCAGAGATAAGCCGCGAGCCAGCTTCGTAACCACCGGGCCGTTTTTGTTTTTCGTTTTTTTTTTTCCACCGCGGCGCGGAATGCTGAGAAATGATTGTATGGCAAAACCTTTTCCCTTGAAGTTTTAAGGCGCTTATTTTTCAATATCAGACTATTATGATAATCATAAGCACGCAAATTTTCAAATATTGCCGGCAAATCAGCAGAAATTTTCCGGTATGGACAGGCAGAAAGTACGAATTAACCGAATGACGAAGTTTGAATTAAGCGGCTTTTAAATACATTGAAAGCATAGCGAGCCAACCAAAATTTTGAATTTTGTATGAATTAACCGAAAGTTCGAATTATCAAAGTTTGAATTATCGCGAGTCTACTGTGTATATATATATATATATATATATATATATACATATATATATACATACATATACACACACTTTCAGTAAACGGACCCTGAGGGACTGAGAAAATTTTCCATTTAACAGGAGTTCCGTTTATTGTTAATTGAGAGGTGAACATAGGTGCAGAGTACAAGCCTGAAACCAAGCATTGCAGAGGCAATAGTTCCGTTTAAGCAGTAGTTCCGTTTAACAGGTTTCCATTTACCGAGAGTCAACTGTATATATGTGAAAGTTTACCGAGTAGAAAGCGATGTACATTTGATGCCTGTACAAAAGCAACAATTATGTCGCAAGAATAAGAAGCAAGAATATTTGCGGTTTACCGGGCCCAAGCAAAGGTGGAAAGAAGGTGTACAGACTATCGACACCACTTTGCAAGCGATTCCGTGTGTTTGTACTTCTGGCATGAAATAGAAGCTCCATTATGTGATGACTACCTCAATAATGATACTTCTGGTTTATTCAGCAGTGAGATGAGTACAGTAATTCCTAATCCTAATGAACACAAATAATGAAAGCTGTAATTATTTGTTTCTTGCTATCTGCATGCAGTGAATATGCATATGCTTATTAATGAATATTGACTATCATAAGACATTCTTTTATTGCATGCAGCTTCACTGATAATTGTTGTGGTTTTAACGTCCCAAAACCACCATATTATTAGGAGACAAGCCGTAGTGGAGAGCTCCGGAAGTTTCGACCACCTAGGTTTCTTTAACCTGCACCTAAATTCAAGCACACGGGCCTCAAGCATTTTCGCCTCTACTCAAAATGCTGCTGCCGCGGCCGGAATTCTATGCTGCAACCTGCGATTCAGCTGCAGCTTCATGGAAAATAAGGTTCAATTTAAGGAAGAATTCATGTAGAAAAATTTCCCTGTTCAGAATTCAGTTCAGGCTAATACCGAATTCTGCATATTCCTACTCTTCGGTGCACCAACTGAGTAAGTGACAAGTGCAGCACATAGTACGTACCTTTGAATAGTGGTACTGCGGTACCCTTATACCACTAAGGGACTTGTAGCAAGCGAGATCAACCAAGGTCCTAAAAGAGAAACACAGTACCATAACGTAAGTAAAGCAAGCTAGATCAGAAGCAGCAGTGAAGAAGACAACTGGAAAGCCTAACAACTAGTCAACAACTCCGAGCTCAGCGGAACAATTGCTGTCGTCGAACATATTTTCTAACACATCAGAAATGCTTTCGTGGGATGCACAGTAAACATGGCTAATGAATAAATGGAAGCTCACAGAAGCGATGACCAGGAAAGCCAGCCCATTCAATTCCATAGAGCAACCCAAGTTGGCACAAATTGAGGTTCACTCAAGGCAATGCTAATAGCAATTGCACAGTTCAGCAGGCCACCATGTTATTGAAGATGTGCCTCTTTGTTGGCTAGATGTGGCTATAGTTAGCCTGCCAACTCTAATGTGCAACAAACTAATTGTTCCCAGGTGCTGCATGTCGGCTAATTAAACCATAGCCTGATATTTTCGTTTTTTCCCGTCTACATAATCCGCTGTAACCACTTACTAGTTACCTTTTCTTTGTACTTCAGTCATTCTAGCGCAGCACTAAGCAGGCATGCAGACACTAAGAGACTGCCAATAAATATGGTAAAAGAAACTTAAGTCATGAGGCCTACCAGTGTGCCTACAAGTCAGTTGGAGATTCCATAGGCTTAAGAACGGTCTCGCACGGTCATTACTGATCGGATCACCATTAGGCACGATGTGGAAGTGGTGTACTATTTACCACCAGCGTTGCTCTACATGCACTAAAAACATCACCAACGACAGTTTTCACAATTTACCACTTGGCACACTATAGTTGCCACAATTCGTATCAAATGCGCAACTTTTCCCTCGCAGAAAAATACAGCAGTTTCTGAGGCATTACTGTAGCTTGTCTGCATACACTATACAGAACCTACAATTACAGTAGAATCTCGATGATACGAATTCGAAGGGAGCGCATAAAATATTTGTATCAGCCCGAATTCATATGAACCAAAAACAACTTAAAGCTGATAACAATTATGAATAAGAACTTCATTGGCAACTACACCTTGCTGAAAAGTCTGCGATGCAACTTTCCTGCCTTTACTGTCTCTTAAGTGCCGTGGTTTCCTCGCTCATGCTGCTGGCGCAGCGCTTTCACAGTTGACATCAGAGCTAGCGAAAGCAGCCAAGCTCATTGGAAGTTCACTCGCTTCCCAGCTTACGCAGCCGGAAAACCTCACCGCGAAGTTGACACGAAAAATAATGGGTCCTGGAGAATTCGCATTGGATAATTCAAGTGAAAATGCCAGCACAACCGGAAAACCACGTCCGCGCCCGCCGAAAACGTTCACATTCGTTCTAACCCTCGTATACATGCCAACCCCGCCGCCACCATCCCCGCTTGAGAATTCATTTGGTTTTGCCCATTTTTTGAGCAAGCTCTAAGTTCGTATAGAGTTATTTGTGCATACAAGGCACTGAAAAGAAACAGTTCACACCTTTACTAATATTATTTCGGAAGACACGCCAGCCGAAATGACACGAGCGGACACAGCAGCGGCGACGGATTCAGCCGGGAGTGCAAAAGCAAGACACATCCGGGCAAGCGGACTCACTGCTGCTGCACCTTCAACTTCCGGTGTTATCAGCGATCGTAATCAAAACCAGGCTCTCGACGACGGCGTCCTTGTCAAGGTCACGAGCTTTGACGTGCCGCTGAACTCTATGACCGCGCGCGTAATTCACGAAAGCGCCAACGCGACCTACCGCAGATGCCTTCGCCGCCATGTTGATTTGCAGCTCGTTGACAACATTACGTGGTTAGAGAGAGAGCGATAGAGCAGCCGGTGAGGCCAAAGCCATGAAGCAAAAAGGCGATACTATGTTATCGCTTGGCGAGAAAATTGGTCTCGGACCAACTTTTTCGCATCGGCCTCACTGCATGTTTTTGGCGCGTTGCGCCGCTGGCATACAGCGGTCAATTGCACATTCGTATTATCTGCAGTGGCTGGGGACACCATTTGTATAACACCGAATCACTGTATTTTATATAATGTAGTCCATTAAAATTTGCTACATTAAACATGTAGTACATTAAAATTCGTATTATCGCGAAATTCGCATAAACCGTAATCGTATCATTGAGATTCTACTGTAGAAACCTATAGTTGGACCAACTAGCATTAAAGAGTAACAGGGCTGAACATGAATCATGCCAATACTAGTACTTCATTAAGAGTAACTATATTATTTCCTAAATGAAATGCATGCATTAGAATCATTAAATGGAGCCTGTAGGGACGAGAAAACTATTTTCAATTTAACAGGAGTTCCATTTACTGAGACGAACTAGGGAGCAGAATACAAGTAGTCCCAAAGCAATCGTATCGGAGACAATTGCTCCATTTGAGCAGCAATTCCATTTAAAACAAATTTCCGTTTACAGAGAGCACTCTGCACACACGGACACGTGCGCACATATGCACGTATGCACACCCACACACAAAGGAAAGTGTACGCACCTCAATTTATGTCTCACCAGGTACAAGCCTGCTGATGCAAGTACAAAGACCACAACGGCAGCAACGACAATGCCAACGGTGGCGCTAGATGACACAGATGCTGGACTGACAAGGCGATCCGAGTCCGGTTCCGCAAGTCTTCTAGAAACACAAAACACGAGAACAACACTGTCAGACACAGAATACCTTGAAGTCATCACCGATGCATGCAAATGAGGCGACAGCCACGAATGCGCATTTACAATGGAAGTGAGACTTACACAAGAGCATCGTGGCACACCTGGATTGTTGCCCACCGGAACAGGTAATGACATTTTCCGGATTCATAAAGAAACTCTGGTGAGCCCTGTGGAAGAGACGAGACGCACGAGTCAGTAATGTAAAAAAAAACTATACGGCTTGTAATCAGAAATATGCTTGCTTGCCTGAAAACCTTTTAATACCACTTACACATTTGCCTTCACCAATTTTATACATCCTTTCAATTCACACAGCCGAAAATCTGGTCTCAGTTTCACAATTCAAGCAGTCACACAAACAAAAAGAAATATTGCTCGAGGGATAACAAGAGTATTCAAAAAATAATACCTCAGCAGCTCAAGAATTGAAAGTGAACTGGTGACAGTGAAGAAAGAACAGGAAGAAGCCGAGTTTATACCATGTAACCATCACTGGTCTGAAGTGCTTTGAATACCATCAAACTACACAGAGCACAAATTTAAGCTAAGGCAGGTCAGTTCAATCAAAGGCCACAAAGTAGAAGAAGGTTCAGAAGAAAAATTTATCTGCTTATTTATAACATGAATGTGCTAAGAAAATCTAACGAATTGCATAGAAGCTGTATAGCTGAAAAAAAAAAAAAAGTGTTCTAATCTCGGTTTAGCACCTGGGAATAATGCTTCTCCGGGTTCAAGCTAATCAGGAGGATAGCACAAGGACAAAATCATTGACAACTCTAAGCATAACGTTTCAAGGCAGTTAAAGCTACCATATTTACTCTCATCCAAATGCAGCCACGTTTGTAAAGCGAGCGGAGGCTTTTGTGTCCAGGAAAAAAAAGAAAAAAAGGGCAAGAGTTGTGAGCATCATTGCTATTTTAGACAACATTAATTTTGGTATTCGATTGAAACATGGCGGTTGACTTCATGCAGCAAAAATCTGGAAGGTAACACTCATTACATTCCAGTAAACGTGGGCAAATGTTTCTCACCACGCCAGCAGATTTAGAGCATTCAAAGCTGATGATAGACTTGACACTGTCATTCGTACGGCCACACTTGCTGACCAAGGACTCCATTTCAAGCAATAACTCCGATCCTGCAAGCAGAGCAGAAATACATTGTGCAGGTAGGCTGGGACTCCATAAAGTAAAAAGGACGAAAATAAATGGTGCATGGTGACTAATTCTTGCATCACCACTTTGGGAAATAGTGTTGGCTGCATCCCACTCACCACAACTAAACTTACATGAAAGAATACTAGTACATTTCAAGCTGAGAAATGACAACTTGTAAACTTCAGCTTTCACAAATACAGACCCAAATAGCACAGTACACTTTCAGTAAACAGAAATCTTTTAAAGGTAACTGCTTTTTTAACGAAACAATTTTCTCTAGCATGATTGGTTGCTTACTTGAATTGATCAGTCATGTTCATCTCTCAGCAAACTAATACATTTTCCCGATCTTTTCAGGTTCCGTTTAATGAGAGTACTGTACCTAAATAAAAATACGGCTGTTAAACTATTACGTGAAATAGCAAGCAGTCTGCCTACCACACAAGTGGCTTCAACCAAAGCCCGTGTAACACTTGCAGCTGTGTGCAATGCTGCTGCGACTTTACTTCGCATATAATGCTGTGTATGGCCCAAATGGAGTGAACTGTTCCATGATTTTAGGTTGCTGCACTGAAAGGCTTAGACATTGGACAGGCCAGTCTGACCTAACACTTGAAGCACTTGAACTTTAAGATGTTTCCCTTTACGTTCCCCAATATAGATTCCATCGCAATGAAAAAGAGGCACCAGCTGCCATTCAAGACAAATGAATGATTTACTACAATGCACCAACACAGAGGAAATCTCACTAGACGTATGCTGAAGAGAAATTCAAATTGTTCTGACAATGCACTCTTTGATGGTGTCAAATAGAAGCAAGTGTAGGGATTCACAAGTTCCCTTTCAAATGTCTACCGATACATCAACTTGCGTGCCCAGAGCAATACACACATGAGTTATTCTCGACAATATGGCCCTGAATGTCAACAATACCTTTCAAACAGTTGCACGTAACAGGTCTCGTACAAAAGCACTGCAGCTCCACATTACCTCTGACGACGAACTTCTTGGTGCTGAAGCTGCCAATGTCCCTGTAAAAACCAGCTGCACCCTTGGTCTGGCACACGCTGGCCTTGGTGCACGCTCCGGGAATGCCGGTGACAACGGGTCCTCCCAACCTCACCATGTAGACATAGTTGTCCTTGCCTCTGCTCTCAGATACGTTGAAGGCACTGCACAACATGGTCAGCAAAGATCAGCATGCAGCCACATACATACTTTTGCAAAAGCAAGTGCGCGTAACTATGAAACTACAAGGGAGCTTTCCTTATGTCAAATAATAAAAGCATCTTTACAGTCAATTTTATGCATCAGCTGGAACATTGTCGAAGCTTATAAGTGCCTCCTTCATTTATTTCAATGCCTGTGCAAACGCGCGCTTTTCAACGGAAGCTGTCAGTCTGCCTTAGGAAGTGGTCGTGATGCGACACTACATGAGGGGAGTAGGGCTGCATGCGTCACACGTGCTTCCAAGCGCTTTCCCCCAGAGACGCGGTAGACTCTTTTCCCACTCCAAATGTCATACGTCTGTCAGATTTGTTCCTTCGAGCTCCTTCTTTGTAGCTCGAAGCAACGCTGCCGCTGCATAACAGCGCTGTGCATGTTGCAGCATCGCAGCGACGCTTCCCCATTGGCTGCCCCCATAGAGCCACCAACAGCGACACGCTATCACAGAAAACCGCATGTTTTAGAGCCAGCGTGACCGCCAACGTTGTGAACACGAGCAATGCAATACGCCGTCCTACGGATCTGGCATCTGGCTGGCATTGATAAAATAGAAGAGGCATCGCCTCAATGAAAGCTGTAAGTCTGCGTATCTTGTGCTTGGACTTCATCGTTGTGAATGTGGCCTTCATGATCGGCTCCAGCTGCACACTACGAATTTAATTGTAAAGGCCATGAGACCAGAAAACAAAAAGACAATACAATCTAGAACAGCCAACTGACAAGCGTATAAGTAAGGTGGTCCGTTCATTCCAAAGGCACAGAGCATTACAGCTCCATGTAAAAGCAGAAAAAAAAAAGAAAATCACATTACAGGTGACAAATATATTGAACCATTGCTTACTACAAACACATAATGCAAGAAGTGTCGCTTGCTTCCATAGTATTGCACCTGATGTACGAAACCAAGCATAGTCCTAGCCTCCAAATGTCTTCAGATATTAGAAAAGGAATGACTTACTTGTTCAATAATGAAGACAAGTTCATAGCAAGGCCCAGCCTCTTTTCAATGATTATTCCGTTGTTTTCAGGCACAACATCGTCCCTGAAAGGAGGAGCAAGAGAACAGAAAATCGAGCACTATTGTATTAGTGAACTACCACTAAATATACTTTTTTAAAGAAGGCCCTTGTAAATTCTATGGCAGCACATCTCAATATATAAAACCTTGGAGTCTACCCTTGCACAATGCATGTGAGGTTTAAAGCAGCCAGCAGACATAAGGTTACAAATTTCAAAAAATAAAATCAAAATGCAAGCCGTGCCAATGGCTGCAACCAGATTTCAAGAAAGTAGTCGAACTTCCAACATGGAAAGGGTGAGGGTCAGATGATCACTGCAAGGCAAGGCTAGGCTTGTGCGAATGGTGAAGCGAATTTGAAGGGAATAGCCATTTGGTTTCACTGCCACACACACCAAATAGCTATATGCTTCGAATTTGCTTCGAAGCGAATTCAAACATAATATATCGCATAGTATAAAAAATAATGAGTGTATTTGTCATCACCCGAATGACTTGCACAATATATTTTTTTATTAAAACAAGGCAAGTACACATGTCATTCTTTCAGATTCAAAGGCAAGCGGAAGCATCTTTGAATAGTAGTAGGATTTGACTTTCGGTAGAATGCAAGTGATGACTTGTAAAATATGTCATTTTTTAAATTTTAGAATACCAAGAGAGCATATAAGCCAGTATAAAAAGCTTTTGAACTTAAAAAATGAACAATAGATGTGAGGATCATTTGTATATTTAACCTTGAAGTGGAGTTTCCCGGCAGTGCGAAGTTCCCCTGTACAGTAGTATTAACGGCATATCGTTTCTTCACTGCAGTAAAACCATCTTCACAAGTGGTTACATGCAATTTATGTGTCTATTTGTTCATTTCGTATACCAAATTTAATTGATTCCAATGCACACTTTTTTTTTTTTCAGTACAAATAGACTGCAAAATGACATGCATGCTATATTTTGGCACAGATGCAGTTGTGCAACAGTCAGAACAGAATTTGGAACACTTTTTGGAGTAGCAAAATGTTACTTTTGGAACACTAAAATCAAAATTTGAAGCAGGTTACTGGAAAAGTTTATTTTATCATGAAAGAACAAAGTTGGATCAGTATAAAAAAGAAGGCTTACATTTAGGGAAAAAAATATATGTACAGCACGCTCAACCCACCTAAATCATTCAGAGTGAATATGAGTACTGCCATTTCAATAAAAGAAGTATCTGAATTACCCCACTGAGCAAATAATGAAGTATACATTATCATTTGCCATGCCTGTCGAATCCTTTGACAGGACTGCAAATACAAATGTGGTTCTGCCAAGCTGGCGACCTTGCAATTTGCAATTCAGTAGATTTGTAAAACTGAAAAGCACGGGCGGCGGAAAAAAAAAACCTGGTGGAAGAGTTCTTTTTCGAAGGGCAACAAAAACGACGTACACTGCTCCATATGATTAGCAGTAACTTTTAGACATAATAGTACTCACAATTATGCGGCGCATGCATGCATGAGTAATTGAACAAAATGTGTTGCGTCCCGTGACTAATCCTAAGGGCCCCTTCCAAATCACAATTTTCCGCGGGACCCTGGTGTACTGCGGTGAAAGTGGCTTAAACAGCGTTCTGCGCGGGTTAGAACAAGGCCAAGCAATTTTCTAATCGCCACACCCCAACTTTGCCCCCACTCTTTATTATTTTTGTTTTTCAATTTACGGTGGCGTTGCAGTTTAGGGCACAACTTCTTGGCTCGCTTGCAAAACGCGTCAGTCCAGATGAAGTAACAACAGCCCATGCCCATTGGCCAGGCGATGGCACCGGGTATCCATTGCTGGGAAGACAACTTCAAGCCATAAAAAAAATTTCATGTGCCGTTGCTATGGCAACCAACAAGGTGGTTGGCATTGACGGTGTTCGCAGCACGTCGACCTTGTTTGCACATAAAAAACGCGCCATACACTCCTAACATGCCACAACCACATTTGCCGACAAGAAAATTCGTATTTCCCACTGAGCGAATGCGACTACCCCCAATGCATTTTTATTATTTTTTTTTGTTTCTTCTTGAAGTTCCGTCGTCCCACCAATAGGTATCCACTGTGGTCAGTGAACCAATGCGCGCGCGGCGTTATGCTTTATCTGGTTGATTGCGCCTGGAGAGCTTTCTCACCTAACGAGTACACGACTTACACCGTGGTTACGGGTTAGGGTCTGCATGCTTGGTTTGATTGATGAGGTGGCCAATGTGGCCTCTATTTCTCGCGGAAATGAAGACACCTGAAATGATATTAAGGCTGGTCGGGCATTTTTGCACAGTGTGGCGCGATTTCAGCAAAGTCCATGGTTTTGGTGCAGCGCAAAAATGGAGAATTGTATGAAATTGGTGCAGCTGCTGCACGTGTGCAGATGTTTAAACTGCCCTACAGCTGTACTTTTGTTTTTCAGTCAGGTAAATCACATGCGAGTTGGAATTCAGAGTGCGTTGGAATTGTCTAAATATAGTACTTCAATACTTAGAATTTAAATTAAATTAGATTCATATATGTTCATATTCCTTCGAATATTCACACTGAAGCAGGTACACAACAGGTACTGAGTGAATTATTACATTCACATTAACAAACAATGAAGCCTAGAAGTGACAGCATGAGGTAAATTGCACATTCTGATGATGTAATTGACATCATACGCTACAGATTACTTCAGGAGCCAAGTTAAAATTCACTGCAATCCATTAGTGAAAAAAAAAAAAAAGAGTGGAAGAAAGCAAATAAGGCATTAAAAAATAGTATACCAGGCTACAGTCAAAATGCTTTAAATTTAAGTTTTCCATCAAAAAGGCTTTTCACGGAGTCGGTTTATTGCTACCTGCTTGCTTGTCCACAGATTTTGAATGCTCATTTAAGATGCTACGAAAACATGCAAGCACAATGAGTGAATGGCACTTACTCGGCAAGTGGACAAGCTGTTCTAGACTTCCACTTGAAGACAAACAGGCACTGGTCTGGTGTAGGGCCGCTGACAAACTCCAAGACTCCAGTGCTACTTCCGCTGGTCACGCACTCATGCTGGATCAGAGTCGATGGGTGCTGAGTGGTGCGGTTGTGGCAGACATATGGATCCCCTCCGCCGTACATCATATCGACACGCCTAGAATCTGGGAAAGCGAGAGCATTTGCCGGCAATTCAAGAGCGTGTCAGTTCATGTCCTTTTAAACTTTCACAGTCCATTTCACCATCATTGGCTTGTTGTTAGAAAAACAAACTAACAAACAAAAACTAAGGTTAAGATTTCATCTCTAGAATTGCCAACTGAAACTTCCACACCAGATGAATAATATGGTGCCATGCGTTTTTCATATACATTACACGAGTTTAAAATTTTCGTAGACTCAGGAAGTATCCAAACTCCTTTACTGACAATCCAACTCAATATAATTGATAGATAAGTGGGGTTTAATGTCCTAAAAGCCACAATATGAGTACGAGAGATGCCGTAGTGGAGGGCTCCGGAAATTTTGACCACCTGGAGTTCTTTAACGTGCACCCAAATCTGGGCACACGGGCCTACAGCATTTCCATCTCCATCGAAAATGCAGCCGCCGCAGCCGGGATTTGATCCCGCGACCTGCGGGTCTGCAGCCGAGTACCTTAGCCACTAGACCACCGCGGCGGGGCTCAATATAATTCATAAAAAATCATCTAGGCTCAAGCAAATGTCACAGTTACAATATACATCACGCGAGGTAGTGAGAGAACATTAACATAACGCCGCCACCTGTACAGTTGATCCTACGTATATCAAGCTCTGATATATCGAATTATTGGCTATATCGAACAGTTAAGAAATCCCCTTTATTTCCCATGCAAAAGTACGGGACCGGTGCACCCGTATATCGAACTCCCGTACAGCGGGACATCTGCTATGTTGTGTAATTGTGTCACATTGAATCTCATAATGTGCATTTTTTCCTAGCAAATATTGATTAATTTTCAGCCGCATTCTAACAAGTATAATGAACTAAGCTTAAAACATGCACAACACAACTCTTCGAACTAGCGACTCTGAACTACTACGCCAAACTTATTCCAAACACGCAGCCTAACCACTTTTCTTCCCGTCTCGACGATGATAATGCCATCGTAGTGCCCTCTCTCAGCCAAGTCCCAATGATGATGCTCCTTTATTCCCAACACGCAACCCTAACCCCCCTTTCTCCCCGTCCTGATGATAATGTAGCGCCCTCTCGGTGAAGTCCGGATTATGATGCTCCTTTGTGCTTAACACACAACCCTAACCCCTATTCTCCCGTCCCGATGATGATGGTGCCATCACGTAGTGCCCTCTTTTGGCCAAGTCCCGATGATGATGGTGCCATCACGTAGCGCCCTCTCTTGGCCACCCTTACACATGTTCAGATCCGTTTTCGTGCGCAGGTAACGAAAAAACCGTGCTATTCCATCGCGCTAATCTCGTTCGTTGCCCGGCCTTTGCCACTGCACCGTTACATTTGATGTGCGATCTGCAGATCTTAGCGCGCGGGCATAGCGTTTTTAATAAAAACTAACTGCCGAGGACACCAAAATGAAAATGCAAACTGACTGAGTGATCTCGTTGCAATATTCGCATCTCCTTTGTTAATGCACAATAGCATACGAGTCTGAAAGGCATGGCCTTCGAGATGTGCAACCTCGCGATGTATCTAAGTGTTTTTGGTTTTAAAACACATGTCTCCGAGACTATGCTTGTTCTAGCTTTTCGAGTCATAGCAGCTCAAAGCAGCGGCTGCCAGCTACAAAGCCACAAGTGACATCGATATCGCCAATATGTCGACGGTGGGAATTTGGCTTTGTCTTTTGTGCCGTGTAGACTTTACACTTCTCACCTCATTCTTGATAAATCATCATTCGGGAGTTGAACTGAACGTTGACCCCCACGTAGCGATAAAAATTATGACTGGCACTTGGGGCCAACTAAAGCACTGTCGTAAACTTTCTTTGAGGGCCAGGTCATGACTTCGGGTGCGTCATGACCGCTGAGAACGATGTACAGTGTCTCGGTGCATTCTGCGACTTAGCATTTATGGGCACCATCTCGGACAGCGAGCGACTTCATTGGTACGTATGACGTAGCTGGTTCTGAATGCATCGATGCCGAGATCATGGCTGCCTTCGCCGGTGCCACAGAAGTGTAGCCGTGCGATTATAATATGTCAACTCTTTCGCTGCCGCCACTGACCAACCTTCTGCCGCGATATAAAACTCGCATTAGAGTTCTGCGTCAATTAATGCTGTTGTGGTCGAAAGAGCTGAATTCGCTTATTTTGAAAAGCGTCAATGATATTGAAGATGACTGGAACTCGACAGCACGCGAGAAGTAAGGCACGTCGACGGACCATACGGTTGTGAAATAAAGTGTGATAACTTGCTGTTCGCACCTTGTTCTTCATTATACTGCTTTCGAATCGCTATTTTAGTGCTTGTCACGATTTGAAGCCTGAAATTCTTTAATTTAGGCCTTAAATACGCATATCCTGTATTTCGATTTCTGGGTATAACTATTTCACGATCCACTTCGAGTTCAATATATCCAGAATCAACTGTACTTATGTACGTTTTTTAGCCTATGAAACGCTCTCAAAGCAAGAGTGGCGATTTTGCTTGGTATGGTGAAAGGGTAGCTTACTAATACAAGAAAAATTGTTTACAGTGTAGCATCATGCGCATTGCACAAGTTGCATCCACATAATCTGGGTCTGTTTATTGATCAACGACTTGCACTGACACAAACTTTCTATAACATAGCGTTTTACTAAGTCTTACAGCTTTTCCGTGAGGTGCGGTATATGGCATAAGCTAAAATTTCAATGCCACAGCAACACAAAAAAATGGAGCCAGATCCCCGCTCACCAATAGCAGACAATTTCAGTGATTGAGCTTTCCCAATGGTGAAGTCGTGCCCGCTGCGGTCCTTTTTACGCATGCAGACAGCTGCGGAGCTTGGACATGACTGAGCATTCTGGTGGTCAGCACTCATGTCACTGCATACGTTGAGCCAATATCTGAAAACAAGAATAAAGGCACGTTCAAGTAGGATTGGTACAGCTTCATTACAACTTCGGTTCTGCGAGATCTATTAGAACATGCCATGCAAACCCTACTTAAGCACACAATGAACCCACTCTAAGGGGCACGGACATGCATGCATGAGGGGGGGGCAAGGCAGCAGCTGCCCCCCCCCCCAATTTAGTTGCCTAAGAGGGGGAGGGGCAAAGTCAGCCCTATACATGATATAATTGGAAAGGGGGCACTAGAATGATCCATTCCCCCCCTCCCTAAAGGGGAACCCTGTGCTCGCCTATGCTTTAAGGTGTAGTTTTTGCAGCCTACACAAACAATTATAAATAATGGAGTCCTGAACTTTCTATTGTCCTGAAAAGAGTTCAGGAGGGCAGCCAACGACTAGTCTAGCATTTAATCGTCAAACAGCGAGCAAACATAGAGCAACGCACTCGCAACAAACTACCATCCGCATGCTGCTTTGTCAAACATTGTTTTTTTATCATCTTGTCACTTGTGAAGTACCCACTAGGGAAGTACCCAGTATGCCACTATTTGTTATTCTGGGAGAAGCGAGGTACCCGTAACACATCTACAAGGCATCATGTGCACTTTGCTGACACCGTGACCCGATCCGCTGGCAATTCGCACTGCCCGACACCCGGTTGTTATATTTACTTTTCTTTGATGCCATGCGGTAGACTCTGTAAACGGAACCTGAAGGGACCGAGACAATATGTTCAATCTAACAGGCTGCGGCAGACGACAGCTATTGTCACCAAGATAAGCAGTTGTGTTGCGTTTTCATAACTTTAGCTGTAAAAGGCATGCTCAACACAGCTCATAGCCAGGCGGGAAGTTCAGTCTGGCAATTACTGCCTTGAGAACAGCAGCAGCACTTACATGTTTCCTTCAGGATCCGTCACGTTTCTGACATGGCTCACAGATGCCAAAAGTCCGAAGTCGTACGTGTTATCGCCAGAGGTGAGCACACACTGCCTGTGGTCTGGCACGCACAGCAAGTTTGTTTTCCAGACGAAAGTCGAGTAGCATGCATGCATCTGCCACAGAAGAATATGTTACGAGGCTAATGGCATTCATTTTCCGAGCAATCATCACATGCATTGCTCTTGATATATGCAATAAACACTATGCCTGTTCAAGTATCTAAGAGCTTCGAATATTGGAACAAATACAGAAGTATGCGAATTTACTTCGACATGAATGCAAAGTTCCCAAGACATTGAAGTATTTAAAACAAACTAACAGACAATTAGGTTCACTAAAATATGTCTCAGATGCATGGGGTCGACATGCTGTGAAGCTGCCTATACAGGTAAAATTTGTACTGCAGCTGTACTCCAATCAATTTTCTTTTTAAATATAGAAGCATGTTACGCACGTTTATGTTATGTAAGCAAGGCAAATTTTAAAACAAAATATTTTGCCACTTACAACTCTCACTCCACAGCAATAAAACTGTGCTACTATTCAACTTTGCTTCAAAAATATTCAGTGCTAATTGATGTTTATGTTAATATTAATTTAAAGCAAAACTAATATTCACACTGCTCTACATATCTATGAATCTACAAATACACTAAGTCATGATGCAGGAAATCCACGATGCCATGACCTTTTTACAAATGTGTGCAATGAGTTCAATCGAGTTCTGGGATTCCGAACACCCTATTACAGCCCCACCGGTTATACGAGACAAGCATGCTGCATTTTACGTTCTTCAGTTTTGGATATTTAACAATCACTCGGGAGACAAAAAAAAAGCTTCATTTCATTCGGCCAATTTGCATGTCACTGCAAAATCGCACACACCACATCTGGCTACACAGTGCAACGTTACGGCCACTGATTGCCTGATGGTGTTCTTGCGTGTGTCAAATGATCACACGAAATCTTCAACAACAGAATAAAGGCTGAAAAGCTAACTAACTCTCTGCCCTCGCCCAACGAACCCTTCAGATGTGGAAATAAATATGGTAGTGCGTTCTTACATGCTCCAATACAGGTGTGCCAATGCCAGCATTCTCATCGCACTGAAAGTTCACTGCAGCAGAGTGCATTGTTGCTTCTAGAAAAAATAGAAAAGAAAGTAAATGTCACTGAACACCCAGTGAAAAGCGATAAAAGTTCATTTGCCCAATGTATTAAATTGTCCGCTCAAATTCTTTAATTTCAGTTACAATGCTGCCAATACCTCCCACTTAGTCACATAATTGCCAATATTCCCAGAGCGTACAATGCAAAGACACTACTGCCCATCAGTTAATCGAGTAACCTACCGAGTCGGATGCATATTAAGATATGGGGCTCACCACTTTCATTGCATGCGCTTCCATTGGTGTACATGACCTTAAGACCACCCTGCATGTAAGTGAATGAGCTCAGTGTTCCATAGCTTCTCTTTTCGTTAGCAGAGACGTAGCACACTGAGCCACCGTCGCAGTCAGAACTGGCAAGCGTCCCTTTGCCACATATGTCCAGTGTGAATTTTCCCTTGCCATCTTGGTCGGGCACCTGTATAAAAAAATGAGCACGTTTAATTGGTACACCAAAACAAGGTTAATCCTGAACTGAAACAAAGCAGGAGAATGTTTCAATCAACAACAGCCGGGCAGTAGGCTGCTGTTAAACTATTGTCAGCGATTGTTTGTTTATTTTCGTCTCTAGAAAAGTTTCTAGGGCCAATACATCTCCATGGCACCAAAGTTTCATTGTTTTAATCCTCAAATTTGTATTCGCATCATATTTTCTTAGTTGTAGACCAGACATTTCATAAAAATTTCTTGCAAGATGACATTTATTAAAAGTAAAACGTTGGACGCGCAAAGACAATGCAAGTACATCTGCATGCATTGTTCTCCAGCTGAGCCTTCATGGGAACAGAATGAGGCACTGTCTCAGAATGTCACGGTTCATTAACTTAACAGGTAATTCATAAAAGCAAGTGTCATACGTTATTAAATATTCTCCTGTATTTCCTCGTACAATTATTTTTAACAAGGTTTACGGAGCTTGGAGCTTCGTCTAACAATAACTCGCACAAGTAAAGAATGTGGGATAACTTTCGAAAATAAGCAATGTGCGAAAGCTAATATTCTGTACCCTCAAAGCTTCATCACAAAGTATGAAACACAAAGGATTGAACAGATTTAGTTCTATTCCAGCAGTTTTGCATGCTTCATGCAATTTAAAATTTTCATCAAAAAGGCTGAGTGAGCACTCCTTTGTGTTCTGAAATACAAACTAACCCTGCTTTCTTCTTGCACAGAGTGTTAATAAACATAAATGAAAACCATTAATAAACAATGGACAGCCACGAAGTAGCCCAATTTGTCGTTATCTTGAGTACTTTAAGAGGCGACAGCAGATGGCGAATGAGGCATTTTCCTGCGTTTCTCGTTACGTGCCTCAAACGAAGAGCCGGTGGCGGGCTTCAGGGCAGACAGGTCGAAACTAAGTCCGTGCTGGGGAATACTGAAGGTACACTCCTCCGTGGGTACGGCTTTCTTGTTAATCTCTGGGCACACGAGGTTAGTCCTCCACTCGAAGATGTACACACAGCTTTCTTTGTCAATGTCCAACAACGTGGGCTCCTCCTAGTATAGCATAAAAAAAAGACATTCAGCCTAGACATTATTACTTTTACTAGTACCGAGTTATAGCTAGCCAGTCATTTTTACAAGTAACTTTTAACTGTGGCACTATTGCTTCATGTTTGAAAATGGCCATGTTGCTCTGTTACGGCTACTAAATAATAATAATTGTCGAGGTTTAAAACCACGATATTATGGGAGACACAATAGTAGAGGGCTCCGAAAATTTTGAGTAGCTGCTGGGGATCTTTATTGAGCACCTAAATCTAAGCACACGGGCCTCAAAGATTCTCGCCTCCATCAAAAATGTGGCCGCTGCTGCAGCTACTAGAATAAGTATGGGTTATTTAAAAATAATGCTAATGTAAAAAGAAAAGTAAATAAAGGCAAGTGAATACCATACTTACTCATGTAATCTTCGAACTCACATAATTCTCCCATCCCCCACATCGCCGAACAAAAATACGATTTCTTTTTCTCCTCGAGTAATTATTGCACCCCCGAAAACTGCCGCAAAAATGCCGTCTGCTCGTTTCAACCACTGATGATGATAGTGCACGCCATCTGGCGCCATCTCTTAACCATCAGACGTACTATTGCACGGAGATTCGATCCAATCCAAGTCAAGCCGAAGTGGCCAGTGCGCATTGCGGCGTGTTTTGCATGTTGTGTCTGTAATCTTGCCACGTTGTAAGGCGATACTAAAGCTACACGGCTGCTTTCAAGTTGCAAGTTATAGAGTTGAGCCCAACTATAACGAACCCGTTTATATCAAATTATCCTGTATATCGAACAATTCCTAAACACGGTAAGTTTACATTGAGAATATATAGCAAAAGTTACTGTTTTATCGAACGAAAATAGCAATGACAACTGATATATCAAACTCCATGTGCCTCAAAAGTGCACCAGCAAGTTGGCTTTCCCTCACGATGGCGGGGAAAACTGCCGGCGCAACCCTAGAAAAAGTTGGTTAGACCCGGTTGTGCGCAGGCGAACACCCCCCTCCAAGAAATGATCCTGGCCAGCTCTCAGCGCTTACAGCCAATCAGAGGCCGTCATGCTTTCTCAGAGGCGCAGAGGCGGTAGAAGTGAGCGCCATTTTTTCTTTCTTTATGCTTGTGTGCCTGCTGCTGCCGATTCAGCGTGGTCTGAGGTGTTGCCTGTTTGTGCTCCGTGAACTGTATTGGCCCGCTGTCATCATGGCTTGCGCAAAGAGGCGAAATTTTCCGTTCGCCGCGAAACTCGAAATCATCAATCTGGTTGAGCGCGGTGAAAATAAGTCAGACGTCGCCGCCGCGTACAAAATTCCAAGGAGCACCTTGAGTACTATACTGAAGAACAAGGCAGACATCAGGGCCAAGTCAGGGACATCAGGGACAAAAAGCCAGGTGCCCGTGGTGCCCGACGTGCGCGCGCTGCTGTGTATGAAGATGTTGAAGCGGCCGTTTACAAGTGGTTTGTGGACGTTCGGTAGCGAAAAATCCCGGTGTCCGGCCCTATGATCGAGCAGAAAGCCAAGAACCTTGCTTTTCTGCTTGGCAAGAATGATTTCCTAGGCGGTTCAGGCTGGCTTCAGCGGTTCAAAGAACAGCACGACATCGTTGGCAAAGCTGTTACAGGTGAAAGCAGAGTGGCGGACCTGGACAGCGTAGAAAAATGGCTCGAGGAAAACTGGCGAGATATCACAGCAAGATATAGAGCCCCAAGATATCTTCAATGTGGATGAAACCGCTCTATTTTGGCAAATGTTGCCAAACAAGACACTTGCGTATCAGGGCGACAAGACAAGCGGCGGCAAGGCAAACAAAGCTCGTGTGCCCGTGCTGTTGGCAGCTAATCTAGACGGATCGAAAAAGCTTCGATCTCTGGTTATCGGGAAAAGCATGGCCCCGCGGTGTTTTCGAAATGCGCTGTCGCTTCCAGTTACCTACCGAGCAAACTCAAAAGAGTGGATGACCGGGGAGCTTTTCAGCAGATGGCTATCGTCGTGGAATGGCGATTTGGTAGGCGAAAATCACAAGGTGTGCCTGCTTGTGGACAATTATTCATCGCACCTTTGCAGTACGATCTTCAGCAATATCGAGCTGCGTTTTTTGCCCCCGAACACTACGACTGAACTGCAACCACTGGATCAAGGCGTTATACGTGCAATGAAAGCCGGCTATCGGAAGCGCCTGGTGGAGAGGCTGCTGCAGAACCTTCGTGTCGGCAGGGAGTTTAAGATCGACTTGCTGGAGCTATTTCTATGTTGAGTAGATTGTGGGCAGATGTCAAGGAGGAGACAATCCAGAACTGCTTTAGGCATGCCGGCTTCGCATGCCTGGTGATGACACCCCGAATTCTGACAGCACTGAAGACACCGCAAGTGTTTCTGTCGAAGTTTGGAACGAGCTGGCAGAGTTCCTGGGTGCTATCAACAGATCGACATTCGACGAGTTCGTCAGTGCGGACGATGATCTCCCCATCATGGGCCAATTACAGGATGAGGATTACATTGCAGACGTCGTGCTGACCACGAGCCAAAGCGACAGCAATATGAAAATCGACGACGGCCCATTGCCTACATCCTCCAAAGTGATTAGTGCACTTGTGTTGGTCCGGCGCTATTGCTTGAATGTGAAAGGCTGCGGCCTCAGCTGCTCCGACTCGGACAACGTGGAGGCGTGCGTGCTGTCGCAGGCAGCGAAGCCGTTGACAGAAAAAAAATTCGGGACTATTTTGGTCCACAGTAGGGCACGCAAGTAAGCCACCATTTTAATAAAGTACTTTTCTTCTAGTTTGTTATGTGCCTTTGTGCCAAAACCTATACCGGACCTATATCGATTTATGCCATATATCGAACTGATAAACGTCTTTTGGAGAGTTCGATATACCTGGGTTCGACTGTAGATCATGCACAAAACAACGGCAACAGGGCCGCTGGTAGGCCCTTCGGATTCTACGAGTTTTGTGTTCGCTACTGGTGACGGCAGCTGAAAGCCACCAAGACGTGTTGAGCCAGCCGTGTGCCTAAAACTAAGATTAATGGTAAACTTTATTTCTTCAGAAGGAAACTGCGGACGATTCTGTTAAATAGCCATCAGCCCAATACTGACGTCCTACGCTTACCTCTTGAGAGCTCCTGTTGAGCGACAAAAGTTATCGCTACGCCCGCAACGTCCACAAGCTTTGCGTATGGTGTTCTAATTCTCGACTATTTGCTTCCACTTTTTGTGTCTCAAATAAATATATTGTCTTGTGTTGAACCTCTGCTTTTACTGTTGAGGTAAGCTTCAATTAGTACTTCTTAAAGCTTGCTGTTAATTGCTGGGGTGAGAATCCCGATTTGCGGCCACTTCGTTTTCTTTTTCGCTCTGTACGTTTTCGTGGAATGTTTTCCCCGCGTAATTCTCGCACCCCCCCAACTTTGCATCGGTTTTCCGGCAAAAAAAGTGCGAGGATTATGCGAGTAAATACGGTAGTGATATGTATAATGCAGAAAAATATCTATCGTCATCTCCTTACCTTGGATATAAACATGTACAAGCATTTCGTCTGCCTCTGACATTTCGATTACTGGTATGGGAGTAACTGAGAGAAACTTTACTTTTTCGCAGCAACAGTAACACGGGATTTTCAACTAAATACAGGTTCACAGTCCACAACAGAATCTTGCAGCATCTGCTTATGGGCACCTCTTCCTCAGTTACTGTTTGCAACAATTAACTAAATTGGAAGCTCTATAGCTATTTCTGCCACGATCACATGCACAAAGGAGCACAAATGAAATAATAAGTACAGAGCTCGTGCGAACAGCGAAAATTCTCACCACAGTTGTTGATGGGTCGCACACGAATATCACTCGTGCCCTGTTAGACATTGACGAGTTGTACGCACACTGAGATCCATTTACGTAGAGAAGCGTGACGCGCCCTTCAAAGTCGTTAAAAGGCTCCATGAATACTTCTCCCAAGCTCTGAAAAAAATTTTGACACAAATATAAAGAAGGCACTCCTACAGGCGATCGCGCTTTTCACAAACACTTCAGTGTAGCAAACAATTTTAGGACATTAGGTTTCACAAAATAAAGACAAGGTAACATGCAAGATTTTGGAGGCCATAACAACAAACAGGAGTGGGCCATCATACATCAGAGTGCCATACATGCTAAGGGGGGAAACAGAAACAACAGGAAGCCTGCTCGCTCACAAAGCGGTCTGTTAGTGTAAGAACCAAACTGCTGGCACGGCAAGGAAAAAGACGTCCACTTCTAGTACAAGTCATCTCTGCTGCATAACGATGGGGAAATTAAATTTTCTATTAAATAGACATTCACAAATGAGAATTACCAAATTTCACTACAGTTGCACCTCTTGGGTAAGAGATGCGCCAGACAGACATCTCATATAAAGTACAAGAATGACTAACAAGCAGGGTACCACATTCACATTTTCTTGCTAATAATAATAATAATTGTTGGGGTTTAACGTCGCAAATCAAAACCACCATATGTATATGAGAGAGACTGTAGTGGAGGGCTCCAGAAATTTCGACCACATGGGGTTCTTTAATGTCTGTACCTAATGTGTAACTACTGTGTACCTATTGTGTACAGCTCTCAAGCATTTTTGCCTCCATAGAAAATGCGGCCGCCCGGCAGAGATTCGATCCTGCGACCTGTGGGTCAGCAGCCGGGTGCCTTAGCTACTAGACCACCATGGAGGGTTACATTTTCTTATCAACAACAATTTTAAGGTAGGCGCACAGCCGTCTCATACCCATTTGTCTGTTATACAGTAAAACCTCATTAATTTGAACTGTTATTTCGAAATGCTGCTTGATATGAAGTATTTCTGCGGTCCCGTATTTTGCAATGCAAGTTTGAGCAGATGATTTGAAGCGGCATAAGTCCGGTTAATTCGAAAACTTTGGGTGAAGTTGGCCAATTCTCTATTCTGATTTCACCGCAAATCCGTGGTAACGACGGCCCTTAAGAGCCACTAGGCAATGTACTTTAGCGATACTATTGAGTGGTAGCTGAAGCACCCTTGCCTCGCTACTTCCAGCACAAGAAAAATTAAAAAGAAAACTGTCGTGATCAGCTAAAATATGAACCTGTGGAAAACAAGACTGCGGGCTAACAAGCTAAGTGAAATTTCAAGCTAATCTTCAGGACACAATATGTGGAGACTGTTACTCGACAAGATTTAAATTTGGAGAGTGCACTTAGGCACATGAAAGATAGTTTATCTCTTTAGATAGTGTTATGGACGGTTCACTAACACATGTCACCCCTTAGTTTAATCACGAAAGCCTCAGCTATCAGACGACTGTGTATGCTTGAATACCTTACAATGGCTTTGCAGTGTCTGAACTCTGGCGTGTACCTGCATGTGTTGCAATGAAGCACCTTGTTGCTGCATTGTTAGACGATTATGATTTTCGCAAAGTTACTGATTAAAACAATGGCCCGTTTGTCCAATGTACGAGATACAAAAAGATATTATAGTTGCAACAACAGCCGAGCTAAGCTATTCAGGAAGAGGCCTTCCAAAGAGACTCCTTTGAGAGTGATTAGGTTTCCAATGCTCCAGTTATGCCGGTCTCTAGCCAAAGGTCAGATATTTTTCTAACTGACCTCGTATAACACAGGAGAACATAATTAGTGTTGTGTTGTTTATTGTTTCCCAGTGCCACGGAAATATCATAGACATCGCTAGTAAAGTTCTTAGACATAAGCAATAATACTGGCACCTGTATTACAATGCCTGCACATGAGCGTAAGAGACGAAATGTACTGTGCATCGTGACTTGTAATCCCTCCCCATTTCTAGGACGTTTTTCAGCATGACACAGATGACATGCGGCAAAAGCGACTTTGGGAAGTGTGTCGCACATTGTTTGGAAATGTTTGGCACACCTCCCTGGCATTGTTTGTGTACTTCAGTCAGCATGCGATTATTGGCGAACATAGTTTGCATAGTTTGACCATTTTGTAGGTGAATAACCAGCTTTGAGACTTATTCACATAAAAACGCGATTGTTAAGCTAGAAGCAATGAAGGCAACAGATATTATAGACATGGACAAGCAAAAGGTTTGAATTAACTGGATACCGTATTTACTCGGGTAATGACCACACTTTTTTTTCTCGAAAATTGGAACAAAGTTGGGGGTGCATTTATTATGTGGGGCAAATTTTATGAATACTTTTTTAGGATGAGCAAAAAATGCAGTGATGCAAAAAAAATTGGGTTGCTCAAAATTGCGTTTCGCAATTGACATCCGAGAATGCTGTTTGGAAACAACTTTGTTGCACTTCACTCATTTTTGGTAACGTAGCTTATGGTGCGAAAAAAAAACACGAGAGAAGGACAAGCAATTTTTTCGTGCCATAAGCTACGTTAAGAATGAAACAACTCACCCAACAAGTCACTGCTTATCTTTGGTGGTTGAAGGCGCTATCTTTAGCAAGCTCCATAGAAGCGTTTTTGCGGCTTTCATTTCTCACACTATCTGCAACAGTGGTATCTGCTGCGATCTCGAGGGGTGCCCAGAAGCGTGCACTATGACGCTACAACGCACTTTGCCAACTTCGTGGCAACCACGCACGATGATTGCGACGACGTTGTTGACGTTGCAGCAAACTACCACTGAAGCATCCAAACAAGCAGTCGATAACAGATTAATTTTAAGACACACCTTTCTGCTCTCCTTGTCTAACTCCGTAATCATGAGTTGCAATTCGTCCCCCGAGTTACTCAGCAATGCAATGTCATCGGCGAAATATTAATGACAAATTGCGGCCACCGCCTCACTGTTCACATGAGAAGTAACTAAAAAAGGTCACTTATATCTTGCGTTACTTGAAGTATACGCGCGGATAACAAGCATGAAGAGCAAGTTGCAACCGAAGCGAGAATTTCGGGTGCTACCATGTTGCGGAAATAGTCAGGACCTTTTCTGGGCGACAAGCGATTTTTTCTGGTTTTCCAGAAACCTGCAATGCAATGGTGACGAATGGCCCTTCACGACAGCAATGGCAAAAGAGCCCTGGTGTCATCGTTCGAAAATCACAGGCATCTGGGAGGGCGTTTTAGTTTTGTATTTGCAGGAAGCGACCACCGGTTGGCAAGGGCAGTTTCTTGACCTTCGCTCGCTGCGTGCTTATCAGCTGCGATATCTACACTCGCAGTATTTGTGAACCCCGCTGTGACGCACGGATAGTAAAAGACTGCAGATGTGCCATGTGCAGATAAAAAGAACAATACAGCGTGCGACAGCAGGCGAGGAAAAGGGGGGGGGGGGGGAGGGAGCGAGCAAAGGTTATAGTGAACTAGCTTGAACACTGTACTGAGGTGGCCAAAGGAGGTCGACAGAATAAAAAAAAGAATTAATGGGCAAGGAGGCGCCAGGTATTGGTTAGCGGGACTGCAGCAGATGAGTGTAAGGAGTGCGTTTATTATGTGGGAGAAAAAAAACTCCAGATTTGTGACGACTAAAGTTGGGTGTACGTTCATTTTGCGAGTGCGTTAAGTACACGAGTAAATACGGTAAGTAGAATGGGACAGTTTTAATCAGGTGGCTTTGAAATATACTGAAGACATAGCGGCCCAACACAAAATTCAAGATTTCTTTGAATTAAATGGAAGTTCAAATTATCAAGATTCTACTGTAGCTTCATGTTGGCTTGAAGACTATACCTCAACTGAGCCTGTCGTTTTGGATGTCCTGATGAGTCCAGCATTGGCAAGCATGTGGTAAGGTGCTACGGCGTGAACAGGCTGGCAGACATTGATGTAGTATATGTATCCAGGGTCCACCAAATTCAACACAGTGTGCCTGCCTGCAGACTTGATAAGGGGCGAGAGGTCATACTGCTCCTTTCCTTCGTCGACAACACAGTGCAGCTGCAAGAATATGTTACACTTTATAAAGTGATACCTACATGTGGCAATGCAGGAATGCATGAAATTTTTTTGAAACTGTTTATGTTACGTTATTGAATACTAATAGCAGCAAAACTTTATGCTAAGTTGGTAAGAAATTACTAGTGTTCACTATGAAAAATCGTGGCAGGAAAGCATAACTGGCAGTTGCGCAATTTTGCTGCTTTTAGCTCTGAAAAGTGTCTGCCGAGACTTTAGAGATGTACAAGCTGCACGGAAATAAACGTATGGGGCCACAAGAGATCCACTGCAGCATTACCACAGGCTGGAAGAGGCTGAAATCCAAATCTTGACACATCTCGAAAATTCCAACTATATTCCCAGAATGGCGTCTGATATTGGATGTCACATGGGTTTTCAACTTCGTAGGTTCAATATCATTTTCAGTAAATGGTAAAAAGTTCTTTAAACTTTGACCACAAGAGCGTCTATTTGTTACAAAATAATGATGCCATCAACCTCAAACAAACTTTGAAACAGAAAGGCTGCCGTTTTAGACTGTGCGAAACTACACCTTTCACACAAGTAAACACTTTTTCTTCGTGACTCGTTCTGGCATTGTTGGCCATGTTTGCTGCAGCACTACGAATTCAAGCTAAGAAATTGTGCGCACTCACCACCCTACGACATGCGCGCTCAGTGTACCACACGAAGTAGTAGGCACAGTTGCTGTCCACGTGAAGCAACTGTGGACCCAGGTGGGAGCGGCCGGCCGATGCGCACACGAACTGGATCATGGTGCTTCGCCTTGTGTAAGGTTGCAAGAGAGCATTGGGGCACCAGTCGCCCTCGTCGTACTTCAGGTACATCACTCCGTCGTGCATCAAGTGAATCCGATTGCTGGCCAGCCCCAAGTTGACAACCTTGCCCGTTTTATTGTCCATGGCACACAAGCCTGGTGGAAAAACGCGTACAAAAAAAAAAAAAAGAGGAACACTTATCAACATCCGGTTTGTCCGAGGAACACGCCGAACTGCTGCACTAATGACCACCAGTGCAGCACTTGTTTGCGTTAACTACAAAATTCAAAACAGCAAGAGATTGACAGCAACTGTCTGTCCTGACACAGAGCTATAATTTAACAACACTAATAGAATTTTCAACACTTACCCGCTCTTTTTCCACAGAGGTCTGCTGGCAAAGACCCGCAAACATTCAGGAAGTAAGTGTATCCGTCCTGAGAAACATTAACAGGAAACACACTACGCAGTGCAGACATGTCGAATTCTTCATCTGGATGGAGAAAAACAAAAAGAGGAGGCTTATTAAACGAGCAAAATTTTGAATGAAGCAGAAAATTATGCAAATAATTTACAGGTAGTAGCTGCCTGTACAGAATCGTTTGGCATATGGCAAAATGTTACCAATAGACTTATGTCTTTGTAAAGTGAGCCCCTGGGCACGTGCGACACTGCCAAGACTGTCGCACATGTGCAGTGAAAAAGCAGTCTGCACAAAAGCAAGGTGGTACTTTAAAGGAAATTATTAAAAAAAAAAGGACTAACATACCAGTGAGGGTTTCTCAAGAAACTGGAATGATAGGCAATATAAAAATACCACACAATGTACAAATCATTCTACTACGAAGTTTTAGTACTTCCTTTGCAAAATAATGCTCATGTGGGAAAAAAAAGAAATATATACTTCCCCTTGAATTTAAGAGCCGCACCAAAGAAAATAAAATTTAACTAGTAGATTTCTCAGAACACACGGTCACTCTGGCTTTCACATGGCAACTTGATCACTTCAAATTTGCCAATGTATTACGCAGTTATGAACCTAAGAGTTTACAGCAGTGTTAGCCCTGCAGTAACCTATAATAAAGAAATTAAAACCAAGTGACAAAAAAAAACGATCCACGAACTTTCAGAATCGCTGGACACTAAGATTTTTGGCAGGTTCTATGGAACTACCACTACCACCACCACCATCACTACTACACTTTTACCCCACTAAGACACCACTAGGACCACATTCTGAAGTTATTACTTTTGGGAACAGTGTCACTCTTTGCAAACATTGAATCTTGCATGTGGTAACTGAATTGATTGCTTGCCCACCTTTCCCTAATTAACTTGTCGTTTACACTGAAAGCGATATTTTGCCAATCTGCAAAAGAGGTCATGTGAGGATACAGGCCCGTTTCCCGGTGCAGGCAGAATTTAGAGTGCAAGTGAGCATACAAAAGGGCATGAAAGTGAACACTTTGCTTTAAGCACGTTAACACCACTTGCGAAGGCGCGATCATTTACACCTCCTGGTTAAGACATTAGCACGTGCCACTACCTGCGCCACTACCAAACTGCTTCCTCTCCAAGCTATTTCAAGCTAAGACCATATCCGCTTCTTTCCCTCTGAATCACTGCTGCGATAAGCCCACCTACAAAACGAATGCCCAGTCAGGAGAGGTACCGCAGACACTATATCTACGTGCGATAGCACATAAGGCACTAATGCAATGAGATGCACTGGTGTTACGGGTTCAAACAACCAACCACTTTCATGACTGTTTACGGAAATAAAGATTTGGTTGAACATGACCAGTGAAGCCAATAAAAAGCACGACCACAAGCCCAACCCCAGGGCCTACACTCCTGGTTACACCTATGTGGGCATGGCAAGAAGCTCGTTTAATCAGATGACGCAGCAGTCTGGCACCACTTACTGGTGAGAGGATGAAGCACTTTGCAGTCATCGTACACGGCATCCTCCGTCATTGGACAGGCGTAGGCAGTGCGCCACTGAAAGTAGTATGTGCACCTTTCCTCCCGCAGCAAGATTGGGTATCCAGCCTGAAGGATTTGGTACATCTTCAGCACAACTACAATGGACACTCGATAATTCGAACTTGAGGGGTCTTCAGGATTTTGTTTGAATTACATCAGAAGTTCTCAAATATAATTCAAGGCAACATACCAACTAGCATCGTGGTGTTTAGTTTCTCAGTGCCAAAACAGCTTCACAGGTCACTTTGCGTGACTGACAGCGAAGTTTCAAGGCATTAGTGATCAAACTGGTACTCGCTGTTATGCAACACGTGCATAATTAAGGGACAAAATCTGTTGCATTCTTAACAATTGATGGCCCCGTCCCATGTGTGGGACACTTTCTCTCATGGCACTAGCGTACAGCCGCAGAAGTGACATTCGGCACCCTGTGGCTAAAGGCAAACTTTTGTTGTTTCCCCCTCAAGTCAGCAAGCAATCAGCATGTGCAGTTTGGCTTTCTTGTAGGCAGAAAATGTGCTTTATCTGACACTGTTAGTGAATCAATAATGCAAACGTTTAGCTAGGAGCAACAAAGGCAGCAGGTATTTCTAGGCTACACAAGCAAAGACTTAAATAATCAAATTTGTGCAGCGGGGCAGTTTGGATTAAGTGCTACGATTTAAATTGCATAAAAAACAAGGTGGGCAAATCTAAAATTAACTATTGTTTACATTCACTGAAAGTTCAAAATATCAATTAATTATTGATCGATTCATTGATTTGATTGATATGTGGGGTTTAACGTCGTCCAAAAACTACCATATGATCATGAGAGACGCCGTAGTGGAGGGCTACGGAAATTTCAACCACCTGGGGTTCTTTAGGTGTACTCAAATCTGGACACATGGTCCTACAGCATTTTCGCCTCCATTGAAAATGCAGCTGCCGCAGCAGGGATTCGATCCCACACGCTGCGGGTCAGCAGCCGAGTGCCTTAGCCACTAGACTATCAATGAGTTATCGAGCTTCTGCTATATCTTAACTGCCACAGGTCTTCCCAGCAGACAGAAATAGCTCTAGCGAGACCCATTTTGCGACTGTCTAAAAATGACACATAAGTAACAGCATAAAATTCACCTGTGAAAATGCACTGGCCCAAAAGACACTTGTGTAAAAGATAGCTAGGCGACTGTTTGCCATTGTGAAACTATTGCCCGCTTTCTATAAACAGGGAAAAACGTAAATATATTTCTAAATATCCCTGCCATTGCAAAAATGTGAATAAAGAGCACACTATATGCTGCTTCCTCACAGGCTTAGGCGATTCCCCAAACAGCTTACAGCTGATGTGGTCAAGGTGAATAAATAATTTTAAAAAAGAATTATATACATACGTACATACATACATACATACATACATACATACATACATACATACCTTGATGCTCTTGTCACACTCAAATTCAATCACTGTCTGCATACGAACTGGCTGGCTGCGTGAGCTCCTCGTATGACAGATGTCACCCGAAGTGTACTTGATTTTGACGATGCCGTCTTCAAAAACTGGAGGTTGTTGAACCTGGCCTATGTTCTGGGTGCTGGAAGCAAAGGAGGCGGCAATGTCACTAATGCCACGCAGCCTTTATTTTAAACACAAGTGCAATAGAACAGACCCCTAACCCTTCCTGGTTCGACAGTTCCTGTAGAAAATATGCAATAAATGATTTAAGTATTTCCAGCAACGCACACTGCATAACTGCTGAAAACACCAGAAATAAACAGTAACACTTTCATAAATGAACACTTGCAAAATACCCACTACGCCAAAAATTAACTTTTTTCAGGTTGGGAATACAAGTAAACTGGTGAGGTACCCACTACACTATAAATTTTTGTGTTTTATAATGTGGAAAAACATACACTATGTCATTGTTTGCCATTCTGCGGAGAAATGAGGTACCTGTGATACACCTCTAAGGCATTATGTGCACCCTATTCATGCTGTGGCTGATGAATTATGGCTGAGCCCTTTGTAATGCATTGGAAGCTTTCAACGACCCACTTGCTACCTGCCACGTTGTGGAACGCCTGCTTGTTTTACCCTTCTACCACAATATACTACACATGTTAACAAGGTTCCTTCTCAACATAAAGCCGGTATACGCTCTTTTTGTGCAGGAGCTTCATGCACTAACATGGCTCTGTGGCAGAATACTAGGCTGCCATAGGGATGGGACAAGACCAAGCCCCATTTCATCCAGATTCTTTTTTTTGGTATCGTGTGACAGTGAATATAGACATCATAGGCAGAAAACTACAGTGCCAGAAGCAGTCATTATTGTGATCTTACAACTGCTTTCACTGTAAAAAAAATGCAGCAGTTTCAGGTCAGAAAAGAAACTTACACATGAGGTTTAAGCACAGCACAGGCACCAGCTGTTTTCACACACACCGAACCTGAAAAACGAAATTCACACACACAAATCAAAGAACCGACCGGCGAGACTGGTCACTAGGTCTATATATCTAAGGCACTATATCCTTGAAAAATATATTCACTACATCTACAATACAAAGCCTTGTTTACAAAATGTTTTAATTTGATGCACTGACGAGCTAGGTTATGTCTGGTTGTGAGATACCTTAGCTTAGGAGAAAGACTAAAGGTGAGTGTTATAAAAAATAAGGATGCTACTCACGGGTATCAGCTTGAAAAGTGAAATGAGACAAACAAAAAGTGATGTCAGAATGACTGCCTCAGATAATGCCGCTAATGGACAAAACGCAAGTCAATGCCTGATCCATTGCTCTCTTACCAGAAGTCATTGGCAATAGCACAGCTCCAAGACAAAACTTGCCGAGAAATTGTGAAAACTGAGAAAGCTATACGCAAAAGTATTCGCCACAAAAGGCCATGTACAAACACTAACTGAACTCACTGCTGCAACATAGCATTGGTTTCACGATTTCGAGTGCATTACCGAAGCAACTAATAGCGTGATATTGCTTAACATTTTACAGTTTTTTAAGTCAAGCTCCAACACTGTAGTTCGAAGCTTCAAAAAAGTCACTTCTTTCCAAGGCAGACTTAGCACAACCAAAAAAAAAAACTGAAGCAGTATGATGCGCTCAAGTGTCAACACTGCGATGAGAACTTGGTGGCAACGAGAGCTTTTCGAAAATAACCTTGCCTCTCTTACCAACAGGAAAATCAACTGATGGTAAAGGCATACGGTAAGAAAGGCAAACATTTAAAATATAACCTTCTATATTGTGAAATCGATAGATTTTTAAATCAATTATAATAGCAATATTATATAAAAATAAAAGACTATGAAATAGGCTCTTTATTACTGCATTAATTCCCACAAAAATAGTGCAAACCTTAGTTCTGCCTTCCTTGAGTGTTAAAAGGAGCTTATAATAATACGACGCACCCAACACAAATTTCCAAAGCTACTCTGCACGAATGCCAAGCTTTTTCACAAAATTCTCAGTAATCAAAACTTGTGAACACAAGTTTTTGATGTTATCTGCCAAAGTAAGAACAATGTCCCAACCCAACAGCTGCCCCAAAATATACGTACCAGGACCGTAGATGACGCTGCGACACACGTTGAGAACGTACTTTGTCCCGTTCGCCGTCGTCACCACATAGTTGTTCTTGGGATCCGACAGCGGAGACAGGTCCACGAGACCATCCTTGCCGTGCATCACGCTGCATTCGCTCTTCACAATCGGCGGGCAGGCCAACATGGTGCGCCACTCGAACGTGTAAGTGCAGTCTCTAGATTCCGACAGGAATTCGGGACCTTGCCAGCCCATCGTAGAGTGGTCGCACACGAAAGTGACGACAGAGGTACGGTTGAAGTTTCCTTTGCAACCACCTGAACCTTGGGCATACGTCAGGGTCACCAAGCCGTTCCTGTACACCAGCGTGCTGTTAGGCTTGCCTGTAATAGAACAACAAGAACTAGCATCTGCACATAACTTCAGATTAGTAAAGGGAGACTGGAGGAAAAAAAACTTTTTTATATACTAGTAAATTACCCTTCCACAATACTAAACCCACCACGCTTTCTTCAAGAAGATGCTTGGTAAGCAGGAAAATGTGCCAATAGAGGGGCAAAGCCACGCTACAATTTCTGCACTAGTTGCTGTCAAGCTATAGCTTCAAGGGAGTCTACTAGGGCTTCTATAGTTCGCAACGTGAAAATTATGTGCCTTCTCTAGTGAGAGAAGTAGACGTTGCACATACCAAGTTTCAGAAAATTTTGTTAAGCCAAAGTAGCCAAAATATAAAAAATACCTTGAAATCTGTGCCGTAACGATTGAAGATTTCAGTGGTAAATACAAGAAAAATATTTTACATGAATTTTCTCACTTAACCTATGGTAGCGAAATTAACACCATGGCTTTCAGCACGTTCAAACTAATTTATTATTACACTTCACTGACATAAATGTCACCTACCGGCATCCACGCTGAAATCTGGATCCTCAGTTTTAGTCTGGCACACAGCAGCTCCCGAACATCCCGACTTTGCGGATTTCAAAGGTTGGCAGACGTTGATCACGTACGTGAAACCAGGAGCTCGCACCTCGTAATCTGTAGAGGCATTTTTGAGCGCAGACATGTCATAGACATATCCATAGCGCGGATCCTGCACCTGGCAGTCCGAACCTTTGGACATCTGGAAAAAAGAACGAGAGATGCAACCAAACGGTCAACTAAACGGCGAAGCTCCAGTCCCGTTGACTTGAACAACAAGGTCAGCATCGTAAACAACAAAGGCCTTCCTGAAGAGTATATGAGCAGAAGCGGCTCTTGCGAAAAGGATAACTGACAACCACCCGATTGAAGTCAAAGCCAGAAGAAAATTCATACAGCTATGCGGGAATCGAGTCGTCGACAATTTCTTTCACAACCCTTCCACCACCTCATGAGATTCGACTAAACTCGTTTGCAAAACAAGCTCTTACTTTCAGTGGACAAGCAGCGGGCGTCTGGAAGTCGAACAGCATTTCACAGTCCTCCGACTCTGCCACAAAAGTGGGACCAACCTGCAGCAAGCAAATGTGCAAATTTGAAAATGGCAAAAGCAGATGAGCTGCGCATTGAACAAAAACAGTGCCCCAAGACTTATTTCAGAGACCTGGAATACGTTACAAAAGTGTAACGAAGCATTCTGTGAAACTAAAGCATTTTCGAAGGGGAACTAAAGGAAAATATTAAACCGCTTTACACAGATGAATTATCCTTTCAGAACTCTAGTCACTATCTCGCCACCATAGCTTGGCTATTAAAAAAGGAAACTAAAGTAAAAAATTTGTGTTTGAATTTCGCACCGAAACTTCAGCACACGAACGTCAGCGTGGGGTCGCTACACTGTCTAAACCTACAATGCCACGAATAGCTAGTACACAAACTTCAAGGTGGCTTCACCACCTGTATACATATTCTTGGAAGTGTTCTCGCTTACCGAGTACCTTCTCTGGGCAAGACTGGTTCTTTTAGTACAGTGAAATTGAAATTTACTTATAAGGTACACATTAATTTTTTAGTGAATGTACCTTTAAGCTTTTGCAAGAAAACTGAACATGATAATCATATGCAAAAGCTGTGAAACATTGGTTGAGCATGTAATGTAATGCCTCAAATGTCATCAATTATTCTGTGTCTCAAGCCCTCATGGCTTTTCTACTACCATGATAACTGCACGTAATGGTTTAATCTTTGTTTACTGTCCACAGGGCCATACCTGATAACAGGGCAAAACAGCATAAGATCAAGCGTCACAAGATGGACTTAAGGAGTGGTTAGTCCAGGCACGATCCATGCTACCATAAAGGCCAGCCATAAAATGTGCCATTGATTGCACAGATAAGGACACGCCGTAGTTCATAGAACTGCTGTGCAGCTGAAGCACGATTAAAAAGCGAATGAATTTTTGTCTGGTGAAGACAACCTTCACTGACTTCCTCTTTTCCTTACCAGAATCACAAATTATGAGCATAAATTCTATTAAAAAATCGGGTGAGCATTCAATTTCTGCTTAATTTTAGCAATCCAATTCCACTTCAATGTTAATTTTGCAACTTAACTGGTGGTCTACTTTGCAAAACCTTCGCATCGTATCCAATTTCCTTCTCTCTTTAACCAACTTGCTTAACAAGCTGTTATCAAAAAATAAGAGTGTGATGATAGTGGGTGACAAACATTAAGCTGTGTATACGGCTTTAGTTGGTATGGTCTTGAATGTCAAATCGCATCACCAACTCGATGCTCTGATGAAAGCTCCCATTCTCTTATCGATCATGTTCGAACTAACATCGACCTACCGATTGCTGCAGGTGTTATTAACACTGCCCTTACGGATGACTTTCCAATTTTTGCAGTTTTCGATGCCCATTTCTTTAAACTTGGCACCTCATATTTTACCACAATGTTCGAATTCATCTCAATTAGCTCCATCGACTGGTCTCCTCTCGATTTAATTCATGAGCCTACGGAGGCTTTTATATATTTTTTAGATGTTTTCACGAAGGCAGTTTCTACAACCTCTAGAGTTGTACGCTGTAAAAATCAATTTAGGTACTCGAAAAACCTGTGGATGACCAATGAGCCTGAGAAAAAAAGCTAATTTGTAAAATAAAACCAAAAAACAGCCATTCAATAGTTCTATGCTTAATAGGTACAAAAAGTATTGTAAAATTCTCACTAGCACTCTCCAGGAAGCGAAAAGGCGATACTATGAAGCGGAATTTGTGCGGAATAAAAGTAACCCTAGAAAGCAATGGCAATTGCTGAATGAATTTATAAACCATAAATCGCCAATGGGTATATCTACAAGTGAACACGAAAGCATTACTTTAAGCCAGCCTGCTGAGATTGCTAGCGCGTTTTCCAATCATTTTGCATTACCTCAGGGCAGTCAGCCGTCAACTTTTCAACCTAAAATTAATCGTCCTGTAATTCATTTTACCGTATTTTCTCGCATATAACCCGCCCTCGCATATAACCCGCTCCCCTAACTTTGAACTCCCCGAAAAAAGAAAAAAAATCCTCGCGTATAACCCGCATGCTTAGCTTAAAAAAAACTGTTTTGGGAAGTCACAGTCACAATCTCGTTTACAAAAGAACTTTATTTCGAAGCGATCGCCGCAACGTTGACGGCGCCGATTCCCGTTCCTTCAATCATCGCCCGACTCGCCGCTGTCGCTGCTGCCATCCGAGGCTTCGTCGCCGCTCTCGAAGACGCAATCATCTTCGGTGCCATCCAAGCAATTGCTGATGGCGCACTTTTTGAAACTCTTGCGCACCATGTCGGCCGGAATCGCCCCCCACGCATCCACGATCCACTGGCACAGCAGCGCAATGTCTGGCCTCCGCACGCGCCCCGTCGGTGTGAGGGCGTAAAGGCCGTCGGCCATCCACTCGGCATACAGCCGCTTCACGTGCGCCTTGAACGGCTTATTGAGGCACACGTCCAGTGGCTGTAGCATGGAAGTCATGCCACCGGGTATGATCACGAGGTCGGTGCGGTGGTCAGCGAGGCGCGCTTTCACTGCGTCAGTGCAGTGGCCTCGAAACGAGTCCAACACCAGCACCGACCGCCGTGCCAACATGGCGCCCGGCCTCTTCTCCCAGATCGTGCGAAGCCAGTCACAGACGAGGTCACCATTCATCCACGCGTTATCTTCGGTTCGCACAACAATCCCTGGTGGCAGTGGAGTGCTGGGTAGCGTTTTGCGCTTGAAGATTACATACGGGCGCAGTTTGGTACCGTCCGCCAAAGCGCACAACATTACTGTGCAGCGTAGTTTGGTGTTTCCGCCCGTCAGTACGCTTACAGATTTCGAGCCCTTTTTCTGCAGAGTGGTGTCCATGGGCATCTCGAAGTACACGGGCGTTTGATCGGCATTTCCCACCTGGGAGAGCAAGTAGTTGTGCTCCTTCCGCAGCCCGATGACGTAACGTTGATAGCTCAACAGCTTATCCTCGTAGGCGTTGGGAAGCCGCTGGCACATAGTCGTTCGCCGCCGCATCGAAAATCCGTGCCTGGCCATGAATCGCTGGAGCCATCCACGGCTCGCACGAAACTCGCGTGAGATGTTCATCTCGCGGGCCAACCTCAGCGCTTCCATCTGCGCCATCTCCGTTGACACAGCGTGGCCGCGACTCCTCCGCTCCTCAATAAATTTGACAAGCTGCGTCTCAAGAAGGGGGTACGCACCAGTCTTCGGGCCGCGAAATGCTCGCTTCTGCTTGTGTGCACTTTCGAGAGAGGCCTTTTTTTTTCGCCAGTCGCGAATGCAGGACTCGTCGACATCGTGCCTCCTCGCAGCAGCTCTGTTGCCGATTTCTTCCGCAGCAGCTATAATCGCGAGTTTTTCTTTCGCGGTGAAAGATTGTCGCCGAGACCCACTCATGGTGCCTCACCAGACAAAGCTGACCAACGGTGCAAACTGGCCACACCTGACTCTGAGACAGACGCTGTCAAATCGCTGTTGTGACGCTGTTGACCAAATCAAACAAAGCACGCAAAAAGTGAATAAACACGCTACGGACGGGATCTGTCTATGGCCTATGTTGGCTTTTATTGGCTTTGCACCAGACGATGCCGATGGGGATGCGGACTGCACGGCAGGCTATGCATTGCCGTGAAGCCGACCTCTGCTTCCGGATTATTCGCAGATAACCCGCACCCCCACTTTTCAGGCGATTTTTTTCAATTTTTGGTGCGGGTTATATGCGAGAAAATACGGTATCTTTTCCCGTTTACGCCAAGTGAGGTGCTATCTACTATCTGCGCTCGCAACACGAGCCCTGGATTAGATGGTATTTCAGTACGCCACTTAAAGCTGGTTGCTGACGTAGTTTGCGAACCCCTATGTGCAATAATTATTTTAATCTTCAAAACTGACGATATTTAACGTATTAAAACGTGCTAAGGTAATCCCAGCTTTTAAGGAAGGTAATAAAGAGCTGCTCCCCATCTATTTCTATCCTCCCCTCCCTAAATAAAATAATTGAAAGGTTATTTGTGTCCAGACTAACGAAGTACTTAGATAAATTCCACATTGTCAAATCTTGCCAGTTCGGTTTTCAGGCTGGAAGTTCTACTAATTTAGCCTTACTTTGTCTAACAAATTTCATTACGAACAGTCTTGATGAGAAAGAATTTATCAGTTCCGTCTTCCTCAACCTTACCAAAGCCTTTGACACCACTAATCACACAATTTTGTATCGTAAATTATAGGCCTACAGTATCACAGGCCCTGCTCTAACATTTTTAAAGCATTCTTTTACTGAAACATTTTCTCTTCCTAAAATTACTAATTAAGGAGAGCCACAAGGTTCAATTTTGGAACCTTTGATTTTTACTCTTTATATTAACGACTTGCCAGACACCGAATTATGCCACTATGTATTGTGTGCAGATGATATAACTATATCCGTATGTGATATACAAGTTCATAACTAAATAAATTAAATATGGCACTTGACCACCTAATTAAATGGTGTAACAATAACGAACTACTTATTAATCCATCTAAAACTAACTTTTTCGTGTTCCATCCCCATCAAAAGCCTTTAATAAACTTTCCTTCCTTATCATTAGGAAATCATTCTATTCCCATGAATGGCTCTGTGGTATTTCTATGTGTGACATTGGACAGCAATTCGAAGTTTCATCTACACATCAATCATATTAAAAAGATGTCGGCCTTTGGTATTCGTGCCCTTATTAAGGCAAGTCAGTATTTTTCACTTCCTGCATCGCTTTCACTATACATTGCACTTATTCATTCGCATATCAACTATGGCATAATCGTTTGGGGTAACACCTATCATTGTTATCTTCATTCCATCCAACATATACAAAATCAAGCCATACGCATCATAACTTACAGTTGTCCACAATCAGATGCCTTCAGCTGGCTTAATGAGCACAAAATTTTATCACTTAAGTTATTTCAGTATAACATAAGCATAATGTTTTATAAGTTAATTAATTCCCAGCTCTCCTTCGAATATATTGAATGTAGCTCGCTCAAGACTATTACCCCCCAAGGTTTGCTCCTTATCATAATTACTTGCTAACACTCTTTTGCACTATGATAAAAAACCACCTAAATTTTCTTCTATTCTTCTTTAGAATAGTTTGCAATTTGAACTTAAATCTTTGCCCCCACTCTTACATTTTAAAACGTCAATAAAACTTTACCTTTAAGTCTAGAGGGCTTACCTTACTTCTGGTATATAATTTTTTTTCCACTTGTCCTTGTTTACTTTATGTACTTATTCTCGTTTTTCGTGTAAAATTTTCATTTCTCCCTTCAATTTTTTGTGCACATTTTCTATTCTGTATTGCTTCTGTGTGTCATATTGGACTTTTCCTAGCATTGCTTTTTATATTACTTTTTGCATTGTGCCTTTTCTTTTATTATATTTCTTTTTTTTTTTTCAACTGCTCTAGCATGTTGCTGCTTGTTTTGCCTTGTATGAGTTTCTTATTACCACCTGCTAATCTTCTGCCAATTGTTTCAATTCACTTTTGTGGTAGTATTCAACTGAGGGTCCCGTTTACAGTATTCATACCCTGGGACCCTCATCTGTATACAAGTGTTATGTAATCGATGCTTTGTAACAAATAAAAACTGAAAGTGAAACTGAAACCTTACGTTGCAGCTAATACCGCAAGTACAGTTGGCAAAGTTTTATTTTTCTGCCTCTTACTCGACTCAAAACCCCAAATGATTCAACAAGTTTCACTAGTCCGATCAAGGTCCAATTAATGAACTGTAGAATGCACAACAATCTTTCAGAAAAGAGAAAACATGGGCAAACTTGAACAACATGTGCGATCAGCTGCAACGTGCAATTTGATGGCCAGACGTGCTGGCTTAGACACTACAGTTTGTTTCTATTTTACATGTACGACTTACCATTTTTTCAACCTGCACATGAGAGCGTCAACCAGAGTTCATAAGCGCCATGCAACAGAGTATAGTGGCAGAATGACGTAAATTGCACTTGTGCACGCAGTGAACAGTCTGGTGTAGCTTTGAACCAGGTCTGTTATACGAAATGGACTTGATGCCATCTTCCTTTTTGTCCTTTCACTTTTGTCTCGTTTTCGACTTTCAGTGGCAGATATTTTTTTGCATCAGCAGAGTAGAGTGTTGCACGAACCACAGAAGAAAAATAGAAAATGCTCGTATGTCTTATTCCTTTTTGTCCCAAGCACGACACCTCGATTTTTTTTTTTTAATACACTCCAAACTCGATATAATGAACAGGTATATAACAAAATATCTGTTATAACAAAGTTAAGGAAAAATAGTTTTTCAATAGGTACAGTATTCAGGATATACCTTTATAACGAATTTTCAGATATAACAAACTTATTTGTGTGTATGATGCCACTTTTTTACGAGGTTTTGGTGAAACATGGTGGCAGCATTCAGGGACGAAAAAAGGATGATTATTATGTTAAAATGAAAGGAGGGTGGTGTGCACTTCCCAATACAGCCCAGCAGAAGTCAATTGCACAAGACCGCTCATCATGCATGTGCGCACAATCTTGTTTATTTTGCCACTGTGCTCCATTACATGGCACTTTCCAACTCGCCAGCTGAAAATCACGCATTCAAGTTAGAAAATTGGGCAGCTGTACATAATTACCAAACTGGGTTTGTGAAGCTACCAAAAGCCTGTCTTAGTGTGCATACGTTTCAATTAGAAAAGCATGCAGAGCCACCACAAGCACCGCCAACAACCCACCTGTTCATCGTTGCAGATGAGAGAGACGACGGTCTTGCGAGTGCGATGGCCGTTGGCGCAGGGACCACCGTTGGGGTACTGTACGAGCACAGTACCATCACCGGTAACCGTGGGCTTGCCGTATGCATTTCCCCAACTGACGCCTGGCAGAGTGGGCGTCTGGGCATCTGTCTCGCAAACAGCGACACCAGCTGCGCCACAAGTACAAAACACAAAGTAACAACATGCACTTTTTTTCTCTAGAATACGACACTTGGTTTCCCGTGTAGCACACTGGTTCCAGCACTCAAGTTTTTAGTGCAACAGTAAAAAAGAAAAGGTTGCACACATGAATCACAAGGACAGACTGAATTGCCAAGCAGGTGGGTCCCTCCTATGTTACAGTGCTAGAGTTGACGCTTGAGGTATTGGCACCACGAAGAGGGGGGAGGGGGGAGAGAGTTATGGGAGCTCAAACATGAATTAGCAGCATAAATGTGAGCCTGTTGCAATACAAGAAAAGAAACTGTCAGCAGTGCTTACAGCCACTGCTGTCAACTCCAGCACAGAGTTTTCATAAATGCTCTATCAGATAAAGCTTGCTCATTTTCGTGACGTCAAGCGTTTCTCAAGTGCTAAATTTAGTTTACCTTCCTGTGTAGGCAATGGATTCCAAAATCGCTGCTCAACCAAGCGTAGCATTTCAGATAGCAATGACTAACCATTACCTTTCATATGCATAGTATTTACATAAGTCGACGAAAATACATTTCAATCAAGAAACAGATAGAATGACTCAAGTAATGAGTGGGCGTGTCCCAGTTCTAAGGGTGGGGCTTGCAGAGTTCATTAGTTCCGAACTGACTATAGCCTTTATCCCCTCGCTTTAAGCCTTTAATATGTCTTTTTTTTTTTTAGGTGAATGCAGGAGCTGCTTTTTTAAGTTTATTGACACATTTAACATACCGCAAAAAAGCTTCACAAAATATTTTGTTCCCTTAGTCTGGATCAGCAGTTCTTATTTGAACAGCGGAAATACGCACGTGTTGTAACAGCAGTTACAGGTGTTCACAGTCAACATTATAGGAGGGGGGGGGACTACTTACGTGGACAGGAGTAGCCCGGGCTCGGGTTCAGTGATTGGCAGAAGGAGATGTGGAAGTGGCGATTGCTCTTGGAGTGGTACACCTCCCAGTTGCCGGTGCTCAGCTGGAGGGGCGTCAGGTCGTACTCGTAGCCATAGAAGTCATCAAAGACGCACTTCGCAGGCACTGGTTCACAAGCCAAGGGTGTGGACAAGCCAAACACCAAGAGCGAGGGCTCCTCCTTCAGCAGAGACATATGGTGACCGTTGGTACCTTCGTTGCAGGTGGCATCGATGACCACTTTGAAGGCTGCGGCTGCGTGAGAAAGCGGACCGTTGAAGTAATGAAGAGAGATAGTGGGAATACAGTCGTGCCACAATCTCGCGTGTGGTTGAAGGTTTTTTTTTTTTTTTTTTTTCAGATCGAAAGGTTGACATGAATTTTATGAAGAGCTCATTTCAACCGATAAGTTACTAATGAGCCCATTGAAATGAATAACTTTCAAAGCTGGCAAGCAAATCTTTCATTAGTGATTAATCAGGCCTCTGGATTATTGACTTGCTGGCGTTTTTTAATGGCCACCTGATTAAAATACACAAACAGTTCAGCATTTTCAATTCAAATAAAAGTTGCTGCTGAGGCTGGAAACTGAACCCGCGACCTGGAGCTTGGTGGCACGACACTACGTTTTGTTGTTTATGAAAACCTGGTCTCAAAGAAATCACTTCATTTTTAGCAGTGCATAGTACATTCAGCAATACAATACAGCAGCTTCCATTTCTTCCGATGGATGCACCAGTGTTTTAAGCTTCAACTAGCAATACATTCAGCGATCAATACAATCTAATAATTGTTGGAATTCACACCCCAGAATAATAATACGACTAGCATGAGAGATGTCTGGCATTCTTTAACATGCATCTTATTATGAGTACCAGGGCCTCCAGCCTTTTGCCTTCATTGAAATGCAATGAACCTTCAAGGTCCACAGCAGAGCAGCATAACCACTGCTCCACCTTGGCGGGTGCTTGAGAAGGAAGATCATTGCAGTAACAAAGAGGGCAAGCAGGAACTCAGATGTTTTACAGGTTCACAAGCATTAGCTTTTTTTTTTCCAGATCCAGAAGATATGGTTTTTATAGAGAGCTTACTTACATCTCCGAGTTACTAATGAGCTCATTTGAACAAATATTATGGTATGTTCAACTTTAGTAAGCTAAATCTGTCGACTTGAAGGAACCAGTTTGAGCAGTAGAGTTACACTGTTGCTTTCAAATTCAGAATTTGCATCGACAAAAGAGCTCCCCTCACCAGTGTGATTGCTGTAGTTGCCCACGTAGGTCAGGCGAAGTGAGCCAGGCTCGTCCGAAGTCAGGGACATGCCGTTAGTTTTGGCAAGCTGCTTGGCAGAAGAGCCCTTCACCATGCACACACTGGTGTTACCCTTGCCAGAGCAGTGGCCTCCGTGCACTGGTCCACACACATTCAGCTGAGGGGAGTTTAACATTTAATTCAGACAATGACAAAAGCAAAAAAAAAAGGTACATTTGTCTCATCTAGAAGGCTGATAAAGTTCGCGACAGAGCATCAGATCTTTTTTTCATATAATCATGACGTTTAAGTAGAAATACAAAAAAACAGACTTTTTTCACATAACTACAAACATGAGTATAACAAATTGGTGCTTTGAGATACGTACACAATATTCACTTAGAGATGCTGCACGTCTGAATGCACAATACATGAATATGCAGGGACACATACATACATTTGACATATAGCATCACTGCAGTCTTTAAAAAAAAATAATGAGATAGGACTAACAGCAGATGTTCAAAATGTCTGCAAACAGAATTGGCCTCAGCCTCGAGAAATAGCACACGGCAGCTCAGCGCACTTAGAGGGTGTTACACCTTAAAGGGTCCCTGCAACACTTTTTGAGCATGGTCAGAAAACGCTGCCAATCGGTAGTAGAGGCTCTCGACAACACTCATGCCAAATATTAGAGCACAGAAGGCGGCCTGCAATTCACAATAAATGATCAAAGTCAGCTAAAAATTGCTTTCTCTTCTCTCTACAAATGACGGAAGATGCTCAAAAATCACTCTGAGAAAGACCATCTATCAGCCATTGACCGATTTGAACATGGCGCGTTCAATCGTTGCAGAGTTCGCCGCGAGAGGCCGCGATTTGTCCACACGTGCGGGCGCGATCACACAGAAAAAGTTGCGCATTTGAAAAAAGAAAAAAGTGCTCAAGGTCGCGAGGCGCGGGTGAGGTGTTTTCTTTGCCCCTGCCATCCCTCCTTGCTTAGCTTCCAGCGCTTTCATCGGGGGCGAGAGAAGGGAATGCAATTGCAGCATGCGACAAATCTTGGTAACTCCACTAGCACTATATGAATTCTTAAAATTTTTGCGGCGTTGAATTTGTGAGGCAATAAGCTCTTTCAGTGAATTCATTCCATGGGTACTTGAAAAAGTGTTTCAGGGCCCCTTTAAAGCAGTCCAGGCATGAACTTTCCGAGTTTTGAGTGACTGCCTGCTACCTCCATGCTCAAGCATGCGTCAAGATTTGTACTGTTTCCAGATAAAATACTTTATGTGTTGTCAGCATTTTGGTTTAAGCTTGCACTAGAGTACACAAGCAAAGGCCAGAACGCTAGTTAGTGTGTGCGAGGGCTGTTACAGCTGAACAAGACTCTTACTAACATGGCTGTAATGAATTATCAGGATGTGAAGAACTAAGAAATTTTGCTTGTCATAAATGTATTCAATGGAGTACATTTCTGCTTGAATATTGAAAATGCGAGACAAGACAGCACTGTTTAGAGCAAAGAAAATTCGTTTTCACACACTTCAACCACATTCTGGTAACCTTCAATGCAGTAACTGAACCCCAAAGATGTTTCTGCTGGCCGTTACAGTCAAACCTTATTATAACGAAGTTGAAAAGAGAGTCCTAATTACATTGTTATAACCATTAGTTTGTTAAAGCTAATATCCATTTCTAACAGCAATTAGCCAGCAAGAGACTGTACTCGCCAATGAATATCACAACTGCCCTCCGCGCAGATTAAAACGGCCGTCGGAAGGCAAAAAAACCAGAAAAATAATAAAGAACAATGCACTTTCTTTCCATTGAATTCAGCACACCAGCTGACAGATCACTTCAAAGAAAAATAGTACTCAATAGACTTTTGTTGACTCTTCCTCCCGCGGATGACTGCTTTTTGAGCTGCAGCAGCTATTTCAAGTCCGTCCTCGCCGTGATCATAAGCACCAAAAAAGTGGCACAGCAGGTCTGTGCCACTTCTGCACAGCAGGTCTGTGCAGAGCATCCAGCGCATGCTTGGGCGTCGGTACGTCGGGTTCACGAACATTAGGCTCCTGGGTGTCGACATATTCGTCACTGTCGCATTGCACCCCAGTCACCAATTTCCACATCTGACAACTTTTCGGTTGTCACCGCATCAACATCGGCACCGACGTCAAAGAGAGCGTCCAACGTCTGGGCCTGGTCGCCTGTGGCACCCACACATCGCCGAAATCTTCGGCCACTTTTTTTTTTCTCGATACCAGATTTAAGAGCTTTCAACATTGCCGACTTCAGCTCAATTGTTATATTTTTGCGCTAACGTTTGCCGCTGTCGTTGCCCATCTCTTGTCTAGCGGCGGAAATGGATAGAGGTGGTGTTGCTCTTCCACAGCGAACGACAAAGAAAAAATCCACAATCTTCACCGCCCCAGCAGCGTGCGGGGCCCCAGCGCAGAGTTGAAGGGGAGAAGGAGGTCAGATGAGCGGTTGGGTCAACAAGTTCTACAGGAGAGGGGGGGGCCGACTGACGCGCACACTTGCGCGAGTTGCTGCGAGGGCGGGTCCATTAGTTCTAGAGGAGAACGGAAGCGGGGAGACTCTCCCACACGAGTGTTGGCAAGAGACTCCTGGGAATTACCGCGACCGTGATGAGAGGTAAACCGTCGTGCGCTATAAGATATCGAGAATATACTAAAATGATCAGTAACTGCTCATTGTGGACGAGGAATTATTCATTATACACATTGTAGGGAAATTTTTGTTTCCTTAAAACGAGGTTTTAAATACATGGGCGTCTATGGAAATTTCAAGGGGAATCACAATTGCTTCATTGTATCCATTAGTTTGCTATATCCCGCTTCATTACAACGAGGTTTTACTGCATAGCCACAAGCCGCTGCTGAAGGCTACACACGCTTAAAGCAGTTATGCAGGTCACTTGGGCAACACAGAAATCCGGAATAGAAACCAGAGTTGCCCTGCTCTTCCTCCTCACCTCATAAACGACATCGCCACGCGTGACCGTGTAGAAGCTGTCCTGCAGGTGCAGCGAAGAGAGACTGTATGTGGTTCCCTGCCGGTCCGTTAGTGTGCAGGAGTTGAGCGCCTCCAGATGACTCACAGGGCAGGCCATGTGAGTCACCCACAAGAACTTGTGCTGACAGGTCTCCCCACCCTTCAGGTAGTGAAGCTGCTCGGGCTGAAGTGAACAAGATGCTCGCATGAATGTAAATTTAGTCAGGCCTGCGCGCAACATGCAGCACAGCCAATGATACCTGGAGGAGTAGCCTTCCTAGAGCCCATTGTGGTTAACCTCTCTTGGGAAAACTAGTACACTGCAAGTACAGTAGCAAGGTACCCACTACACCTTAAGTCATGATAGCCTTAATCTTTTTTTGCAGAAGAGAGGTATCTACTCTGCATCTGTAAGGCGTTATGTGATGCTGTGACGGATGATTAATTGAAAGTGTAATGAGTGGGATGCTTCAAATCACCGACTCATCACACAAATGGCATTGTGCAACACCTGGCATTATTTTACTCTTCTGACAAATTACATTTGTTAACAGTTCTCCGCCTGATGCTACGGCTGTATAGGGTCTCTTTGCAAAGGATTTTCAAGGCTCTGCGGTGGCATACTCGTGCCATGCAAGAGAGCCTGGGTTAGCATTCTGCTTGATCCTGGATTTTTTTTTATTTTTCTTGCATGTAATAACTGTTACAAAAGGCGTCATTGCCAGTCTCTACACTGGAAATTGTAAAAAGTTATAATAAAAAGTAATCTTGAAACGAAATTTTTTTTGTTCAGCAAAACAAGTTATCGGAAGATAAAAGAACTTCAACTGTCTGATTAACACCCTCCCTGCCAAGAAGGGAGAGCTACTGTCAACACAGACACCCTCGCCACTTGCATCGGCTAGAGCCTGCAAGTGGTCTACAGCTGCGAGCAAGTATTAGGGGTACACGGCACCAGCAAAAAGAAGTATCTTCTAGAGCAGTGGTTCTCAGCCATGGATGTGTCGGGGACCCCTTGTGGACTGGTGGAAGGTGATGGGAGACCCCGGAGGGGATGGTGGGGGGTTACGTAGGTAAATTAACACAACTGGAACGTGAAACAGGTGCCTCTAATTACTACCAAAAACATCAAACATGCCACATCACTTCATTTTGGACAGTTCATCAATACGTGGCACAGTTACACTTAAAGAAAAATGCAGGTGGGGGTTTCGCGCATCATAGAAATGGTTTTGCGGACGCCCATTTGAGAACAACTGTTCTAGAGCAACTCCACAGTGTAGATTTGCTTCAATACATTACATTGGCACAACATGCGCGCTTATGCTAATGTGCGTGGCGAAAAAAATAATACTTTGCAGTAACAATTTGTTCTCTAACGTTTACTCATGACTAAGTTTACTACCATATTTGCTCGCATAATCCTCGCACTTTTTTGCCAGAAAATTGATGCAAAGTTGAGGGGTGCGAGACTTACGGGGGGGAAACTTTCCACTAAAACTCAGAGAGCAAAAAAGAAAACGAAGTGGCCGCTAATCAAGATTCTCACACCAGCAACTTGCAGCAAGCTTTAAGAATTACTAATTATAACTTACCTCAACAATAGAAGCAGAACTTCAACACAAGGCAAGATTTATTTGAGACAAAATGTGGAAGCAAATAGTCGAGAATTAGAATACCATACACAAAGCTTGTGGACGTTGCGGGCGTAGCGATAACTTTTGTCGCTCAACAGGAGCCCTCAAAAGGTAAGCGTAAGACGTCAGTATTGGGCTGATGGCAATTTAACAGAATCGTCTACAGTTTCCTTCTGAAGAAATAAAGTTTACCATCAATCCCAGTTTTAGGCACACGGCAGGCCCAACGCGTCTTGGTGGATTTCAGCTGCCATCACCAGTAGCGAACACAAAACTCGTAGGCTCCGAAGGGCCTACCGGCGGCCCTGGTGCCATTGTTTAGCGCATAATCTATCACTTGCAACTTGAAGCAGCCATGTGGCTTCAGTATCGCCCCATAACGTGCCAAGATTACCGACACAACATACAAAACACGCCGGAACGCGCACGGGCCACTTCGGCTTGGCTTGGATTGAATCTCCATGCAATAGTACGCTTGATGCTTAAGAGAAGGTGCCAGATGGTGCGCACTATCGTCATTAATGGCTGGAACGAGCACACGACATTATTGCGGCAGTTTTCGGGGGTGCGATAATTACTCGAGGAAAAAAAAAATCTAATTTTTTCTTGGGTGATGTTGTGGGTGCGAGAATTATGCGAGTGCGAGGATTACACGAGTAAATACGGTATATATTGCAGTGCTCTCACAGAAGCGTGCATGCTTAAAAGATCGCAAAGATCGTCCAATTCCGTAAAAAAAAAAAACACAGGTTTCGGTGTGCGATAACCTGGATGATCGCGAAAACCGAGCCCAAGTCTCAACATTTATTGTTCACATAGAGGCGCAAGCAGATGAACTTTAATCTTGCATGCGAACAGACGAAGTAAGAAATGGCTCTTATATAGATGCAGGAATATGCTTGAGTCTGCCTCTATTTCGTAGAAAGTTATAAGAAATCTAGCTGTGGTTCACGCCCTTGTCATGAGTCACATGTGGCAAGCAGTAATGATGGTACCTTTATCAGCTTCAGAATTAAAATCCGCAACACACACAATTTTGATGATTATGGTCAAATTTCAAAACCTAAAATTTGACACTTCGCATGACTGTTTCCTAATACACACACCATCTACACCATAAAAGTCTGTACACCCTCTATTTAATCTAAGATTTCATTGCTGCTGAGCACGGCTTCTAACGCCAAACCCAACACTACTACACTTCAAAACCACAATACAAGGCAATAATCAAACTAGCCGTCGACTTACCTGATTAAGGTCACACATGAAGTGAATAACGGAACTGTAATTTGCATTCTTCTTGTATGGGCACGGGTCGCCGTGATCATATTCGAGCGTCAGAAGGTCAGACACATTCCGTGGAACATTACGTGCCTGGCCGGCATTCGCGATCACCACCCTCTCCTAGGGAAAGGAAGAAGCAGAGTCGGGAAAGTTACATTTATGATAGACAAGTCGAAGCTGGCCAGTCATGTCCATCATGTAGCATATTACTTGCATATATTGACACGTTTCTACTTCTCTTAGCAATCAAGAAATATTATACATGATTGATAAACTCATTACCCTCAAGCCCATGAGTGGAGAGTGGGCTAAACAGAACAAAGCAAAGGTGACAACTAAAAGAAACAGTACTAATCCAAATATTACAGCATGACTTATGGTTATGAAATGCTAGCTAATATGTTTAAGAGGAGATGACAGTCCTTGATAGTGGCTGTCAGAACCATAAAAAGATTATTCTTTGTAGGTTTTGTGGATAAACGATTGACAAAAAGTGTTAGTGTGCACACAAGTGCACTTTGTGAAAAGAAGTGTGGAGGCAAGACGAGCAGAGTTTCAGAGCACGAGATGGTGACACCACACACAGAAAGTGCTCAGACCAAATAGGTTGTGATGGGATGGGATGCAGGAAATGGTAAGTTGAGAATTTTTTTTTTTCATGTTGATTATACCAGCTGCTCAGATATTTTTCAACAAGGCCACATTGCTTTCAGTCTTGATCTTAGCATGCGGGAATTGATAGAAGGCCCCCTTACCGTTCCATTACGGTACGAGTGAACAATGCAGACCGCAGCTTTGGAGGAACAGCCCCGTGGAGCACGCTTCAGTGGACGGCACACGCTTACGTAAGCAAAGATTGTGAGACTGGCCTCATGCTCCTCTGCTATCCAGTCTCCGTCAGGGTTGGCTTGGTTAAGCCTTACGGGGCAAAAGAACGAACGAATGGCACGTCATTACGACATGAACAAGAAGTGCGAGGCCATCGTGCAACAATGAAAGACCAGTCGAATGACTCTGCTCTAACTACTCACACCAGCTGTTGACTACAATCCCCACACAAAGAGCCCGCAGGTAGCTTTTACCCCTCCAGCAAAACCGATGACCCAGCCTCTCAATGGGCACCACTTCTCCATTACTTATGGCTGGCCCCCCCATGTACACAGAATTTTCTGCAATTGTCTGAATATTTTGATGCATTAGGAAGAAAGCAAATTTTTTTTAAGCAACATACGTATCATTGTCACTTTTACTTAGATTTTTATTCAATCTGCTGTTTTATTTCCATTTCAACAGGGGAGCCAATGACAAACTGCAAAACACAGATGTTCCTCTCACTAAATAGTTTGCTATGCATAAACATACTCCCAGCCTTTCTTAGAAAAGCGAACATGAAGCATCACACAGCTGTCATGTATTAATGCACAAAAAGCCAACACTTACAGGTGTGGAGACTAAGAAAGTAGCGTGCACCACAAATAATAATGGGAGCCTTTGAAAACTTCGGCTGATGGAATAATCCCGGTCTCAAATACCACCGAACAACTCCCTTGCCACGCCAGCAAAAACACAAACAGCAGGATGTACAGTCATGCCCAATATGAGTTGCAACATAATGCCCGTGTAAAAACAGCACAAACACTACACGTTGGCGACGACATTGAAAATAATTCAAAGGCAACTTTTTATTACATTTTTGATGCATTATTGACTAGAGTGATGCCACTTACACATGCCTAAGGCTCCACAGTTCTATGAAGACCCAGACAAGATAGTTCTCACTTGCGCCTTCATGTTTCACAACAAGTGCCACGAGAACCTAGTGACTGCGCCAAACAGCAAAACTGCTCGATGACTCACCTCGACAAATCGTAGCTTAGATTTGTGTGCCGATCCTTGTACACACAACCCACAAAGTAAGTGGGTGGGCACGCATAGCTGGTGCGCCAGGCGAAGGCGTAAGTGCGGCTGGCTTCGTCCGTAAACTCGGGCTGGCCAATGCCGGCTTCGTAGTCGCACAGAAAGGTCAAGCTAGACGACCGCGGAGTTCTGGCGGCGTCATTGTAGGGGGTTCCATTGGTGTAAGTTAGGTTCAGCATTCCGTCGATGTATGTCAACTTTGTGTTGGCCTGGCCAAGAGACCAGAAGCGCCTGCAATAGAAGGAACACCAAGATAAGGTGCATTTCATGGTGCTTAAAACAAGGAAAAGAGAATGCACAGGATAAATCTTCACGATCTGCAGAGCTGGAGCACTTCAGCAGAGTGACCTAAACTGCCACTAAATTCCAGGAGTAACGTCAAGGTTCAAAGCAGCAGAGTGACCTAAACTGCCACTAAATTCCAGGAGTAACGTCAAGGTTCAAAGAACTCATGTCCACATACTGTATTTGAACACACACTATGACACAAAAAAATGTTAAGGCAGTGCCTGAAACAAGTTGTACGATTGCATTTTAAAATTTGCTCGGAAATTTTCTGTTCAAGGAAGCTGCCTGCGATGCCATTTCGACTACAGAAGTAGAACCCCGTTTTTACATAGTGCTACCCGTTCATTTAAATTTGAGAAAAATGCATGAAATGATGAGCCACCACATCCCATCATATTGTATGAAGTCGGTAAAATTAAACGTGCACTATACAAACGTGACAGTTAACAGAAAGCTTACCCATCAGCAATAGACACCTGGCACACCGATGCATTCGCACTCCTGATGTCACCAGCGCATGGAGATTCACTCGCATTGCCACACACATTGATGAAAAAACGATAACCTTCGTGCTGCAATGCATATGGCTTGCTGCTCTTGAGAGGGTTCAGATCGATTTCAAAGCCTAGAATGGCAGTAAAGGGAAGAACAAAGCCTGTTTAGAACTATTACAGGAAAGCACAAAAAGGCAGCAACCCCTCCCCACAACAAAGTTTGAAAAACATCAGGTAAAGTTGCTATATAGACGGTTGCATGGACGTGGCCTGCTTTTGTTGACTGGCATTACCAACAAGATGACAGACTAGTTCTGGTAGATGCAATAATTTCCTAGTTGCCTTTATTACCTTGGCAGAACCGAAAAAAACTGAACGACTTGCAAACACTACAGAATCGTAAATGCCGACAGAAGGCTTACAAACTGCTCTCTATCAGGCCCTTTCACTCCGAGGGCCTCTCTTTTGAAGCACATACATTGGTCCAACCAGCATAGTGGATGCCTGTTAATGAAGCCACAAGTCTTAACTGTACTGCTGTGCAAAAGCAGTAGCCCCTACCGAAAATCGAAGAACAGCACCCTACAATCTTCTCAAATAAAGCTTCTCCCTAGCAGTCTTTAGAAGGAAAACTACAGAAACAATTGTTTCCTGAGCCTCTGAAAGGTTGCAGCAAGTAACTGCACAGTTACGACCCAGATTGCCCATCGAAAGCATTTACCCAGAGCATCATTGTAGACTCGACAGTCCTGACCGACATGGGACACTCGTGGGCAGGCAAGAGCAGTGTGCCACTCAAATTCCAGTAGACACTCGGACTCCACTTCACGGACCAACTGTGGACTTGTGGAAACGGCACCTAGAAAGGCAAACCAGGAATCATGTACAACAATGATGGGGACATGCACTTGGCAGCCTATAATAACACAGAATAGTACATCATGCCGCCACATTCATATTCAAGCTCTAATCTATCAAAACCAACAGTACTTTATATATTTGCAATACAGACTACTTATACTCACAGGAATTTTGTGTAGGGGTAACTTTTGTTTGAGCAGTTGTGGCAGGAGTGAAAAGGGCCCTGCAACGCCTTTTTAAATAGCCAGAGAATGTATTCACTGAAGCACCCGATTGCCTCGCAAATCCACCACCGCAAAAAATTTCAGAGTCTGTCCAGTACGAGCGCAGTTACAAAGATTTGTCGCATGCTGCAACTGCATTTTTTCTTGTCTCGTAACCCCGAATGCACTGGAAGCCAAGCAGGGAGGGATGGTGCAAAAGTGCCCATTGTGACATTAAACACTTTTTCTTTTTCTTTTTTCAGTTACATGGCTTTTCAGTGCAGGCGCATGTGGACAAATCAGGGCCTCCCATGGTGGCGCCAGTAACGACAGAGTGCGCCATGCTTAAATCAGCCAATGTATGCGACAAGCGATCCTTGAGCCTGCCGCGTCATTTGTTGAGAGAAGAGAAAGATTTTTAGCCGACTGAGAACTTGTGAATCCCAGGCCACGTGCCGCACTATAATATTTGGCTTGCGTGTTCTTGGGAGCCTCGACTGCCCATCAGTGGCGTTTTCCGACCATGCTCAAAACTGTTGCAGGGCCCCCTTAAAGGAACATCTTATGACAAGAGCATGCAAAGGTCGCGTAACTTGTTTTTCTCTATGAAAAAAAACAGTGGTACAAGCTTTTGCGATACTTGTGCACCCCATCACACACTTCAATAGCTGCCTGGTAACGCATACTTACCGCTAGTGTTCACAATTTGCGAAAGTGCACCTTTTCGTATATTTATTAATATTTATGTTATCTGTTAACATTACAAAAACCACTGGCACTGGCAGTTTTAATACCACTTTGCCTGCAATGTATCAATATTGCCACTCGTACTTAGCGCTACAGAAATAAAAGATTTCCCCTCGCTATAGAGCAACATTATGCACAAAGAAAATGATTTCAAAACAGTTGCATGCATTACACTTGTAGACTGGGGTAATCAGTGCACTATCCAATTTCCTTTCACCAAACAGTTTGTATAAGAAAGACTTCTTTATAATATTAACATGCATAGATGTAATAATGCTCTATTAGCAAATATTCCGAGAAATCTAAAGCCTTGGCACAAGAAAATTTGATAAAAGGTTTGCAAGCAAAACACCTAAGAACTTGAGATTTGCTTGGAGCCCGCTTATCAGCACACTGAATTGGCAATATAGGAGACTTTTTTGATTTAAGATCATGTCTTTAATAGAGCCAGGTCAATGCTAATTCAAACATAATACGTGGACTCTCATTAAATGGGAATATCAAACAATACTGCTGCTTTAATGGAACGAATGCCCCTACTATGCTTGGCTTCATACTAGGAATCTGCACACCAGTTAATTTGTCACTAAACTAAACTCCTGTTAAGTGGTATACATTTTCCTGGTCCTATCGCATACCGCTTAATGGAAGTACTGTAAAGTTTACAGTACTCTCATTTTACGGAACTCTCTTCAAGTTTACAGTACTCTCCTTTAGTTTAAAGTACTCTTCGTAAGTTGGCAGTGCTTTTTGTAAATTTACAGTGCTCCTTGTAAATATACAGTGCTGTCCAGAAGTTTAGAGTGCTCTCCTTTTGTTTACAGTGTAAACAGAAGGAAACCATTAGTGGGCTAGAACCAAGAGTTACCTGGTTTGCAGATGAAAGTAATTACAGAACGAAGGTTTTTGCCATTCCAACAGGGACCACCTTCCGAGGTCATCGACGCAGTTCTGCTGCTCTTGTCATACACGAGCTTAGCTTGCAGCGTTCCATAGATGGCGCTCTTTCCATTGCTTTCTACAACGATTAAAAAAAAGTGAATTTTGGCATACACAACAATGGGTACAGCTTTTGCAAAAGAAATTCAAGATTTTTCAAGCATTCACAGAAGACAAAGATTTGGTGACTAATTGCTTGAGCATAAAAACAACAAGCAATGATTTTTCTTGCACTGTAACAGGAATGCCTCTGCAATGTTTCGAATAAATCATCTACAAATGGTGAATCATCAACACGAGATGAGCAGATCAGACTGGCTCATGGAATAAATTGTGACTTCTATAAACCTCAAAGCCACACAAATCAAAATCCAGTATTTTTTAGCACAAAGCAAAAGTGGCGAGTTTTTAAGCACTATTGATTAACTTGATGGCCTTCATGGCTTCGAAAATGGCAGTTTCAGATTCATGAATTGCCTCAAGTTCCAATAAACATTATGAAATCTGAGTCGGCAAAAATGTCCCTAATGAGCCCAAGGCCTCATGTCCAGACATTGCGATCCTACCCAACATGCGAATAACTGACCCAAAGACATTTAGCAATGGCAGCTCCTGCCTCTCGCCAACTTACTTTTTACACAAACAGTGCTGGTGGCTCCACACTCCTTCCCAACCTCTGTCTTGCCAAGGCCTTCGCATACGTTCATCAATATGACACTTTCCTTGTCACTTTTCAAGCTGCCCAGAGCAGTCCAAGGAGTACCACCTGTAACACAACGACACAGCTTGAAGACGGTTTAAAAGACCGTTAGCATAAAGCATGTGACGTGGCACAGCAATGTTTGAAGTACAACATGCTACCTCATACCTCATCTACCGCATTAACGATGTTACACGATTAACTTTATGCCACTTGGGTATCTCACTAAAGTTGGCATATCATACTTTTACGACACATACAGGAACTTATAGGGTACTGCATATCTTTCTTTCTTGACAAAGCAAACATGTCTGGCTGATGCATATGCCTCTGATCCATTTTCGAAGAGTAAATTTTCTGTCAGTTCTCTTGGTTGACTTATTTCGCAACCAAGATTACTGGTGCACAGAATTTCAAGATACTGCTATGAGCAACTGGGAGGAGCTCAGAACTAAGGACATCAAAGAACACCAAGGCACCTGTAAATAAAAACTAGCAAAGCCACTTCCAGATGCTTCGGCAGATGCAAAAGGCACTAAAAAACTATGCATCAAAATTCACCTTCACGACGTGAAAGTGGCCAGAGGTTGACCCGAACGTCCCCATTCTCTGCAATGCAGTCAGTTTCCAGAGCCTTTGGACAGGCGTGAGCCGTTTCCCAGATGAAGTGGTAAGTACAGGCGCTACTATCCAACCAGCCGAACTGCATCTCGCCGTCCTCTGAAACAAACCCACAAAAGTGCGATTAATACCGACTCACAGGCAGAAACAAATTGATAAAATAGGTTCGTTGACAGTTGGAAATATAGAATGACCAAAGTGTATACACATGACACTGAGAGGGACACTAAAGAGCAAAACGATTTTTCACGTATTATTAAAGTACAATTTCGCAATCCCGAAACGCCACTCTAACCAGAACACGACCCTTAGTAATCAGAAACCGTGCAAAAATAAAATGCGGGCGACGACGCCACCTTCAGACGCCCACACCAAACACCGTATATGTAAGAAATTTTGAAAGCGTCTATTGGGTCCTATGTAGCTTCCAATCGAAAAAAAGCATACGAAGTTTCAGGAAATGTCGAGCCAATGCAACGAAAATACTACTACAAATACATTTTGAAATTCCTTACATGCCGTGTGGAGACTGGCGAGAAATTTTAAAATAAAACTTCAAGCTTGATTTTCCCGGCTAATAATGAACTATATATAGTAAAACATATAGCATTAGAGTTCTCAAAGTGCATTTTGTCAATGTAAACCAAGTCATTGTTCCTTTTTAGTGTCCCGTTTATGTATTTGAGCACAAGTACCCAACATGAACAAAGTGGCCAAGAAGTGCTTAAGCATACGTACCTTCTCGTTTGTTGCAGACAAAATGAACGTCGCTCGACCACATTGATCCGGATGAACCGCACTCGCTACCGTCCTTGAACTTCATCGTAACTACTTCGTCCACGAGCCTGGAACAGGCGAACACTGGTAAAACGCTGCCATGATTCGTCGAATTACATTTCAGTGTGCAACAATGCAATGAGAAGAGGTCTAACAATAAAGCATTTCATTTAAATCTATGTTGAACGAAGTACTACCTACATAAACTGAGAACAATTGCGACACTCTAGTAAGAGAACATATTTAACACAAAAACAAAGCAATGCAAATGTTTGCGCAAGCTCGCTTTTTGTAGACTGAGCCCCAGGGGAGACGACGGAGGGGAGGGGAGGGGGAGCTGGAGCCTTCCCCTAACCACCAAATTTTTGCCTGCCCCAATTGCCACCTCAAGAATGATTGATTGATTGATATGTGGGGTTTAACGTCCCAAAACCACCATATGATTATGAGAGACGCCGTAGTGGAGGGCTCCGTAAATTTTGACAATTTCGACTACCTGGGGTTCTTTAACGTGCACCCAAATCTGAGCACATGGGCCTACAGCATTTCCGCCTCCATTGGAAATGCAGCCGTTGCAACCGGGATTCGATCCTGCGACCTGCGGGTCAGCAACCGAGTACCTTAGCCACTAGATTACAGCGGCGGAGGCACCTTAAGAATGAACAGTCATAATACAATGGCTAAGTTCCCCGCTTCTCTGCCACTCCTATAGGAACTCTCTCATCGTAGGTGTCCCCCCCCCCCCCCCCCCCCCCATAAAATAAAAATATGTGAGGTTTAACGTCCCAACACCACCATAAATGATTATGAGAGATGGCATAGTGGAGGGCTCCGGAAATGGCACTGGCCCTGCTGAGCACTCCGAGCATATCTTGTAGTACTTATTAAATCAGTGAACCTTGACAGGTAAATGAAATGCTGCCATAACAATGTTCCAGAACCAAAACTTACACTGGCAGAGACAGAGATCTAGCTTTCTTGGTTCAAGGCTCAGAATCAATGTTTCAAACACTATGTTTACGAAAAACGAATCCTTCCGCTTTAAAACAGAAAAAAAAGGCTTTAAATTTAAGTATCTTTACTCTTATGTTTAAAGGCTGTGCTCTGCGGCACAACACTAAAAGTGTAGTACCAGCAGATAGCTGCCAAGGCTGCTGCTATCATCGTACTGTGAAGTGGCGCTGTCATTCCTTCACTCTGCAAGAAACTGCAAGCACTGGCTTCCATATTTGGGAAGTACACCCTTGATGTGAAAGTTGCCTTCTTTACAGTGATCCCCAGATGACCACCTCAAGACTGTGCCAAGCGACACGAGACCGCCCAATCAACACACTCACTGAAGTGTTTGTTCTTGGTCCTGTCCCAGCGAAAAAGACTGCCCGTTCATCTCGACACAGATAGCCGACCTGAAGGCCCGCTTCTTTCCACACTGGACTGTACCTCCTCCCAGGCCTTTGCCACAGATGTTGTACTTGATGACTGCCTTTGAGCCATTGATGTTTGTTTCAGTTTTGTAGTAACCTGTATAAAAGAACCCAATAACTGCATTCGTGGAAACAGAACCGTGGTGGCACAGTCTGCATTGCAGTCACCATCAGCACGAAGTTCAGGGTAACAACATTTTTGGGCAAGCAAGCATTAAGTTAGGACAGAGAAGTCTAGAGCCGTGGTCACATTGTGAACAGTGTCTTGAGTGGCGAAAAAAAAGTGGTTTTTACACCACTCTTATGCACAAGATTCACATGCTCACTAAGGAAATGAAAGGAGATTGACGTAATAGAGTCAAACCCCTAGGAGACATTGATATAAGAGACCAGTGTGCCTACAGTAAAATACGGGTTGAGAAGAAATTGGAACCTCATTTAAAAGGCAATAACTGCTGCCCGGAGCATGCCTCTAATAACGAGATTCAACTGTAGTTTTTTTTTTTATTGTTTTCTTGATACTTTGGTTCAGAGTTAGGTGAATAACAATACATGTCTCCATACATACATGACGCAACATTTTTTCAAGTCCTCAGAATTTAAAACACCCTAGAAAGTTGGCATTAACATTCGAAAGAAAGAATCCGCAGTTCCAAGTAAATAAAATGTTCACGGAGCAGCTGCCGCCAAATGCAAATGTAAAGACTAAAGAAAATACCACCTCTTCAAGCATTTTTTATGCCTTTAGCAAGCGATTTCGGATAAACAGCTAAAGTAGTTGAGATCAAAAAGCATCTACAATTAACAATAGACAAACAAAGAAACATGATTCCATAAAGTGCATCAGTTCAAGTACCTTGGTGGACAAGGTATTGGAACACCGACCTCAAGACCACTCGTTCCATTCCCGGTCGTGACTGCTACATTTCGATGATGCAAAATGAAAAAATGACTGTTTGCTAGAATACAGGTGCGTTTTAAAGAATACCAACTGCTGAAAATTAATTCAGAGCTTCCCACAGTCTGTCTTATAATCATGTTGCCGTTTTTGCTTGTCAAAACCTAGTAATAACTATATTACTTTGTAAAGTGCATACGAAGGATTCAAGCCTTTCTACAAACCGACATGTGACATTCGCAAATTGACACTGACCATTTTCCTTCTTCAGTCGGCTGAGGTCAATGTCAATGCCGTGTTTTTCACTTGTGAACTTGCATTCAGCTGGATCAGCTCGAAGAAGATCCAATGAGCAGGCATGCTGGGTCTCCCATTCGACGTAGTAGTGGCAGTCCAAGTCTGAAATTAGTCTCGGGACATGACTCTGAAAAGTAGAGACAGTTCACAGAGCTTTCAGTAACCCCCCCAAAAAAAACATGTCCCAAGCAGACCATTTGTCTAATTTATCTATATTTGCTATGAACCAATTTCATTAGTCTTGCTGTTATGAAATGTGCACACAATATGAAGGGTTCAACCCTTTCAATTGTATCCAATAGCAAAGTTTTTTTCTACCAGCTCTTGAACATGATAACTTAATTTCCTCATGTATTCTTGGCAACCTTTACTTGGTAACAGCTTAGCCCATTCAAAGTCCGAGCATGGTTTCACAATGAAAAATTGCAACAGCTTGTTCCTTTTTTTTTTGCACTAGTATATTTCTTAGTGACCAGAAATGATGCTGCTACACTCACAACTAACACTTCACAACAAGCCTACGAACTCTGTACATGCTCCACCTACACATCCACAGCATCTGCCCTTGACCTCCAAAAACTTGTGCCAGCTCGAGTCTGCTCAACATTTTTTTTGCTCCGCTCTGCTAACGTAAACTGCTAGGCCTACTGAACAACAAGCTATATGTATAATATACGCTCATTCGAGTACTGATATCAGTACTATGGCTACAAGATACACGAGTTGCAAAAAAGCAAAAGTGGTATTTATCGGATCTCAAAACTAACTGCAGCTGAAAGCTCATTCTAAGATACCTGAAATACTATTACGGGCTATGCACGGAGTATCGCATGCTTAATTAATTTTGAAGGTATCACACTCAAAGTAACAGGCCCCGCCACGGTGGTCTAGTGGCTAAGGTACTCGGCTGCTGACCCGCAGGTCGCAGGATCGAATCCCGGCTGTGGCGGCTGCATTTCCGATGGAGGCGGAAATGTTGTAGGTTCGTGTACTCAGATTTGGGTGCACGTTAAAGAACCCCAGGTGGTCAAAATTTCCGGAGCCCTCCACTACGGCGTCTCTTATAATCAAATGGTTTTGGGACGTTAAACCCCACAAATCAATCAATCAACACTCAAAGTAACAGCTATGACATAGACTTAGCGCAAGTATCCTCCCAGTAACATTTGCATTATCTTTGGCAATTCTAAGGTTGTAATGTGCTGTTTTTCTTATTCCACAGAAAGATCCTTTGAACTGCCAAACTGCAAAGTAGTGAATCAGCAGGAAGGCTGGAAGCTTATTAGGCAGCACAAAGAATGGCAAAAAATTAAAAGAAAAAAATATAAGAAATGCTGTTTTTGCAAACCAAATTTTTTTTGTTACCTTAAAGAATCAGGCTATACTAACAAAAAAAATTATACAGCAGTCACATGTACACTAAGTGCCACACGTTTCCAAACAATAAATGAAGGAACGGTATCTTTTCTCAATAACGAAACTGAGGCTTGATTGATGCTTGTTGTTATTCTTGATAATATTGTGAACTTCCACTACTCTACGTGCACACTGATCATAATTTAAAAATGACTGAAACATCTGCAAAAGGCATGTACCCACATTCATGAAAATGAAAGCGAAGCGTGAAGACGATGCTTTCTTAAAATAACCTGCACTTTTGAAGCCAAACAATGGCACACCGGCAGATCTGCCCAGTGTTAGGTAGTACAGCGCTCTAAAGCAATCCTATTTCAGTTGAAAAGCCAGCCCTAGCCTCTGCCTCTTTCTCTATTGTCATTTTCATTATGTGCCCTGTCTAATAAATAAACATTGTAAGGAGTATGTGCAACTCTCAATACTCACTTGTTCACGCCGTGGGCAACGAAACTGAATGACAGTCCTCGGGGGTGTCGTACAGCCTGGTCTTGGTGTTGACTCGGGGCTGGGTGGATACTCTATGAAGATGCTAGAGCCGTTAGCCTGAAGGCCAGAATGCACACGACCGACAGACTTGCACTCCTTGCCTTCCAGGATACAGGCACCACTCATTGATGGGTATGTGATGCCATTGGCTGAGAATGACACAAAAGAAAAATGTTCACCAGCATTACTAGGTTCTAATCCTTTGCAACACAACTAGTTTTTTTTTTTTTTTTGCAGTACAAGTCTGGGCAAAGTACCACTCCAAACTAAAAGCACAACTCTATGCACTATGGCTGGCAAAAGAGAAAATTAAAATAAGATAAGCAGTATATAAATGTTTCAACAAAAAAGGGGTTGAGGAAAAGGTACTTTAAATACACAATGCCCACGGTTACAAGCTTGCCTAGAAAGTAAGTTTTATTCCATGCGTTCGCATGTCTCAGCGAGTTAGCTTCAAGATAATTGCAACACTTTTCCAAGAAGTCATCGAATGACCTCACTATTAGAATTTATTCCTTCATGAATCGACTGCCACAAATATTCTTCGAGTATGTCAAGTACAGGTGGTGTCACAAAAGTTTGCCACAAACTTTAAGCACCTTTACCCCCAATAACCCTGATAAGCCAAAAGTCAAACAAGGGAGGTAGAGGAGCAAGGAAGCGAGAAGCTACGTCAGTACATCCCGATCTTGGGCACTTTTTCTTTCTTTTAACTTGTTGACTCAAATTCAGTAGATTGAGAGTGCTCTAGCGTCTATACTGTGCGATTATAGCCCACTACAGAGATTGCACTACACGGCCCAAGAAAGATTAAAGGGGAAAAAGTAAAGAAGATGAACCGGACACAGGGTTCATTATTTTTTATCTTAGTGCTCAAGCTTTACTGTAGCATCTTTCCACACTGCCAACTAGCCCAATCTCAAGTTGCCAATTGACCAGTGCTCACCAGATTGCATGTCCGAACAAACATTGATGACCAGAGTCGTGTCTGCATCTGTCGTTTCCACCACATATCCTCCCGCGTCTTTGATGAGGCCCGAAAGATCATGACGAAGGCCGGTGTCTGTGTGGACAGTGCAAGGAACCTCTGTGCGTGCAGGCTTCTCAGCACATGCCGCAGAAGTCCTCCACATGAGAAACAGCTGGCACTTCTTGTCGACAAAGTATTCCGGAGATCCCTGCATGAAGGAACAAAAGTTGGCGTTAGTCTGAAAGTCACTGCAACCACTTGCGTTTACTCTCACTGGTGAAACATATTTCCCGCACTGTCATGCAGTTTGTCGCATAGTAGCAGCAAAGGCCAACTGGCCATTGCCAGTCCTAGCTGATCTGTAATATGGTAAACGGCCACTCAGATTTGTAACACTGAACTTCATAATCAGTACTGAGGTTTTTTTTTTTTATGTACCAAAACAACAATATGGTCACACTGAACTGATATACAGATATAGGTGGTTGATATACAGATATAGGTGGTCACACCGAATTGATTTCAACCCCCTGGAGTTCTTAAATGTACACCTAAACCTAAGCACAAGGGCACTCTGCATTTCTCCCTCACCAAAATGTGCCCGCTGCAACCAGGAATCAAACTCGCACCTTCACTCTTGGCAGTGCAACTTAAACAGTTATTTCATGTCACAGTAAAAGGTTAATGTGAGAGAATGCTCGAAATACATGCACAGAAGCTAATCAGTAATCGATAAATTAAGGTAAGTGTAAAATGTGACTTGCACCACAAGTGGGACGTTCTGGAACAACAGCTTGACTTAGAACATCCCCAGTAAAATTTATCAGTGGCACAGCAGACTCTTTAAACATAGCCTGAAGGGACCGAGAAAATATGCTGTGGTTAACAAGAGTTCCATTCACTGAAATATTAACAGGGGTGCAGTATTCAAGGGCCAAACCAGTCATACAAGAGGCAGTTGTTCCATTTAAGCAGCAGTTCCGTTTCAACAAGTTTTCATTTACCGAGAGTTCACTGTACTTAAACTACTTGTGATAGAGAAGAACATCAAGCCCATTACATGACATAATACAATGCAACTTGCACCATTTACTTGTTTCAAGGAAAAATAGAACCTCATGACAATCATGCCCCACTGTTGGTTAACAAGCATTCTCACGGAGCCACTCAATCCTCGGCGTGCAGCACCAGCGACCGTAGCAGTGGGCAGGAAGCCCCTCGCGTTTGGACAAGCGCCGCCTCCACAGAGCGTAGTCTTTCTTATGCACGCTTAGACTCATGGTTCGAGAAAGCAAGAATTCATTATCTGCAGCGGCCGCATTTACCAATGTAGCACGCTGCTTACATACCAAGAAGTAAGAATTGTGACAGCTGCGAGGCTTGTCCTTTGTATACTTCTGCAATTGTTTCGCACGTATTTCTTTCTGTTTGAACAGCTTGCTCCAAGTGTCAACTGTGACAGCTGTTAGTCCGCGTTCATCCTGTGTATGCTCATCTCGTGCCTGCTTTCTGCTTGAGGTACGAGCTGAGAGTTTCAAACTGATTGCAGTTCTACGTAAGAGTTTGCAATTTGTTGCGATAGCGTTAAAGAGCTGGTTTCACAGAAGTTCCGGAGTTGGCGTAGATTGTGAACAAAAAATCATATCTTATGCACAACCCAAAAGTCGAGAACGATGCAAATAAAAAAAAAAATCCTAGGTCAGAGTGGGGACTGAACCCCACTCTGACCGTTCGTTCGTTCGCATGGCAAGAAGATGTTCTACCACACGTCTGCTTGTGAATACAGCGAAAAGAACTTCCTCTGCTTGCAAATGCAGTGAAAGTAACCTTCATGCTTTACAAACACATGCATCCTGTATACAGTCATCACAATGCAATATAAGATATTGTAGTAATAATGTGTAGCACAAGCACCCGCTGCTTAATATTATCATAATGGCTCCGTGGTGCCGGGCAACCACTACAAAAGGCCCACATGATACTGCACCTATTCCGTTGGGGCTATGTAGTAGGTACATACCAAATACGAAAAGGTTTCGTGCATTAAGTGTTCTAAGTATGCACTAGGAACAAGATATCGCTATCGCGTTCCAACTCCCAAGGGTCAAGCTTTATGATCTAATTTTTTACTTCGCGCACCATAAACACTCAACTGCCTCTCTGGAGACGTTTCGCTCTTGTGTTACACAGATTCCTATACAAAGGAATCGGCCACTTTTTTTTTTCATAGAGCTGCACTATGCTATGTTGCAGCACCAGTTGTCAAGCAGTAAAGAGCATGCACGGTGGATGATATGGCACATGGCTGTTCTCGGCAGCAGGTGGTTCGATCTGTGCTCCTGATATGCAGTCCGCAATACAAATTTCTTTTGAATGAAGGATTTATGCGGCCCAAACCAAACACTACGAAGTTTCTGGAACACTACAACCATTCAGGTAGGCATAGTATTTGCCTTTAGCGTCCGCTTAACTGCACTTTTCAATGCAGACGCACTTTCTGGCTAGGTCTCCAGAGGAAAGCGTGTCTAAGCATGCATATTCTCGTACGAAAGAGCATGAGAGCGTGAGAGGAAACAGAACAGAAGCAGGCCACTACAGTTACTGCGAAACTGGTTCCCTCGCCGACAATGTTCGTAATGGAATCTCATCAAACTCGCACGTAATGAGAAAATGCGACCAATTCAACATTTTTAAACATTGAAGTAAAGGTGTCGCAGTATGATACAAAATGAACCTAATTAAAGGCAGTTTTATTAAAGCAACAATCCACGAGAGACATCCCAGCATACTCAAAATTTACCTGTATTGTTTAGCACTACTGTCTGCTATGACTAGATAAACATTGATTAATGTAGCGTAATGTAGGCTTGCATTGCAAAATGTAAAGTGTTCTTGACACGTGTGCATATACACAGAACTCGTGTGCATATACACAGCACACGAGTTCTGACAATTTTTTTTATGGCATCTCACTTAAAGGGGCCCTGCAACACTTTTTGAGCATGGTCAGAAAACGACGCCAATCAATAGTAGAGGCTCCAGACAACACGCGAGCGAAATATAGCTCAGCACGTGGCCTGGAATTCACAATACATTATCAAAGTCGGCTAAAAATAGCTTTCTCTTCTCAACAAATCACCGAAAATAAGCCCAGCAAGCCTATTTATCAGCCATTGGCTGATTTAAACATGGCGTGCTCAGTTGTTACAGAGGTCGCCGCAAGAGGCAGTCATTTGTTCACGCGTGCGCGCACGATCGCACCGAAAAAGCCGCGTATTCGAAGGGGAAAAAAATGCTCAAGGTCACGAGGCGCGAGTGACATTTTTTGTTTGCCCCTCCCATCCCTCCCTGCTTATCTTCTGGCCCTTTTGTCGGGACCAGAAAAGAGAGAATGTGATTGCAGCGTGTGATGAATCATTGTAACTCCGCTCGTACTAGACGGATTCTTAAAATTTTTGCGGCGTTCGATTTGTGAGGTAATATGCTTTTCCAGTGAATTAATTCCATGGTTACACAAGAAAGTGTTTCAGGGCCCTTTTAAGAATGGTTTTTACATATACCTGTCGTACGATTAAAACAAAGAACCTAGTGCACTGCTGATGTATTGGTGATAACATGGCTACCATCCCCCACAGTGTTTACTAAAATTATCAACACACTCCAAGCAACGGCTTTTCAGGAAGTCATACATGCTATTGAATGGTCCAGCCACTTCCAAACAACAATAGGATGCAACAAAAGACATTCAATGCCATCCGTTAGAAAACATTAACTTTGCGAAGCCTTTTCTTTTGATATGTTGTCTCAAAACGAAAAAGGGGGAGTGTTATACGAGTGTACACACTTAACTTTGGAAGCGAAATCCAGTTTGTGCAGGTGATTTTTCATGCCTAGTTGAAATACTATGAGTGATACATCATACAATCATTGGCACGGGTGACAAAACATAATGCATAGCGTAATTTAAGCTCTTAGATGAATACAATGCTACCCATACAAAGAAATTTCTCAATGATCCATCATTTCAGTGAGAGCACCAGGAATACCCATTGTTGTAACAAAATGCTCTCGCAATTCATATGACATGAGGCTATTCCTGAAATGCAGTGCAGAATGTGTGCGTGGTAGAGTTTTCCGAAGTTGTATAAAGGAAACATCTTAAACCATGAACAATGGATGAAATCAATTTACGGTAACACTGCGAATCTTCAATTTTATCCTCGCGCTACAATACAATAGTGAAAAGGCAATAAATAGTGAACGAATGCTCCAATATAGTGGAAAAAAAAAAATGGGACAGCATAGACCCCATCTCTGTTTACAAACGCAGGTGCTAGATGGATTCCGGTTCCGTGTGCTGGTGTAGCATAGCAACATTGGTGAGGAACAGAAGCGTAACGAGTAGCCACTTCATTTTCAAAAGCTTTCTCTCTGTCTTGTCAAATATTTCAAATACGATTTCTTTTGAGCTAGATACAACGTTATAAAAGTTAGTCTATCTTTGAGTGCCTCGCTTTTACCACAAGATTTCTGTTTCGGTGTAACTGAATTATAAATGAGGCGATCGGAATTTTTTTGGGTAGCGACACAGACTGCTGCTATTACTATGTTGGAACCAATCGAAAAGACTGATACAATGCCACAGCTTTCCATTTCATAAAAGGTTCAAATCTTGCTCTTCAAGATCCTCTCCCTGAATGCTACTGGTTGACTAAGATTATCAATCTCATTTGAACCGACAGAATCGTACAATGAGTAAATAACGTTACCATACATTATAGAAGCTCCTTTTTAAATACAAGTTTGGAAATTAAGCCAGGCTGACACTGCTAATTTTAAGTGCAATGAAATTTAGTTTCATGACTAATTATATTCTATACACATCAATCAATGCATGTGCACAATCCACATGAGCTTCTGTTTTGGCATGACACAAGTGGCCACATACCACAACAGATACAAAAGTTTGACAGGCTAGTTTCGCTTGCTATATGTTCTTTGAAAAAGTGTTCACCAGAATGTTAATAGTGTTTTGTTACAAAAGTGAAAAATTCTTAAATATAAACATTATTTGCCCATAAGAATTTGTCTGAGAAACGCTACACATTAAATGGGTAGCGTACCGTGCAAGCATGAAGAAGAAAGACGGGAAAGCGCTCTTGTCTTTTTCTTCCTTCTTTTGTGCTTGCACAGTGTGCTAGCCATTCAATGATATGAATCATTGAATAGATCATTGCATCAATGAATCATTGCATGATATGAATCATTCAAGAAGGTCTTATTGCAACAGTCTCAAGGATGCTTTACTTTTAGTAATGAACCCCAGATAGTAGTGAAGATATGACCTCACTTTTTGATAACACTGCAAACACTTTTCCCTTCTAGCCATGTGCTAAGGAGGAACCTGACAAAGACTGCACTCTTTCATCGAGAACTTCCATCTAGCCTTAGCTTTAGTAAGCAGTTCAAACACAGACAGCGATCTGTACGTGCTATAAACATCGTAATTCACACCTCCATGATGATCCCTCCAGGGCAATAAACAGACCTAATCTCAATGTCTAAGCTTTTGCAGGCTGTACATACCAGTAGTGACTGACCAGTTTGTTAACACACAATGGCCACCACATGTGTATCAGTCATCACCTATCACCAATACAAAAGTCTCAGTCCAATCACAGTACAGAACAATGAGTAAATGAGCTTGTAAGTCAACATTGAGACCCCACCAAAAGCAACTTTTTAAAATGAGACTTGATCAAATAAAAAAGTTACACCATCTCCCACTAAAGGGAACCACGAATAGCATGCGAAGCAGCACATGGGTCGACTTAGAGTAACGTTCATCACCGGCACCTTGCCCCATGTTAATGCGTCCTTGCAAGTGGAGCACACCATAAATTCAGTGTAGTTTCCATTGCCGTTACTTGTCCCAAACTCTTGTTAGAGCACACCACGCGGGTTCATCGCCATGCCACGCGGGAGCAGGTGCGTTCATCGCATGTGTGCAAAATCATGTTTCTTGATACCATCACGTGACTGCTGAGAGAGTAAGGGAGAGAAGCCACAGCCACTTACGCAGGCCTGAATGCACTAGTGCGTGCCAGTGTGTTTTGACTAGAATACGACGCGTTGATTCATCGTGCGCCAACAGAATCTCATTCCTAGACGCCATCAAATGATTGCAGAGAAAGTGTGAGGGGGAGAGGAGGCAGCGTCTTAAACAGCTCCTTACAAAGGCCAGAACGCGCCAACGCACGAGTGTGTTCTGGCAGTGCTTGGGCTAGCTGTCACACATGTGCAGTAAAGATAGTTACGCACACCGGATTGAAATTCGCCATAGGTTACATTGCATCCAAAAATTTTAAAACGAAAGAAATGAGCAACTTACCAGATGGGCTGCACAGCTGATCCTCATGGATATTTTGTAGTTGGTATTGGAGCTTCCTGTGCATGTGTTCCCCTTGACAAACAACCAGCCCTCACTCACAACCACATTGGAGGCATTAGCACTGAAGTCTGCGTACACCTCCGCCTTGCCATCAGTCACACGACACGCAGACTTGCCGTTACACACTGCCTCCGGAGAGCTGTCAGGAAAGCTCAGGGGCTCGCAGACTGACAGGTACATGAAGTCCGAGCGCACCCCTTTTTCTAGAGGCAGGCCCACCTGCCATGTGTGCCTGGGTGAGAAGGAGAACACTTGTTATGCGATAGCTCTTTACGTACACCAAGTAATCATGTGGATAAAGACATCAAGCCGTAATTGTTAATAAGCAGCAGCAGCTTGAAGTGTGGACAGCATTTTGAGAGGCTAGATTGACAGTAGCACAGGTTTGCACGCTTACCGTCGCAACTATTGCAGATGGTTAAAGGGCAATTCATTTCTATCTTTAAAGCCAAGGAATCGTCTAAACCTTGCCCACATCACAATATGTGAAAGGATAGCCATCATTAAAACCTCAGCTTTAAAAGCAGGATAACACGACATTAAACATGCTAATGCTGACCATGTTTTCAGAAAATCTGAACACGTGTTTTCCAAAGCGTGCTAGAAGACTCAAGCATGCAAATGGAATCGAGGATATTAAGGATGAGCCTGTTGCTGCTAACACATGCGAATCATGTTATGTTAAAGACATTGATTACTTTGGATATACATTGGAGAAGAGTCATTTTGCCCATACTGGTGAGAATTGTTAAATAAGAAACAGCACAATATTAAATTTTTGTGGACATAACGGCACACATTATTACCGTTACCACGATCCCTAAACAACTGCGTAGCAGCCAAAATTAAAAAATCTTCCCGAAGCAGTTTAGTGTACATGTTTATTTTAGCCCTTGACCACTAGCACTTTGTCACCAGTATTCACACCCAAGTAAGCAATGATGTATTCACACCCAAGCAATCTTTAAGCGGTGACATTAATGAGCAGTACATTCGACAGCCATCTCTTAGTTGCAGTTCGGCACTATATGGTCAGACCTGCCACAGAGATCGTGTGCACGTGCACAGCTTTCTTCAGTCAGTGAACAGAGTTTTTATGTACAGACGCCAGCAGTGGAAACAGCCTGCACACTACTACAAGGCCGAGATTTTTGAAATGTTTCTGATAACTATGACAATTTTTAATTTAACTCAGAATGTAAAACATTGATGTGGGAGGATGCTCAGTTGGAACAGGTTGAACTTTGTAAAGTGAAGATGGTTTCTATCAGTTTCACTGCCTCGTGGTTCATCCCTGTTGGCAGCTTCATGGTTAAGCAAATATTGTCTCACCGCGGGCGCTGATCGCTCTGTAGCAACTCGAGCTTTGCAACTGTTGAGTAAACTGCTCAGATGGAGCAGTGTCAGCTGGGTTGCGCAAAGCCTGACCTAGCAGAAGCAACCACCATTACCTTTTAAAAAGAGAACAGTCTGCATGAAAAAAAAAAAGAAGCAGCAGCAGCAGCAGCAGCAGCAGCAGCAAATGCACTGTCGCTAGAATGTCAGTTGTTCACAGCATCACACAAATGACGCCCTTTCATCATGTCGAAATGCTGCTGTCTAATGCCCTATTTTGTCAAGTAACCTCTTCCATTGCCGTTACATTTTAAAGCTTACTGTTCTAGGTCTGTGGTCTCTTGCTGGCCGATCAGTCGTTCAAACAGACCATCAGTTGTATAGGACATTTTTGTAATAATGTTCCCGATTACATTTCAAAACTTTTTTTAAAGCATAAAAAAAATGTCTTAGCAGTGTCATGTGTGCTTGTATGGTGCTATAAGAGTGAGATAAAAAGAGAAATGAAAAAAAAAAAAAGGAAGGCAGGGAGGAAGAACCAGATGCTAGTATCTAGTATGCTACCCTACACTGGTGTTGGGGAATGGGGGGTTGAAAGAGGTAAAAAATAAGAGCAACACACACACACACACGCACACACAATCTACTCAGAGGCGTTCCAACAGGCCAGTAGTTCACAAAAGCCCAGTAGCACTTGCACGGCCTTCTGTGATGATGATCAAGACATGACGATGGCGCAGTTTACTTTCTTCTGACAGCGGCTGGTCATCTAAGTTGTTTAGTGTATTAGAAAGGTATTGTATTTCTAAGTTATATTCCGGGCAGTCACACAGGACGTGTCGAATTGTCTCTTCATCTCCTCAGTGTGCACAGGCGGCGGAGTCTGCCATCCCCAAGCAGAACGCGTACGCACAGGTAAACGTGACGCCCAGCCATAGTCTGCACAGAACAGTAGCATTACCTCACCGAGTTTTGTTGGAAGCCGTAAGCTTAAGGTACGATCAGTAGCATTACCTCGCCGAAGTTTTGTTGGAAGCCGTAAGCTTAAGGTACGGTCAAGGCATCGTAATCTTGCATGCGTAAAAAGAGGCTCATTCGAAAGTTGCATGGAGGATTGGTGGGCAAGCATACGGAGCTTCCTAGCAGCATCCATCTTAGAGAAACGTATTGACTCGTCATTGTCTTCTGTATGGGCTCAACGTGCAGCTTGATCAGCCCGTTCCTTACCAATAATTCCACAGTAACTTGGCAATCACTGAAATATAACACTGTGCCTTTTTTCTGTTATATGGTGTAGCATTTCTGCCGTCTCACAAACCAACTATTCGTGTGAACAACGACGTATATTTGACAGAAGTGACTGCAGTGCCACCTTGCAGTCACAGAAGATCGTCCATCGTTGTGCGATGATGATGATATGTGGGGTTTAAAGTCCCAACCACCATATATGAGAGAGCCGTAGTGAAGGTCTCCGGAAATTTTGGGGTTCTTTAACGTGCACCCAAATCCGAGCACATGGGCCTACAGCATTTCCGCCTCCATCGTAAATTCAGCCGATGCAGCCGGGATTCGATCCCGTGACCGGCGAGTCAGCAGCCGAGTACCTTAGCCAATAGACCATCGCGGCAGGGCAGTTGTTGCGTGCTTTAGTGGTTAATGATACGCAGCGCGTAGCACTGCAAGCTCTGCTGCCGTTGATGTGTTTGCATGAGCTGTCCTGAATTTGATGGTAATGGCGTGTGTTGGAATAACGACCACTGCTGTTGAGCTGTTTGAAAGCAGGACGGAGCTGTCGGTATAGATGTGTGCAATCTTGGTACTTCTCGTATAGGGCGCTTGCATGAACGGCGGCGACGCTATGCACTCTGGGTAGGCAGCCATTTTTTTGTCAGAGGCGGTAGGGGAGTGCAACAGCGCAGTCGTGTTTGCAAGCATTGGCGTAGCTTGCAGGCGTGATCGAGTGCGAGCGCGACGCAAATTTAACTCCAAGAAGGGTCGTCAGCCTGATGATGTCAGCCTAACCGGAAGACTACACCGCAACGCTGTGCCAGAAATACCTCGAGCAGTACGGAGAAGAGACGAGGGTTTGCTCCGAGTGAACCCATTCTCGCTTTGTGCGGGCGACTGAGTAAGCGACGTGCACTTGCGGCCGCGCGTTGACAGCTCTGATATTCACGAATTATTCGTTCCGAGGACGAGTTTGATTACCCGGGAGCTGTCGAAGTCGAGAAAGACAATCAAGGGCCACAACTTTGTGATGAGTGGCTGGTTGTGGGAACTGTGGGTGAAGAAATTCGCCGCGAATACCGTAATCGTCGTCACTCAAGTAAGAGGTGTTAAATTATTTGATTTTGCCGTAGATGCCAACGTTTTTCTGCTCAGGTTAAACTCTCAGTGTGTCAACAAGCCCCCCCCCGTCGACATCTTGTTTATGGGCAAGAGTGATGGCGAGGTCCTTGCCGCGCACTGCACATGCATGGCCGGGAATAGCGAAGCCTGCTTGCATCCCACTGTGCTGTTATTCTACGTGGAGTACGACGTATGTGCACAAGAAGAGCGCTCCTCAATTTAACACGTCTTGAGTGACGACCACCACGGTGTCGGCGGCGACTTTCTCGCATACCTAGCCACTCTTCACAAAGTTGTGACCCTCGAGGGCCTTTCTAGGCTTTATCTGCTCCCGGGTTTTCAAACTCGTCCTCAAAACAAAAAATTCATAAATATCGGAGATGTTGACGCGCGGCTGCAAGTGCACGTCACTTACACAGAGATTTGTCATAGCGTCGCCCGCACGATGTGTGAATGGGTCCACTCAAAGCGAATTCTCGTCTCTTCTTTGTACCGCTCGAGGTCTTTCTGGCACAGCGGTGCGGTGTCTTCCGGTGAGGCTGACATCATGCATGACACTTCTTGGAGTCAAATTTGCGTTGCGCTCGCACCCCATCACGCCTACAAGCTACGTCGAAGCTCGCAAACAGGACTGCTCTGCTGCACTCCTCGGCCATGACAAAAAAATGGCTGCCTACCCAGAGTCCATAGCGTTGCCGCCGTTCATGCAAGCTCCCTATAGTAAAAGTAAGGCAAGCTATTTAAGGATTGGTATTGACGAATCTCGTTTTTTCTGGATGCCTGGTATTGTCATGTTGATGACTGCCTGTTTGAGGCACCATGCAGCTCCCAATGGAGCACAAAATGGTAGGTGTAGAGTTAAAATATGGGCAGGTAGAACAGATCGGACAGGTCATAGACAAGTGTCTATCACACCTGTCCCGAGTGTCAAAAGGCATTCCCAAGACCGACTTCCCAAAATGTGAACTGATACATGCGGTATCCCATTCTGATCCACTCTTCTGCATTTCTATGTTTTAACGCTACACCTAAAACTGTGTTCCATTGCGAGCAGCATGAAAGCACACGACACTGTTAACACATCTTTTCTTATGTTAAAAAAAAAAGCTTTGGAATGTAATCAGGAACAACACTGAAAATGTCAAACCGAGAAGGCTTGCCCTCCACACACGCGAACCGCCACACCTGCGCGAAACGCGCAGCACTGTCATAGCGAAAGCTGAAAGAGCGGCCTTTCGGAGCCTTTTTAACACTCTTTGGGAAGCTGCTGCAAGCACACTTGCAGGGTACCCACTACTCAACGAATAATTGTGTAATAGACATACATTCACTATGGCATCATTCGGAGAAGTGTGGTACCCACTGCCCACTTGCAAGGAACTCTGTGCAATTTTTTTGTGTAGCGGCTTACGACATTGAAGAAATATGGCAAGAGCTTTTGCAATCCCCACAAATCCCCCACAGTTGGCATGGGCCACAGTTAATAAGAGAACAAGATTAAGCTTTTGTAAACAGCTTGCAGCATTCAACGACCCACTGATTGCGCAATTCGCATTATGTGACACAAAATTGTTCCTCTGCTGTTCTAAAACAATTCGCTCATATTAACGCGATTTCTTTCCTGACACCAAGCCCACCTAAGGCCAGTTTGCAAAGGAGTCCCAAGCACAGGTGTGGTTTACTGGTAGAATACTGGGCTGACATGCAGGAGCCCGTGTTCAAATCCCATTGTGTCCTTGGTGTTTTTATATTCCAAGTTTTTTTTTCCTTATTTCGCGCAATAGTGGTTACGGACACTGGCGGACAACTACGGCACACATGCGACCTGTGTTGCGATCTTATAACTACTTTCGCTGTAAAACAACACATGCTGCTTTCCTCGGTATTTGTGATTGGTGTCTGTGTGGGTCAAACGACTTAACAGCACCCCCCCAACCCTCGAGTGACCCCCTGCCTTCGTTATTCTTGTCAGCTCTTGCAATAAACAGTTTGCAACAAGCGCCACCATAAATGCCCGCCTGAGCTTCAATGAAATATGTTACAAAGCTTTTAAGTACATTTGTGTCCTAGCAATATATGGCCAGATTTGGCACAGTATAACAATTTTTTTTTAATGGAAGCTTTAACTGTGTAGTACCTACATAAATACATGGAAACGGAAGAACTGTGTTCCTTATAAAGCCTTGCAAATATTTTGTAGAGGCTTCTACCAATTGAAAGAGAGGTTGAAATTGGTTTAATGTCATTTGGTGAATGAATTTGATGAAATTCATCCTACAAATACCTTGTTGCTGGAAAAACACTTGAGAACTGTATATTTGTAAAATGTATGTTTTGCAGAAGGATTGACAGGCGGGCTAGTTCCCAATTATTTCATTATGAATGTATGTTTTAACCGAATATCCAAGAGAAAATCTTAGAACTGCAGCTTATAGTACATTTAAAGAAGAAATGAAATGTATTTTCATCAACATGTCAAAATTAAACAATTTCTGCACAAAAATAAGGATATCAGAAAAGTAGCCTCACTATTATGCCAATTTCACAGAAGCCATGAATTCACCGATATTTATTCATTTGGGAAGCAATACAAAGAGGCTGCAGAACAAGAACACTATATGTTACTGGTGCAGGCATATGGATAAATGAAATTTATGCCTTATTATTTTTTCTTATCTTCACAATTTCTGACAACTTGTATAAAAAATAGTATCGGAATTGTGCTGCCTACAGTTGCTAGTACTTGCTTTCTTAAATGCAACAATGTTAACCTAAATCAGTCCAATGGCTATGAAGAATCGAGCACTTTATATAGACTACCTGAGGAGGAAGATCAGTTGACCTAAACAAGAGCGTTATTTTTATTATCTAAAATATATACACATCAGTATCTGAATTATGTTTAAACTGACAATGTGGAAGCAAAATAAATATTTTGACAAACTCCAAAGCTCAATTAAATTTTTCAAGGACAGAATCCAGGGCCACAACTGGGGAAATGTAACGGCCCTAAAAATTCCATACAACTGGCTGAGCTCGGGCCCCCCTGTACAGAGCGTACCAACCACATGACACTGAATCCAGGAACTCCCACAGATGGTGGAGAGAAAGCAAGTGGAGAGCTCGTGATTCGAAGGCACGTGAAAGCACAAAAAATAAGTTCACTGATAAAAGCAAAATGGCACGGATGAATCGTTCCACACCTGAACTGAGTCGGAGCACGGAGAAGCTCAAAGAAAAAATCATGTGACACTGAAAGGGCTCCTCATATATCACCTGCCTGACAATGCTGGCTGTCGGCAGAAAGAATAGAATTTAAAAAGAAAGCTATAGAACCGGACACAGCACGCACTGCTGAACAGGAACCCCGTGTGGGAAAAGGTGCCATACCAAACTAGGCTTTAGATTTAATGGTTCCACTTTTGTTGACATTTTACTTCGGCAACTGTTCATCAAGGCCAAATAAAACTTCTACATGTGGCATGACAATAGTGTTTTTGGCACCGTGTTTCAAAACCAATGCCACTTTAAAGCCTTAGTTTTACCGTTCATAACGCTAATTATTTTCAGTTTTCTTTTTCTTGCATTGCTAGTTACTTAGGGGCACCACTGACAGCTGCTATACAGCCAGTAGGCGTTATTAAACAAAAAAAAAAGCAAAAAAAACTGACAGCAGACTTTACTGCTTGGAAAAATATGGCATTTGGGAGGTACAAAGCTACGCATCAGGGAAGAAATTCAGAAATCTAACGAAATAAGCCTGCACTTAAGAAACCCAGCAAGGCAAGGAAAAGTTAGCCTTTATTGTTCTTAAACTGTACCAATGCATATGTCAACAAGGGCCGAGTAATAACTATTTTACCCGAAGGCTAGGCGCTACTAAATGGGTACCCAAAAGAAACCTGCCCAGGATATCAACCAAACAAAATGCTTTAGCAGGTCAGTGACTGCATAGCTTCTAAAGCTCCACCGTCAGCGAGTAAAACAATACAGGAAAACAATCTACCATCTTAAATCCTTGTGAATGCAGAATACTGGAGGAGTCACAATGGAATTTAGCCAAGCAAGTGTCAAGAACCTTTAGCTTGATTACAAATGCCGAGTGCACACGAAAATGGAAATCAGGTTGGCATTGTCCACACGATGACGCATACTGTAACAAGTATGCGTGCGGCGTCACGTGTGCAGCAAGGTGAGCTATATACAATGTGCTGTAGGGTCACGCAATAAAAAAAAGTTGGACCTCAGCACTCACACTGTCCTCTGCCCCCCCCCACCCCCACTTTTCTTAACCGTATAGCGTCTTTTCTTCACGCTCAAACAGCGCTAAAGCAATACCATTTTAGCATACTGCAAGCACGCCCGGAAAAAGTGCTTGATAACGTCAATGAGAGGCACATACAGAGGTATCTATTTTATGCACTATCTGTGCGCACCGCGCAACGGTATAATTGAAGTGCTATACGGTATCATTTAATAATCCTTATCGCATGCTGGCTTGCGATACGCTTGGTGCGGGGATACGGAAACCGAAAACAGATCACGCTGTAGGACACATGACGTACTAGGGTCCAACAGCGCTTTCGCGAGATAACAAAGGCCAGGGTACGCAGTTTTTGGCCTATGCTGTTGGCAGACGTCCCTTGACAACGGAGATAACGAAGTGACAGAACAGCGACAAAGCCGCATACAGATAGTGTACGCAGCTTAAACCAACGGCGCGCGAAAGGAGCCGCGCGGAGTTGAAGTACCAGAACATTGTCCCAAGCGTGAGCGTTATTAAAAAAGAACCCGCGAAAAACGAATAACACGTGCCCTACTTGAAGATAAGTGGGCAGCAGTGCACTCAAAACGCTCTAATAGCATGCGTAAGCCACCGCAAACGAAAGCAATGACATCATCCGGCCGGCACAAATCGCCACGAGTCCGGATGCCAAAGCGCCGTCAGTGACGAGAGAATGACGAAGCGCACCGGCGAAAAAAGACTTCCCGACAGTAGTGCGACACAGTTCGCGAAAAGTTACGCCCAGCGGCAGGTGAACAAACGCCAGGTTTCTCGTCACGCGCTAACTTGCTTGCTGCAGAGACAGCTTACGAGTCCGGCATGAATTAACCGGAGCGCGGTTTTATACAGTCGTTTAGTCATGCAGTGGGTCACACATGAGCGAGGCGCTGAGAGCGTATTACGCGCACAACCATACTTCACCCTACTTTTTAGTCGCCACGAAACGGAAACGAACTCGGAAAAGGGCGCGTTTCGCGGCACTCGCGGTAAAAGAGAAACCACGCGACCGCTCAACGCGTAAGCAACGAAATGAAGGGGGGAAAAGGTAACTATGCTGTGAAAGTTAACAGCATTTGGCGATTAAAAGTGTAACTGTCACGCGCGTACGTTAGGCAATCGCATGACGCCGCGAATCCATTGAAACGCACGCGCTCGTGATGAGACTGCATGAGTCACAGACACACCGCCAACAAGCTCGAGCGGTTGATAGCTACACCTGCGAGCGCTGGACAAATGGGCGTGAAACCGAGAAACCTTGACTGGCCACCAGAGCAACTTGGCGGCGGCCACCTAGGAAGGTCGCACCGGGAATAAGGTAAATAACGACGCAGGGTGGGCACTTTACCTGAACATGACGGGTCCGTTCAAGGCACCAATGCTGTCCGTACATACGTTTTGGACGTTTGCAGCTACGGCGAACGTAGTGAAAACCGCGAGTAGTAGTCCGACAGCCGCGAACTCGCGTAAATGCATCTTTGCACTAGTTTGTAACATTGTCAATGCCTCGCCAAGTGTTCAGTTACTCACGCAAACCATTACGTTCAAACAAGCGGTCAACACACGCACATCTCACCAAGTGCAAAACAACTCAACAAATTGCGCTTGTCTTCCCGATACTTTATTTTGCGCACAGTTTCAGGCCATGCGCCGCCTAACGGCCTAACGGAGCTAACGGCCCGTTAGCTGGGGTTTGTGTTTGCAGTGTTCTATTACAATTGCAGCTTTCGTGCGTGTTGTGCTAAACAATTTGATTGTCACTTATTATTTAATTTAAACGAACTTACGAAAAAAAAAGAAATAAGTCTAATCACTTTTACAGACTCGGAGAACAATACTCTGTCCAAAGTAGCGTAAACAAATCTCAAAGCCCATACATACAATCGTTCTTCTAAAGATCGCCAGTTGAAGGCAAGCCAATCCATATTTTCATCCAACACGAACTGCGTTTTTATGTTGGTCCATGTGGTTTTCGCGGAGCCGTACATATGTCTGTGTCGCTTTGAGTGCGTGGATCTAGTTTGTTAACCGCAACTGGCATCGTGAAGGGAAAAAAGTCTACCCAAGTGTACAGGCAAGATGTCTTTTATGAGAGGGCCCGCACCCGTTCGGAGGACTCTGCAGTATCTCGAGAAAGGTCGCCTGGTATTCAAGGACCGAGTGAAGATCATGAGCCTGAACTTCAACACCGCCGGAAGAGCCAGGGATCGACACGAAGGCATGCAAGAGTTCGTCTTCTGGTTCCTGCCCCAGGTTCTGTACAAGAACCCCGATGTGCAGGTCGTCCTATTCAAGAACAAGACGCCAACACCGTTCGCGAGGTTTTGGCTCGAAGACGGCAAAGAAGTCATCATGGACGTCGACGGGAAGAGCAAAGAAGAGATCCTAAACCAAATGCTCGTGACGCTGGGTAAGACGACCGAACAACTACAGAAGGAAGCACTCATGCGAGAGAAGAAAGATACGCCGGCAAACTTCGGCCGGCACTACGACAAGTTCTGCATCTGCGAGGTCCCGGGACAAGTTCCGTGCCCGGGAATCGTTCCCCTTCCTAAAAGCATGCGCGGCAAGTGCCGCGCTGAACAAGAACGGTGAATTAACAAGGAAAGTGAAAGTGGTGTAGCATTGCGTGTGAAATCGGGAAGCGAAATGCTGCAAGACTGTCGATTCGTGTAAAGTGCGCCGACCATGTAGCCTGCTGCTACAGAAACTGATCGTGTTGTAGTTTAGAAGCTTCAGTCGCAACCAACGCTTATCCGGGAATATTTTATCGGCAGTCTTACAGCATTAAATGAACATGAACATTTTCTATCGTCGCTTAAAAGGAATATTTCATTCAGAGTGAGTGTAACACCCGTAGAGCTATACTTCACGAGTTTACAGTAAACAATAAAAACTTCATTTTCATATTGTGAGGTAACTGCCTCTGGTAAAACTACCGCACATTGTTGCTGCTCGCCAAAAGCTGTACCTTACAGTGTTATGGCTTTAGCATGACGAAAAACATTCTGGCCAATGTTGCAAGAACAGATAGACTTAATTAGGCAAAATTCATGTGCACTTGCCTGATGGCAACTATTTTTACAATAATTAGCTCACTGTAAACCTACACCTACAAGCCAATCACAATCGTACTTACAGGCAGTGTCAAAGGTGTACAAAATGTGTATTGCATGAAATGGTTCAATTCCTTAACAGTTGTTTCATTCTGCCAGAAAAGCAAAGATTATGTTAACAACAGATAATAACACAGCTGGGAGCCCAAGTGCCACACTCACCTTGGTTCGAGTATTTATATTCACCTTCCTCTGGGATCGCACACTCAGGTTAACTTTTTATTGAGACAGTGCAAAGGGCAAATATCACTCTCCCAAGTTTTATAAAACTCTAGAACACTTCGATGTGTTTCAGCAAAATTTGCAAAATAAAGTTGTTTAAACAAGACCTTGACTTAGTGTATAAAAACATGAGTTTATTACAGTTGATACCCATCTTGCAGAAGCACAGTCTATGTACAGTTCACTCAGTTTTCGTTACTCCTAAGAGCAGTTCATTGAACAAGACAGAAGTTCCCAAGGCCCTGTCCAGTTCTGTAGAGAAAGAAAAATGCAAATTAATTACAATTTGATAGAATTTAGAACTAAAGTACCAGTCACTTGTTCTGTAAACTGACATACGTCCTAATATGGAAATCCAACCATTGCAATAGAGACTGCGTTTCTGAGACCTAGCAATTTTGGCTGGCAAGAACAGTGATAATTTCCTAGCTGTACATTTATAAAACAAGCACAGTAAAGAAAAAAGCTATTTGCAAAAAAAAAACATATTGAAAGTTTTGCTGTCTCTTGTCTAGCTGGCTGAAAACTATTCCGGGGAATTCTTTTTATCCACACCTGATGGGAAAAAAAACTACCACATCTTCGGGTTTTCACACTCCACATCTCATCTATAACACTACTAAATGCTTCAGCATTTGAACTAATAGAAGTAGAAGGTTTTAATGTAAACATTTTAACAGAGTGAGTACTTCAGGCACACTTGCTGAAATAGCGTGACACATATTAATACTAGTACCAAAGACTCGGCACGAATCTGAAAACACCATGACCAGCAGTTTTCATGTGCTCATGCATGTGCATTGACAATGAAGACGGGTGCCATGGCATGCGAATACTGTGAGCCTAGATGTAGCACACTGTGCTCCAGATTTTAGGCATTCTTTGGCATTAAGCAGTCAGCTAGAGCATGTGTGCAAGCCTAGGCAGCCATAGCTTCAAGCAGGCTCATATTGAAGTGCTTCTTTACACAGTGTCTCCTAGTTTTGCGATCTACATATTAATTTTGTCTCACTGCCGAATTCTTGAATGTTTTTTAGACGAATCATCATACTGATGACCACTGGTCGGCAAAACGTCTGAAGCTCATTCAGACTCGCTCACGAAACATATTTTGCGCTTCGGACTCGCCAAAACATTACTCAGTCAAACTCAGACTCACTGCTCAATCTGAATTTGAGTGAGTCAACTCACGAGTCTCCGAGCCTATAATTATCTTTTTTAACAATTGTGTCAATGCTCCTTACAACCAATATCTCATGTAATCTGGGCTCTTCTTAGTGCCTTTTGGTATAGTACCTCCAAATATCAGTCATGAGGCCTTGCAAACCAGTAAGACCATTTCTCTTGGGAAAGATGACAATATAAGGTCTACAGTACTTATCAAAAACTTTTCTCTGAGAGTTAGGGAAGAGGAGTTCAAGGCATTGCCATTCGTAATTCGCGTCTCTGATCAATAAAACATTGAAGTGACGTATGAAAGACACTGCTTTGGAACACGTGTGAGAAGACATGGGTATAAATGTGAACCCAGGTATGGGTGATAGCAATGCTGAAAATGAGTATGCAGGGGATCACAGGTCGGAAAAGGAAATTGAACTCACTCAAGAATTTTATCTTGCACTGAGGACTCACTTGAACTCACACTCACGAAAACTTGCCTTTCTTTTAACTGCATACTAATTATTTACACTGTGCAATAATGATGCACACACTTTCACCTCGCTCTACTTACCAGGCAAAGAGACATCCACCCTAAGCAGCACCCTCTGCTTCATGTACAAGTCGCACTGTGTCTTGGCCAGCACCTTTGCAGCTTTGCTAAACAACAAGTCCGTAATTTGCAGAACAACGGATGTCACAATGGGTCTCGCATCACCACTGGCCACAATTTCGCCCAGTGACCAGTGGACCCTCGCCAGAAGCTTTTCTAGGCACCGTCCCCCCTGAAAGTTCACCAGTTCAGTGGCACAATTGGGCCCACCCGAACTTTCCAACCATTGGAGAGCCCACGTGAGTAAGTCTTCATTGAAGTTGACGCTCTCCGCACCGTGTTGGAGCGAGAAGTCGAGAGCCTCGAGCCATTCCAGGGGCTGCGTCGCGTTGTCGGGCTGCCAGTGATGACACACGCTGGCAATGGCTTGGCTTGACTGCTGACAGCTGTCCGCACCGTTCGTGGCTGCAAGCTGTCTCCAGTGATTAAGCAGTTCGAGCACAATGTCTCTGTTGGGCAGGCAACAGTTCTGCGCAGCCTTGCTCTTTCCACTGGCTTCTCGCGAACGCACAAAGCACAGCATGTCACTGAGTTCCTCGGTGAACTTGGTGAATGCATCTAGATTATGGCAACCCCTGTAGGAAAAAAAGAAAGAAAAATTTGAGTGCCACTTCACATTCGTCTAAGCATAGCCACTCTTGTTAAAGTTATCATGACGGCACATTTGCTGTTAGACTGACCACTGTTTCACATGCGTTGTATCCAAGTCCAAACAAGCATGGTTTTCTGGTTATAATGATACCTAACTAGCCAATGTATATACACTTTCTCTCTACTGAAATACTCACTACGCTGCATCAGAAGTCGAGAAAATTGAGCTGGCAACATTTGCAGATTTTGCCATGTGGAAACCTGTACTTTCCATGTTCCTTCTCAATCATGTTCCTTTCCAATCATTTCCTTCCAATAACCAAACAAAAGTGCAAGTAAGCGGCCTCCTTTTACGAAACAAGTCTAAATAGTTTAACATAACAGAAGTGCGTAATTTTGGGTTCAAATTATCCCACACACAGACAATGATTTTGTAGTGCCATGTTATAGGGTGCAGCAGCAGTAGGCTTACATGATGTACTTTCTTGTGCTGAACAACATCAAGATGAACTCGTAGGGAAAGTACTCATAGTAGCGGAGACTCTCGCGCTTTGCGCGGATGATCGCAGCCTCGTCCTCTTCCTTCGGAGCATTCTCTTCTTTTTCCTCGTCATCGGCGCTTTCCTCTGACGCTTCTTCACCTTTGGACAAGCTGCCCTGTTTCTTTGTTTTTGCAGCCTTCAAGTCCTTGACCCTCACAGTTTTCACAAAGCTGGACTTCCACACATGATGGACCGTTTCAAACAACAGCTCTGAAATGCCTTCCTCTCCACTGTTCCTGAAAAGCAACAAACAAACTATGCACCACCTCTAGAGATGCACTGCAAGCAAAGTTAAATCAAGATATACTTGCACATGTAAGCATAATTCCAATTACGTTCTGACCACTATTACTGAGAAAACATTTATGCATTTGTCATGTCTTTTTACATATTTTCTTACCTAAGCAAGAAAACTGAACATGAGAGATAAGCTGCGCTGCATTTCTAGGAATTTGGAAAGGACTCCTGCTGATGTACATCATCACAGATTTGATTTGCAAGAAAGTAGTCGATAGTTATAGCATTAAAAGACATCACAGTACATTTCAGAAACATGAGATAGTGCAGCTTTCATAACTCGAGAGAAAATCCCATCTTCACCACTCACACATTTGGCAGTAGTCTTGCGTCCTCTGCATGCAACTTTGGCAAAAGAACAGCAGAGAACAAACTAACAGTCATACAAAAGTTAGCTCTCACTGTTTCCTCTGATGAAAGTGCAACCACTCGAAAAAGGCTGATTTCAACTCAATGGCAGCATTTTTTTTTTACTGTAAAGCTTTTTGTAAAGCCCACAGAAGTTTACTACATAGCTTGAAGTTTCCACCGGGTAAACGACAGTTCCGCACCTGAACCCAACATGGCTTCCATGACATGACGCTCAGACTTGCAACAATAATGCATCGAAAACATGGCAAGTGCGCTGGGATCCACGGATGATACTCACTTCTCCAATGCTGCTGGCAACCACATCATAAACCCCTGCTCGCGGCAAAGAATACGAGCAGCCTTGGGAATTTTGGCCGCAGCGATCAGCAGCTTCAGGATAAGCTCCTTTGAGAGAAATAAAAGAGAAAATATTTGAGATAGCCAGACAAGACTCGTCGGCAGACAAGTCTAATGTGTTATGGCACAGTGGTCCCGAATGTGTGTCAGCACATACTTTATATTTAGGACTGCAATCAAGCTGCATGACCAGCGTACCTCCCTAACCAATTACAACACCCCAGCAAGAGAGAATAACCCTTGGAAGTAATTAAATACACGAATGAAGCTTTATTCCTATTGAAAATGCATACAAGAATGCTCAAATGTTTGCAACACAAAGAGAGTTTCTACTTGCACAATTATACTACACAAAGTGGCCCTGTGATGCAAATTAAGTGTGTTTCCATCGATTTTTGTCAGTGAAATGCTCCGATATCGTTGCGTGAGTGGCAATGTCAAAAACAAAGCTGTTATAATTTTATTTGTAGAACTAAACCACACTGGTTTTGGATTGAAGCGACACACAGTGGTTAATTCTGTGATTGTAAGCGACACTTCACTAGGTGAAAGTGACCACAGAGACCATGTGTTTGAAGTGGTTCAACTTCATAGGGTCCCACATAGACAACACCATTGTGTGCTAAAGATTGTAAAAGCACTCTTTATACTTAGATGGATACAAAAGGATTCTTTTCTTAAATATTAAAATGTGAAAACAACAAAAAACGTTGCAGGGCCTCTTTGATATGCAACTACACGTACTACCTTATTTTTGTATAGTTACGAATCAAATGTAATGAAGATGATGATCATTGCTCTACCCTTTGCAATGGGCAATGAAACAGAAAATTTAGATTTGGAAAAAAAAAAAGAGGCACCGATCAGTGGTATGACCAATTTGCTGCCAGATGCATTGGATTCTGCAGATACTTCGCACTCCACCAGTCACATGCCAAAGTCAAGCCACAAGTACCAGGATGCCAGGAAATGTTTTTCTTCCATTCATTCCTGTTCAAGTCAGTGTCTCAATGGAACCACTTCACTACCTTGGCCGTCACCAATCCTCATCATTCAGCTTTTCAAGCTCCTGATAATAAGGGTTGCAGCGCGAGCACGAATGTGCTAGAAGAAACAGACGAAAGTCGAGGCACGGAAGGCAAAAAGGACAACAGGAGCGCTGACTATACCAACTGAATTTTATAGTCAGCGCTCGTGTTGTCCTCTTTGCCTTCCGTGCCTCGACTTTCGTCTGTTTCTTCTAGCACATTAGTGCTCGCGCTGCAACCCTTATTATCATGAATTCAAACCAACTAGCCCAAATCGCCATTCTTCTTCAATGCTTTTCAAGCTCCCTTGTCAAACACTGCATAATGTATACATAAAGCACTCTGTTCTGTGACACAAACAGGCATTAAGTAGGGATGGCCGAATAGTAAGCTTGAGATTCGAAGCGAATTCAAAGCAAATAGTAGTGACTTGGTCGAATAATTTCAAATCAAATATAGTTCAAATAGTATATATCACATATTATTACGAGCATTCCTGTGATGACACACTTAACTCGCGCAATATCTTTAATAATTGGAACTAGGCAGGTGTGAATGTTATTTTTTTGCTCAAAGTGTAGTGGAAGTAACCCTGAATAGTAAGAAGATATGTATATAAGTAAAGTGCAAGTTATAAATGGTACAATACGTCGCATTTTAAGAATTGCTATGCTTAGCTCATAGAAGCCTGCATAAAACATATTTAAGCGTAAAAAATTATTAATTGAGGTGAAGGTAACATGTATATTTAATTTTTATGTGTGGCTTCGCAGCAATGCGATGTCACCTGCAAGAAAGCTTTAACTGCATAGCACCAACACGCTGCAGTGAAACCATATTTACATGACGGTTTACGTACACTTGTTTGTTTCGAATACTTCAGAATTTTGAAAGACTTAAATGTGTCTCGAAGCGAATTCAAATACAGCAATGTTCGCTTGAACATTAAAATCAGCCGAATATTCGCCCATTTCTGTCATTGAGAATATTTCAAGTCAATTAATTGTTTCTTCATGCATACATGCACAAAAAATGTATGTTGATGATGTCATCAAAGTTCAAAGGGATAAAGTATGTGACTTTCTATTCATTGTCTGCTGAGAACACATCCTTCTCTTTCCATAAGCATTGTTACTGTATCACTCACTACTGCAGTATTAACAATCTTTTTCTTATGATGCCACACACAACAGAAGCCGTAAGCAAGCTTACTGTCACGTAGATTCACCAGAACTGTGGCAAAACGCGCTTGTTAGAAAAAAAAAAGCAAGCGTGGTAGTTATCATACCCACATACATTTAATGCTGTCACAAGGCTTCTCCGACAGATAAACTTACCTTGGTGTTTTTTTGGCACAGTGGGGACATGAAGAAAGTGAGAAGGATGTTGAAGATGTAGCGCTTCTTAGAGATGTGGAAGTCCAGGCCACAACGCATGTAGTCCCCCATCACTTCAAGGTGCCAATTTCTTTTCATGTAGTGCTGCAAAGCACATATGAATGCACATTGTGATGCTCTACTCTATACCAGACGTGAAAGTGGCACAATCATGAGGCCATCATAACATGTACAACTTGTCAAATGTTTACTTCGCAACACCATGAACATGCGTGTACAAAATGACACACATATGCCTTGGCACCACATCTGAAACCTAAATTATTGTGTAGAATAGACTCTTGATAAACCGAACCTGAAGGGGCCAATAAAAATATATTTAGTTTTGTTTAAAAGCAGTTATGTTTACTGAAAGATGAACAAGGGTATGCTGTGCAACTAATCATATTGTGCACAACTACATTTAAGAAACAGCTCCATTTAAAATACTTTTGTTTAGTGAGAGAGTCCACTGTGGATGTGCTAAGCGATGTTGCAATAAGTCCAGTTTCAAAACAGAAAAACAGGAAAAAAAGTGGTGACTGAACATAGAGAATTGTTTCCTGACCTTTGCTACATGTTGGCAATAACAAAGCGTAAATATTCTGCCGTTTTTAAACGACAGCTGTAATTGGGAATGCAAGTCCACGTTTCAAAGGCCTTACATACAAGTAAAATTACAACACTCCACAGCTGGGAACTCGGTCCCCAGTAATGTGTAACCAGCCTGCACAGTCATATGTCTGCTAAAGACGCAGGTGTCCTTCAGGTTCATTTAGGCCTGTATGCCGTTTTCAATAAGCCACCAAGATTGCAAAAGAGATTCTGATCAATAAGCGAAAGAGCAGAATGCCACTTTTTACCTCTACTCTGTAGTTATAGAACATCTTGTAGAAGTCGGGGACATTTTCGATGTCCAGCACTGGCTTTGCGAGCAAGAAATCCGCAACTGCATTGAACATGAAATGGCCTGAAAGAAAAAAAGAAAAAACGAGGCGCTCATGAGAAACTATGGCACCATCAGAAACAACATTGGTTACAGCTTTGTGGCATGAAGTGAAGCTGTGCGCAAGCCACATTGCCAAGCCCGGGCCTGGCCCAACCCTGCTGACTGTATCAAAGACCCGCCTGAGCATGGCGCTAAAGTGCTGCGAGCCCATCCGGCCTGGCCCAACGTACAAAGAGAAAAAGCCCGGGACTGGCTCGGTCTCGCTTGACGTGCCGGCTCGCTGTGGCGACAACCAAAATAATGTTTTAAGATTATTTGCCATTTTGCTCGTCATATCAAAGTGGAACGTAAGCAAAGGACGCGTGACAGTCGCGGAGAAGGGAATGCGTGGTGAAAAACAACTCCGGCACGTCTATATTTTGGGCTTGCTTTGGGCTTTGCACCTGGCCCAGCTTCGTTGATAAAAGCAAGGTCGATAAAAAGCAAAGCAAGACTAACTTGCATTATAGAAATGTGCCAGCAATATGCAAAGATCTTTCTCAAAATTTTAGGCAGGTTGTAGTTGAGTACAAGGCTTATATGTATGGTGGGTTATCCATGAGAAAATAAAAAAGAGGCAAACCCCAGTATGCCAGCAACACTGAATTTCTTTTGTCAATTTTTTTTCTTCTACAACAGGAATGCGTTTGGTCTTCACCTAAAAAACTTGAAACCAGCTCTCCTTAAAAAATTTATTCACTACAATTCTTCTATGTATTTTGCAAAGCCCTTCAAAAAGGGCTCCTATGTGGGTAATCATCCATCCCAATGACTTTTGGCACGCAAGGTGAATCAATATTTTTATTTTTCCATTCCTTTCGGAGCCCAGCCACAAATAATAACCACCAGGCCCACCCGGAACGTGCAGCACAGTCACTGTGAAAGTTGGAAGAGCACCCTTTCAGAGCCTTTTTTGAACAATCTTTGAGTAACTGCCATAAGCACACTTGCAGGGTACCCACTACATCATAAATCAATAATTTTTGTGTAGTAGGGAGGCATTCACTATGACCTCCTTCGTCATTCTTCAAAGAAGCATGGCACCTGCTACAGACTTGCAAGAAATTTTGTGCAATTTTTCGATGTTGTGCCTGGCGACGGCAAAGAATTATGCCCAGAGCTTCAGTAAATTTGGACCATTTGACGACCCACTTGTTATGCAATTCGCACTCTGTGATGCTTGATTGTTAATTTACAGTTATGAAACGCTCTGTATCTCATATTAACACAATTCTTTCCCTCACATCAAGCCTGCCTAAGGTTAATTTGCAAAGGTGTCTCAAGCACCGGCGTGCCTCAGTTGTAAAATGCTAGACTGACACGCAGGGGACCTGGGTTTGAATCCCATTCTGTCCTTAATGCTTATGTTTCGTAAGTTTTTTTAAAATTCTTTTTATGAGTGATATTAATTACGAACGCCGGCGGCGGTGGAAAACTACAGCCCGTGCAACTATTGTTGTGATCTCATAACAGCTTTCACTGTAAAACCAATGAGCCCGCACTTAGCTGCGAAATGTAGCAACCCGTGAATCACCATAGCAGGTGAGCTGTGCAGCTACGGATCACAGCAGCAGCCTCGCGCATCACAACACTTACCGGGATTGCTGATGACGTCGATGGCTGACACCAGATAGCCGGTGACAAGGCAAGGCACATGAGGACAGGTGACGGTGGCTGCATTGCGCAGAGTCTCGAGGACAGACAGCCACACAGTGCTCATGTTGAAGCGTGATCCCTGGAGGTGGTGGTGCAGCATCATCACCAAGTTGCAGCCGAGGCACCGCACCTCAAACACTTCGCTGCTCAACGACATCAGTATGAGGGACAGGCAGCGTGTCTCCACTATCTGGCGACAGTTGACCAGTGACTCTGAGAACAGTCAAAAAGCAGTGTATTAAAAAAACAGTATGAAATAACTGCATGAAAGAAGCAAAAAAAAAAAAACGTGTACGAAAGAAGGCCCCGTTGACTCCCAGGCGAGAGCGAGCGCCCGTTATTGCGCCCTGGTGCGTGTGAGGTGGGCAGGTGGGCCTGTGCCCCAAGAGCCAGCGCTGCCACCGCTCTTGCCGTCCCGGGCTCATGTGCAAATGCACCTTCTCACCCTCCCTCGTTTAAACCAAAAACAAGAAAACTACTTTTGCTCTGGCAGCACCAGGCCTTCGGTTAGCGTCACATATGTGGGACCGCGCTGCATACGGAGGGCGCTTTACCGAGTAGTTTCCCACAGAATTCATGTCGTTCACTTTTTGTTTTCGACACCATGCGCGCGTGCATTGTTTTATTGCACGCGCATGGTGTGGCCCCCGATAACATTCAGCTTTGCTTTTTTTTTTAATGCACATAACCATGTCGTTACTACCAAGGGAATGTCAGATTAGGTGCTGATAGAAACTATCCGAGACCACGTGACGACGGATCTTTGAAGGTTGACTCGTCTCACACTTTGCAGTCTTGCGCCGCGCCACGAGTTCGCGGGATCGCAGTCTTCACGATAAGTCGAGTAGCTCTGGCAAAAAGAAGACGGCACGTTGAGTGCAATTCAATGAATGTGATAGCAACAAATTGTAATGTTATACGAAGTAAGGCTGGCAGCCAACTCTTTTGGATCCGATATCGTGGAACTCCTACAAAACGCTAGAGTGAGCAAATACGGCCGCTACAGTGAGAAGTGCCCTTTTCACACTGCCTCTTTGCATTCAAAGTGCACTGATGCTTGCCGAGATAGCATGCGCGCCCAACGATCGCGAATGCACCCTTGAAACCAAAGTTTATTGTTGCTATTCGAGTGACCCCCCCCCCTCTCCTCGCGTTTTTTCATGGCAGTTCTAACATGCGGGGTGATGTGATCAGACGCGCCCTCGAGGCTATAGAGATGGGCCGGTTCATTTGATTTGAAAAGGGCAAAATCATGAGCTTGTTGGTATATATTCATGTTGAAAAACAGCGCGGGTCTACGAGAGAGCACTCTGTCTTGTCACATTTCTTCTTCTCTCGTATACCCTCGCTGTTTTTTACGATGGCTCATTTGATTTCTGCTTCAGAAGCGCTTGCGCATTTTACATCGTAAAAGTTACGATGGGCGAGGGTACGTTATCAATTTGGACTTACGGAACATGACGGTGACCGCAAGAACCCGCTGAGAATGTCCACATATTGTTATCGCAATAGTAACACAGTTTTTACCACTAAATAAGTGTTTTGGACGAGCTCTGCCTTTAGTCCCCCTTTCGTTTAATTTGTGCATTTATTTTTCAAGTTTTCGTACCGAACCTGCATATAACGAAATCCTCTCTATAACAAACTTTTTCGGGAATTTGTCAATTTTGTTATATGCAGTTTGACTGCATTTTTTATGAACAAAAAACCAAATACTTTGCTTTTGCTTGAGACTACAGGCTTTCGAAAACCATACACACATCACTGGCGGTGCTAAAGCTTCCCACTGACGAAGAATACATAATTAAAATAATACCAACCAGGGGCCAGTAGGGTGAAAAGAAGGGGCAGCAAGAACCTTGGATCATAAAGGCTACCATCAGCAATACTGTCCAATGGAAGAACCTGCAAAAAGCATTTGAAGGGCGCAGCATGTAAAATTGCTCACAATTATACGAACGACGTCAGGCATATTCAGTAACATGCAAGGAAGGTGTTTAAAAGCCCTGCTTAGTCACCTGAAAGAGCGATCTTATGTGGGCATAATTTATTTACAGGCACTCAGACAATTCCCGAATACTAGTACCAAATGAATAAATTTAGATGACTGATGTCAGTATTCCTGCCTCCCTTTATTCCATTTTTTTCTTTTTTTCATCTTTTAAACCCTCAACAGGTCTTTAAAGCCCCACCATGTCACACGTTCACTGCATTCTTGACTTAGCATGAGTCCATCTCATAGTGCGTACCTTGCCGCTCTTTGAGTGGCTTTTGACATTATGCACATAAAAATTTCCCAATTACACCCTGGGTATGACATATCAAACCCCATTCTAGACCCAAGTTTCAAAAACACATGCCAAAAACGTGCATTAAAGATAACAATAACAGTTATGTATTAGTAATTACAGAATGTTTCGCTAAAACTAAAGTACAAAAGATACATACATCAAGCTGTAGATGCAAAGGAAAATGAAGAACAGTAGCAGCCATTTTGTCCTCATTTATCAGATTCAGGACTTCTTCGGACTTTGGCTGTTTGAGCAGGCTCACTGAGGCCTTTTTGTGCAGTGAGTAGAAGGACACTGCCGATGGACCCCACAAAAATGGCCTGGTAGAGAACAATAGACACGACACCACAAATGAAGGATGGGCGCTCACTCAAAGCAGACAGCTTTATATAAGACACACCAGCGTACCCACAGTAAAATACCGCTTGATAAGGAAATGCATACGAGATACCCTGCTTATAAGGGACATGTATAAAAGACAAGAATGTTGCCTGGAGCATGCCTCTTATAAAGGGGTTTAACTGTATCCAAAAATTCATTATAGAGGTTATTATTAAAAGGGTACTGCCACGAAAATTTTCACTTATTGTATTTTTGCGTCAAACGATATACTAAGCCTTTGAGAGCGTATAAAACATACCAGTAAGCACGAGTGCACCCTGAAAATTAATTACACCTTGATTTAAAAACTAGTTTCTGTTTCTACTGTAACCTAACGTATGTGCAAGCGCAAGTTTTCGTGACGTATCCTTCTTTGCGCGTCACTTTTTCGACCGTCTGCTAAGTCTGCTGCGCTCCGCACATGTGGCAACTGTCGCAGCAGGGGGTCACAACGTTGGATTCCCATCACTTTTAAGGCGCAGGTTCTTCGTCGACAATCTGAAGACAGTCAGCAACTGCATTTTGTGGGTTTAAGCATCTGGAGTCAAGCGCAGCGAACAAAGTAAACTCTGCTTGGTTGGCCGTCCAGTTTCCGTCTCAGCCCCCGCTTGTTTCAGCGCCGGATCGGATTGGAATCGGCAAAACTTGCACCTATTGTCCTTCCTTTCACCCGCGCAAGACAATTCACAGGACAAAATATTGGTGGCATGACGAGAAACTTGAAATCAAACGATTCATTTGCCCGCTGATAAGTGTATATCTTGTATTTACTGAACGTAAACTACTCCAGACTACGCTAGCTTGCTTCAAAGGTATGCTCGATGAAAGTAGGGGCTTTTAGCATGTACGTATACTTCTTTACGTTAAGGTGTTACCAGATACTGGTTTGCATTTACCGTCTTACTGGAACGCATGTTCTTCGGCGTTTTTGCTCCCCATACGCCAATGTACGCCTTTACGATTTTACACACCACAAATGGCGATGCTAGCTGCATTTAAACTACCTTTTCCTTTTAACTCAGATAGGGTCGGATCATGACTCCGGGATAACCACAAGATGTTTTTTTATTGTCTACAGTATCCTTGTATGTGCAAAACGGTGAAGAAATACACGGTTACTGCTACGATGGTGTCAACATCTTGTGACACTTTGTGTTTCGACAGTCATGAACACATTGGCTTACGCGTAATGTTTTTTAGCCGGAAATGATTAAAATGGTAACTCATTCCTAATAACGCCGCTGCATGGTTTTCACGTCACACGTACAATGCACAATGCTTCTGCAATAACAATTTTGTGATTTAATGGTTTATTTTAGTCCCTCTAGATGGCGCCTCCTATCCAGTTGTTGGGGGCTCACACGTTTACGATTTTGATGTTTTAGGCCATTCTAGCTTTAGTAATCCGGCTGAAATAATGTATACGCTATTGGTGCTTGCACTTCGGTTTATTTTGACTTGACAGCTGAAGTTTTCGCAATGTGGACATCACGAGTTCCTACAACTATATTTGCGGGATAGAGCCACAAACAAAAAGCCTATCTAATGGGTAGCTTACGTCACGTAAAGACGGTCGTATCCGCCTATTCTATTCGGTATATGGTAACACAGTAACGTAAAGAAGTATTCATTCAAACTAAGAGCCCCTAATGGCCGCACGGTGCAAGCAGACTCAGCAGTCATGAAACCGAAATTCGCTTAGGAGAGAGCAATAAAAAAAAAAAGGTCTCGTTGATATCAAGACAAACTTCAATTTGGTTTTATGTTCAAGAACACGCAATGCTTTTCTGCGACCTGAGACTTCCCTTGAACTGCCAAAGACTGCCGGGAAAGCAGCGTACGCCAACTCACACTGGCTAAACGAAGCACCACACGTAGTTCTGGTTTATGGATTTCAGGGATATAATGAGCCAAATGTAGCCTGAAGAAGGCTACCATGATGAGATAAAGAAATCACATCCAATAGATGTCGTCTAGTTTTACGTCCATCAACACTGCTAATTCTGGACACTCACACACGCTCCACAGCTATTAAAATAAAAAGAAATAAAAGTGATCAACACAGATAAACACTGCTTATGAACAATTTTTGTCCCTTTTACTTGAAGTTGCAGAGATCCACTCCATTCTTCTCATAAAGAAACATCAAATACAGGATCCTCTGGTCTGAAAAAAAAAGCAATGTACACAACAATGTACTAACAACCAAAACAGTAGGTAATGCGAGAAAAACACCACAAAAGCCAAAACCTCACAAGAAGCACAAGCCCGTTCAGGTGCGCAGCATCAGGTGAGCATCCTATTCCAGGATGAATACTCACCTACTATGGACAAGGAGGCTCTGTAAGCACTGAGGAACACGGGGATGTGTTCGACATCGCACAGTGTGGGATCACACTGAACCAGGACAGCCATAAGCTCTAACATCTTGTCTGTAATGTAGAAGGAAAAATGCGTGTTCAAGTACAGTGATAGTAACAAGACTGTATCACTGTCTTTAAACAGTCACCCTCTCTAAATGAACAACAAGAACCATTTATGTACCTTTCTGCTTTTGCACCTCGTCTTCAGTGTCGAGCATCAGTGGCAGAAACCTTGAGTGGCCGAACATCATCATGTACACCCGACATAGGGCAGGGTTGATGTCGCCAACATTCCCCACACTGTAAACTTTCTGGCATACTACCGAGAGGAGCTCAAAAGACGTCTGCCCAAAAGACTGCGACCTGCAGGCATTGAAGAACAGATGGTAATGCATTATTTATATATTGTGCTTTGTCAACACAACGATGAGAAAACAGTTATGCTATTAGAAGAGTTTCCGTCATAAAAACACACTTTGGAGGGTCTTCTACCTGAGTACCTTTTTTGACAGCGTTTTTATTTAGTTTCCGAATAGTTGCTTCCCAGAAAACTCTGTTTGTTACTTGCCGTGTAAAACTGGGTGCAGGCACAGTTGTTGGCAAGCTTAAGACAAATGCTCTGACGCGTGACCTGGACTACTTTGAATGATGCCAGCCGCTAGGCGCTGGACACTGTTGCTGAGATAACACCTCGGTATGTCAGCATATATGGGTAACATCTCGGCAATAGAACCCAAAGCTGCATGGCACCAGAGTCAATCAAACTGTTTCAAGACATGCTATGGAACATTCATGTTAAGCTTGCTGACGGCAATACGACATTCGTGAAATGGGGGTATCGGGCGTGTAGTCTCAAAAATAAGGAAAGGCACACAGTGACATGTTTCGTGGCAGAGAGACACCTCATAGGGTGCAATGATTGCTTTTAGACTGAATGCCAAAGGGTGTAAAAATTTGCACCATGCATTTTTGTTAAACGACCTTCAGACTTCCCCAGCTTTTTATTGAAGCTGCGTAAAAAGGAAAGCTCAGTTTCTACCTTTTCTCTTTTTTAAGCAACCATCTCTCAACCCACCCTCAACTTCATTATTCCAGTGGCCTATCCATGATGACTCAATCATCCATCCAATAGAAAACATAGATATATATAAAATCTGTAGAATAAAATTGACTTTTAAAAAAAGACGGAGGATTTGTAGAAAAGCTTATGGCGTGAAAATTAAAGAGAGCACTAAAGCACCACAATTCCAATGCTACAAGTGGATACCAATCTATCTCTGCACTGCCGAATGTCAGCCCAATCAGGACAGCGTCTTCCCAAGAAATAATTTTAGATGTAATTTGAACCATGAACTATGATAAACACTTTATAAGCTGCAAAGCTATGTTTCCAAGAAAAACCTATAATAGGTGTATATCTAGTTTCTCTAAAACCCTACCTATCTCCCTGCAAAATAGCATTTCAACCTTTCATCATTCTTGATACCAATGCTTGAAACTTGACCTGAGGCAACGAAAACTAAAAACAAGAAGGCACATTGCTGCAGCAATTTGTTGTAAACATCTTGCTTTACTTACGGGAAGGGTTGAGCTTTCAAAACAGGACCCAACACAGAACGACCAATGAAAGCACTCGAGCAAGCGACTTATCTAAAGATATTCTGGACATTGCAGTGAATACCGTTACCACATTTTTTGAACTGCAGCATGATCGTGCCCCACAAAAATTAAATAATGTTATGTGATAAAATGTAGAGGTAATATAAATACTTGGTGTTTCATGCGCCAAAACCACAGGGTGATTAGCACTGTAACCACTGTCCAATCGAGACAGGCCGAAAATGTAGAGACAGGCACAAATGCAAAAAATTGGAAAATGTGCATGTGCCCGCTATTGAAATTGGAAACTGGTTTTTATAAAGAAATTTGTTTCCAATTTCAACAGTGTACACACACACACACACACGTTAAGGAAAACTTTTCAAGAAATCGATATCTAGAACACTCCCATTGTTTACGACCGTCTGGATAAGACAGATGCCTTTCTGCATGCATGTCCCATTGTAAATAACTAGCAACAAAATCCGGCCACACGAAATCGCTATCTCTACACTGCAAACAGCGAGACTCACTGAAAGCCAGCCTTCAAGTTGTTCTTGATAAACTGAGGCCAGAGTCCATCTTGGCGAACCACTCTTGCAAATATGCTCTCGTCAACAACCTAGATGGAGCAAGAAGTATGTGCAAATCAGTGAGCAAGGACAAAGCAAGCCAGCAAGGCCAGACCATGTGTTTAAGAATATACTATACGTTTGCTAGTTGGTACAGCCTGCTAGCAAACACTGTAGGCTTAGGGTAGACAAAATAATGCTGCGTTAAAAGAACACTGAAGTGAAATGAAAAATTATTTTGACTGATAAATGATACTCTTAGAACTTTATTGTCATTTATTTTACCACCATAGGTTCATTAACAGATTAAAAAAAATCAATGTCAAAGTCTTCATTTCTAAATTTACTGCCGAAACCCTATCATGGTAATTTCTATGTCTTTTTTTTTCATATTTAGGCCTTATTAATTGAACGAAATTTCAAAAACTTGGTATGTTAAGCCTATGGCTCCCTGAGACGACAATGCATTGCATTTTTACCAATTCGAAACTATGCAAACCCTAATAAAAAAATCTATGACATCAAAATGGCTGGTGAGGGAACTTGACGGTGGCACCACCCACACTTTTTTTTTTTGCATCTTTCATTTACCAAGTGTCCTCTCGTAACAAGTGTGACATTTCTGGTATCATGAAAGAGTAATTTACCAATAATATAAGAAATACAAGAAGCATCATTCTTCTTGTTATTGTTCCTTTAATGTAAGATTTTTTTGTTCTTTACCTGGAGCTGTAATGGCCGAAACACTTTTAATCAAAGATGATGGCAGGGCGCATAAACCTATGCAATGTTAGCAATTCAGGCTAACTATCAAGCAGGGCGACCCCAACAGCATGCAAATAAACTTAAAACTTCAGTTCTGATCCTGTTGAAGTGGCATTTGCCGCCATTCGCCTGCTCTAAAACCTGAAATCTCAGTAGGTACGAGACGAGTTCACTTCGCACGGGTATTAAGTTTAAGAAAAAGCTGATGCAATCGTCATACTGCTGCGTTGCACTAATACTCAGTGACAACCTACAAAGAAATGGCAGCTCCACCCACACAACCTCAGTCCACCTACCTTTCAAAAGTGAAAGACACTCATGCTAGGTAGGTTTTTTTTATTTGCTGCGAAAGTAGGCTTTTTCTTTTTTTGCCTAATGTACGAACTATGCAGATTAAGAGATAAAGGTTCACCGTTACTACCTAAAATATTACGTTTGACCGAGAAGCAATGTAAGAATCCCTGACAAAATTTACCACGACATTCAAGTGTCTGACCCAAAGCCAGCGAGACAAATGTGGGTCTACATGGAAAAGTCGGACAAATGAGTAAGCGCTATTGAGCGAAGGCTCACAGAGCACTTAATGCAAGTTTTCTGTTGGACGTACAGTGATGGCTGTAAGCAAGCATTACTTTATTTTTTACTTTCTTCACTTTTCTTTTTCGTTGCAACGGACAGTACTTTCCATATCTAGTGTCTGTACAAACAACCTGCGATACTCTAGTGGTGCAGGTGGGCACCCTAGCTAGCCCTTCTCACACTCTGTAACAAACAAACAACAATAAAACAGGTACAAACTCAGAACTACACAGTGTTACTCACTTTTGCGGTGGCCACAACCTCACGTAACTGCTGGAGAACGTGCTCAGAGACGTCGGTGTGACTGCTTGCCAGATTGGCTACGCACTGGAGCAGAGTGTGGAGGCACGAGTCGCAGACAGAGCCGTCGAAGAGCTCCTCACTGATGTTGCGACACAGCGTGTTCAACAGTGCCAACTGGAGCTGATGCTCAGATATGTCCAATAGTATTTCCACAAGCTTTGTAACGCTCTCACTTCCTGAAAGAGTGAAAGGAAAGAAGTACGGTTTGGCATTACCTGCAAGTACAGATACGCATATGCGATGATACATAATTAATGGTGTATTACTGTGAGCTACTTGAAGGGACCAACAACCATTTTTTATGGTGCCTATACTTTTTAGCGCGAAAGAAATCTTACCCGTCAGTGAGTCTGATCCTGGAATGGGAAAGTGTAAAATGCTGCGAAACATTTGTAATCGCAGTTTTTTCTTTCTGCCGCGAATATCAAGTCGTGTGCTCACAAAGTGCAGTGACCACCCGAGCAGTTCGTGTTCGGGCGAGGTGGTTTACTGCAAATACGTGCACTCTGTGCGCTTGCGCCACGGCTCATGTTGGTTTACTGGCGGCTGCGACGACAGCGCCGCTTTCCACCGTGCTACTCCTTTTACGTCGTAAGCGACATAGAATTGAGTGGGGCTGAATAATAATATACATACTCTAATTTTGAGGACTTGCACTCCCGACAGCATCAGACTACGCGACCACGTTCAGCAAAATGATTGACTCCATATTTCATAATCCAGCTTCAAGGCTCTTCCGCTAGGCCGTGCAACAAGATGATTTTTGAAAATTTAAAGTGCAATTTAAAAATATAAAGACTAGTCACAACATGAAAAAAATGCTGAAATATGTCACTATTTGGGTGCACGTTAAAGAACCCCAGGTGGTCAAAATTTCCAGAGCCCTCCACTATGGTGGTTTTGGGACATTAAACCCCACAAATCAATTAATATTTTCCTTTTTACTACAATTTAATTGCACATTCTCATCAGTTAACGGTCCCTTTAAAGAGATGAAAATTCTTGAACAGGAGGTGTTGCTAGAACCAATGTTTTAACAAGCAATGTTGTCTTCTTTAGCAGAAGGCAAGACCCTTTGTCAAAACATTCGCTTAAGCAACACTCCTTGCTCAAAGAATTTCCTGCCTCTTGAAGCCTCTGTCTCTTGAACTTCTACTCTGTTTATAAACTAGCACTTAGGTGTTACTGCCACTCTTATACTCTATTTGTGCTATCTTAGAATAAATAGACTGTGCACGAACACTGTGGGCAAAAGAAGAAATGTGCCTAAACTATTGGCGCAGTCCAACAATACACCGCACTGTCTTCGCCAGCCTAAGTTGAATCCATATTAGCAAGTACGCAGCTTCGAAGCTGTCAAATGGCTCAAACAAAACCCAAACAGTGGAAGAAATTTCAACGTAATGAAAATAACACGAAACTTGAGCTCATCTACCTGATGCTGTTAACATCCCCACATTAAGTGAAAATCTTTAGAATGACATTATTCACAGACATATAATGACTGTGAATAATGTCATTTTATGCAAGACACCACATGGACTGCAACGAATTCACAATATTTATGCAGACTGGCCATTGTCTACCTGTCCTTTAGCTCCATGCGGTGTGCATTCCTGCACTCATTAAGATTGCGCACATAAATTATTATGGAGAGTTGGCAATACACCTGCGATCCCAGACATCAAAGTCAAATAAAAGTACGATAACACCTTTTCTTTTTTCTTTCTAACAAAAAGAACTTACCAAGTTGGCCAAGCTTCATCAGCGAGCTCAGGCACGACATCATGTCGTCGAGAACCTGCTGTGTCAGGCCCTTCTTCATAGCGCATGCACGCTTGGGTAGCACAAGAAAGGTTTTGGCAAGCCACGCAACGAGTTTTTTCGGGGCATTCTCCCTGCTCAGACCTAGACAGAGACTCCTCAGAAAGCCTGCCAGGCTGGCCATTGAGAGGTGGGACACCATAGGCTTGAATGACCCAGGAATCAGCTGCTGCAGGTCTTGCCGATGTTGAACGTTGTGCTTCATCAGAAAGTTCACAATGTCGATTCCAGCTGAAGTCTGGTCCTCCAGTAGGCGCTTGAGATCATCTGCACGAGAAAGCCACAGCACGTATGCTTCTAAGTAGCACCAGTGTGAGGTGCTAGGCGAACAAACACTCGCCACAGAGACACAGTAGGCTAAATAAATGATTCCTCCTGTTGACATAGTTACTCAGTGCATACTTTTGTTTTTTACTTACTTTTGTTTTTTCGGGCACGCCCCCTTTTCGACTTTCTTTTTTTTTCTCTATTGTGTCCACGCCAAAATGTTTCCAAGGATGTCCTCAAAACATAACTCACCCAACTTTCAACAAACACTCGCCACAGAGACACAGTAGGCTAAATAAATGATTCCTCCTGTTGACATAGTTACTCAGTGCGTAGTTTTTTTGTTTTTTTCAGTTATTGTGTGCACGCCAAAATGTTTCCAAAAATGTCCTCAAAACATAACTCACCCAACTTTCAACAAACACTCGCCACAGAGACACAGTAGGCTAAATAAATGATTCCTCCTGTTGACATAGTTACTCAGTGCGTACTTTTGTTTTTTACTTACTTTTGTTTTTTTGGGCACGCCCCCTTTTCGACTTTCTTTTTTTTCTCTATTGTGTGCACGCCAAAATGTTTCCAAGAATGTCCTCAAAACATAACTCACCCAACTTTCAACAAACACTCGCCACAGAGACACAGTAGGCTAAATAAATGATTCCTCCTGTTGACATAGTTACTCAGTGCGTAGTTTTTTTGTTTTTTTCAGTTATCCTTCTACAATGGCAGAATACTACACTTGCTGAACTTTCTTCTTCCACTGTCTCTCTAAAGGTCATTAAAGAAACTTACCGGACATTGGTAACACTTCAGTGCACACACAATGTGTGAAAAAAAAAAAAAACGAAAGGCGAGAAGACAAAAGGGTGGGCCTTTTGTTTTTTTCGGGCACGCCCCCTTTTTGATTTTCTTTTTTTTCTCTATTGTGTGCACGCCAAAATGTTTCCAAGAATGTCCTCAAAACATAACTCACCCAACTTTCCATACTACTATTACATTAAACTTACCGGGCCTAAAAGCGAACACGTAGACAGGCCGGAACTCGAGGAATCGCAGGAAAGCTTCCAGCAAGGACACATTGTCCTGGCTCTGAAGAATGGAAGAGAGCATGTTCTGAATGACTGCGGCTGAAAGTAGTGGGGCGTCCTGTTCACTTCCTTTAGAAATGCAGCTAAGCCAAGCCCTGAGCAGTGGACCCACGTTCCTCTTGCATCTTGATGGCACTGGCCCAACTGCCTGAAGGAGCACTAGAATATCTGACTCATTGAAGACACAAGTGAAGGCCTGCAGCACCTTGCTGACGTCGATCTCTCTTGGCAATGCACCTGTGGAGATCATCTTCAGCGACTTATCCTTGACGAAGCACAGGGAAGCTTGCAACTCTTTTGGTATGATAGACATGTGCTGGAAAAAAAAGTAAGAAATCAATGCATTCATCAAGGTTTCAAAGGCCTCTTCAAGAGAACAACACATTTTCAATTAAGTAAAGCAATCTGCCCAGTCAATGGGAAATGCCCTTGTAAACAGCTGACTGACCCAGCTACTCTTTTCTCAAGTAAAACCAGCACAGCCCCTCAAGTAAAACCTGCACAGCCCCTCAAGTCACAAATTTCTTGCAGAATGCAATACAAACCGATACACAGAACAATACACAGCAAGTTTTATACATTGCCAATTCGATAATCTTGGATAATTAACGATTTTCCTATCACGTCTTTTTAGAAAATTAATCTGTCAACTATGTTTTGGCAACTGATAAATACACTTGCCACATTCATCGAGTAAATGCCAAGTATTGTATTTTGGGTGTCATACCTTTATTTACCGGGCAAGAATATGCCCCATGAAAAGTTATGTTAACGGCGCACTGTATTAGCACTACCGCAGAATCTCGATGACACAAATTCCAAGGGAGCACGCAAAATATTCGTATCATCCTGAATCCGTATGAACCAAAAACAAGTTAAAGCTGACCATGAAGACGAAGAACATTATGGGGTCAACTACTTCTAGCTAAAAAAAATGCCATGATGTTTTTTCGAACCTCCCTGCTTTCACTGCCTCTCAATAAAGTGCCGTGGTTTCCTCACTCATGCTGCTGGCACCACAGACAAGCTGAATTGAGCTGCTCACCTGCAGCAGTGAATCGTGTGTTCGTACCATCCACAGTGGCTGGAAAAACTGTTTGTATGACACTGAACCACGGCATATTTTATATAATGTAGTCCCTGTGAAACAACCTTAAAATTGACATCATCCCAAAATTTGCATCAACCGTAATCGAATCATCAAGATTCTACAGTATATGGTTATTTATTGTTGCTACAATGCAGCAATGTTAAGCAAAGAGTTTTGATCTTATTTGTAGAACCCCTTTTGCTTGATTGATTCACTGCCTCATACGTGTGTTCATCCATGCGTGTATGCACACGCAAACACATACACGCTGATACACACACACTCGCTTATTTCCTTTGCTTCATGTCAGATTCACGCAGCCCTTTTGCATGTTTGTGTGAACATAAGCAAAAAAATAAGTGTGATGTATTATGACATGCATGACTGTTGGACTGTTGAGCTTAAGGATGCTACTAAACCATATGAATAGAGTGCGAGCGTATAAAGTTCACACACTAAGTGGACAAGCGTATCAATTGATGAAGGTATTGGCAACACTCCTTTGTAGATCTAGAACACTATGGCACTTTCCAATGTAGTACTTTAAATGTCCACCAGAAGGACTCTGGTTAGGGCTAGCTGGTCATACACGTTGAAGCAAAATACGAAACAGCGCTTAACACACAAAATGAAAGAAAGAACTGACACACATGACACGTTGAAGCAAAAGCCTGCTACTGAGCAACAAAAATGCTTGACAATGCATTCCGCCACATTGACAAACTTGAATGTGACTGACAGGCTAGCCAGTCCAAATTCAAAGCTTTCACACGCACCTGCATAACGTGGTTGATGGTGTCGAGTAGGAAGAATGAGTAGTTGCATGCGAGAGGATACAGGCAATCTTGTGCATCGCGGAGATAAGCAGAGAGGGTCATGTCATCGCGAAGCAGCGCATCAAGCAACACACCAGGCTCTTCCTTCTCTGTCCTCAGTTCAACGGCACGTTCAAAAACATCCTTTAGGACTTGGAGCAGAGCAAAAAATTCGTGTGCAACCTAGAAAAAAATGAAGAAGTGACCGCGAGTTCTTCTTAGCACGAAGTTGCATAAAAAAGAAGAGAAGAGAGGAACACACAAAATAGTTAGTCTGAAAAGTATAAGACAGAAATTACTCCAATAATAGACAGTTCAAGCTATAGTTATTGTGGATCAGTTTATGCCATAATCATTATGCTCATAATCATATAGTGGTTTTGGGACGTTAAACCCCACATATCAATCAATCAATCAATCAGTTTATGCCATGCAACATGAGAGCCGATGAATTCGTACTTGAACGTGCGAGAGACATCACCGAAAACTGAACCTTTAATGGCAACTTGGTCTGTCCACAACAGTTTTTTCTTCTTCCAAATTTCATGTTGGATGTAAGTATCATAAAGATGTAATAACATAGACAACATACTAGACTGCTCATTATGAAGATACAGAAGACTCTCGTTAAACAGAACCTTAAAAGACCAAGAAAGTGCATTCCACTTAACAGGAGTATCATTTACTAAGAGCTTAACAACCATGAAGAATCCAAGCATGAAACCAATTACATTAGACATAGTCATTTTGTTTAAGCAGCAGTTTGGATCAAGAAATTCCCGTTTAGTGTGAGTCTACTATAGTTCAACTTAGCCAATGTTATCAGAAAAACGAACTTGAGGAGGTTTACTAATAGAGACTTGAATGTTGCACAGCAAAGCACCCTTTTCTTTTGCCTTTGAGATAAATATGATATATATGAATCATTTAAATTCTTTTCTATGTATCCTAATGCCTTTGAAAATATGTGTTTGTAACAGCGATCATAGTAAAGGACAATTTGTTGTTTCAATGCGTCGTCCCCTTGAGATAAAGCGTGAAAAGGCTCGTCTAGCTAACCTCTGCACATTTTTACAATGTTTCTACAGTACCTTGGTTACCACCAGCCATGCAAGGTGCCACCATACTTTGGGGTCACTGGGAATGCCACTCCCGAATTGTTCGTCACTGTGCAACAGGATGAACATACAATGCACCAAAGCACTCAAACCTTAATGTAACGAACCCAGATATTAAAAGTTATTTACCTGTAAGATGTAACATTGTTATAATGAGGTTTGTGTGCATGTGTGTGTTTATATATGTTTGTGCTGCCCTTGGGGTAGTGTTTTCCAATACTAAGTTCATATGAGTCACTTACATGCTTCATTTCGAAGAGTTTCCGTGCATAGAGCATCAATTGGTAAAACAGGCTTCTGCATTCATTGAGGCTGCAAGACGTTAGGTCTACAGTACTTCGCACTGTCGAAGACGCCATCTTCTTTGCTCGCTGCGGAGCGTAGAGAATATCTAGAAAGACGCGCTCCAGTTGTTGCTCCGAATCAGAAAAGAATTCCTTCACCCCCTCTTCCTTCATTGGCCTCTGTCAGCAAAACAGAACAAAACAGAACATGTAAAGAGCAACAAACTAGAACATGATATTTAAATACCATATTTACCGGAATGTAACTCCCGCCCGGTTACTTCTGATTCCCACAAAATGGGTTGGAAAATTTGCAGCATATTATGATAGGAGAAAAAAAGACTACGCTATGTTCGCGACAGTGACAACAACTAATAGCTGCTGACCCGCAGGTCGCACGTTCGAATCCCGGCTGCGGCGGCTGCATTTCCGATGGAGGCGGAAATGTTGTAAGCCCGTGCGCTCAGATTTGGGTGCACGTTAAAGAACCCCAGGTGGTTGAAATTGCCGGAGCCCTCAACTACGGCGTCTCTCATGATCATATGATGGTTTTGGGATGTTAAACACCCCATATCAACAACAACTGTTAGAGCCGTCAGTGGCGATATTGGAGACAGAGGATGTGCTCTTGGAAGCTGCTGAAGGTTAATTTCTTGCTCGATGCCTGGTGTACCTGGTATTTGTAACCAGTAATGAGCAAATCACATGTGGCTATAGATACAAAATCTCATTAAGGAAGCACTATAGGTAGTGACAACAATAGGGGTGTGCTAATAGTGAATTTTTTAACCGTATCAAATACACATCGAATAGCGATGATATTGAATTGATTACAAATCAAATATTGTTGGAATAGTTTTTGGATATTAAGGCAGCCATTTTCAAAGCATTCCTAGAATGGTAAGGTAACGATTTACGAAACAGCCCAAGAATTTAGCATTTTATTCTAAACAATTACTCACAAGCTCTAACAAAGGAGTATACGATTACTTTTAACTTATAAAAATAAGACACTATAATTATGTAAACTGCGGCAAGTTCATATACAGCAGCAACTAGAGCCTTAACATTCTTGGAAATATTTTTGAACTGCAGGTGTCAAGGTGGCACTTCGGCACTTCGTCAACAGCTTTTAGGTGAACTGACATAGAAATATTAAACAATACTCATAAGTCAAGATCAACATGAATGTTATGATAAAAATGACAGACTAATGACTTACACTTCGGCGATAGTGACATTTCGAGCAAAAATGCCTTTGTCCTGTAATCAACACAGAGTCGACAGTACCGTAACACTCTGGGCTACATGCATCTCTGGTGTAATGCGATGAATAAATTAAATAACATCACCCTTTTCTGTTCTAATGTTTTGTTCAATCGCAACTTTTTCTGTCAGAGATTATTACATATTCGAAAAACATTGAAAAGATATTCAGCATTTCTATTATGCACAACTTGATTCAATTACTGAATCATTGAGAACAATATTCAATTTGTTATTAAAATTTTCTGATGTTCGCAGACCCCTAGGCAACATGCACGACATGGTGCAGCAAATCGACAACAAGAATAGGCCTCCCTTCCCCCGAAAGAATTCCTGGCAATAGGGCAGGCATGAGGGCATGCTGAGGTGCAGAGAAGTTCTTAAGAAGTGCACCCGTTTTGCTTCATGTGGATAGGAGGTTCTAACTGCAGCAGCTGGGGTTTGTCCGTTATGTGTGCTAGAGTCGAGAGAAACGAGTCTACATTCTCTGCGTCACAGAGCAAGCAAATTGCACTTGAGTAGGCTGTTTGTACAAGTGACTATCCACCAATAGACGGGCTGACTGCATCGCAGAAAAGCTAGCTCAACAATTACAAAAAGGCTTCCATTGTTGCGCGGATTAGGCTGTCACTCACCGTCACTGGCAAAGTGTTCGATGACCAGATGGAGACATAGCTGAGGAGTAACTTTGAAAGTGAGTTCGAATTTCTGTGCAGGAAGTTGCAGAAAACCAGAGGGCGCTGCTGGTGATGCAAGATGGCCTTGATCACAGCGTAGACGTAGCTCTTGTGCACTGCGGTTGGAAAATCGAGTGAATTATCTAATTACTATATTAACAATTACCAAAACCACTCACGACATCCACGAAGCTCTTGCTTTGCTAAACTGATAAACTCGTTATCTGTTAAAGGAGGATGAGAGACTCACTTGTTCCAAGATGTTTAATAAAGCAGTATACAAAGTACATAATCACGCAACCATAAGAAATTAAAACACAAGCATTGGTTACCATGTTTGTGCAGTGTTGTGTTTTTTATCTGCAGCTTCATCAAATGCCATGGCCCTCCAAATGGCCCATCAGAACATATTAAGCACTTCAAGTTTCAAGTTTTCAACTTTTATTATTTCCAAAAACAAGGTACAAAATCTACGATATACAGACGAGGGTCCCTGAGCCAGAGACTTTAGTGGGACCCTCGGTTTGTCGATACAAATCGACGGTAAAATTTATACAGAGCAACAGAAAATTCTTACAATATACGGACATCAAAATACACTTTTACATCACAAATCAAGCCAAAACACGCAACATGGTATAAAAATAACCGAGAACAAACGAGTCCATGCAGTTGTTCTGAAGTTGAAAATTATTTATGATCAACGAAGTTTTGACATATAAGTTCGCTTTAGCCTGATTGGTGGGCCTTCTAGAAGAACCATGTGGTTTGAAAAGTAGTCCTTTAAATTATAAATTATAGTAATGACCTGTAGCAATTACAATGCAGAGTCTAGTTTTATTTTTCTTCCAAATTAAGATTATTGAAGATTGTTTGCAGATATGATAAATTCAATTAGTAAATCACAAGCACCCAAAGAAAATGAGAAAAAGAGCAAAATTAAGTATCACAAGCACGCATAAAAAAAAAGGAGAAAAATGCAAGAGTGAGAAAATTGTAAAGAGTAATCAAAACTAAACATTAGGATCATCACTCCATTGGGGTCATATCAAATCAAGTTAATCATGGAACTTCAAGTGGCAAAACTACACTATAGTAATAAGCCACGTCGTCGTTGGAAACGCCGCGATAACTTCAATCACCTGGGGCTTTTAATGTGCATTTTCAATAAATATAAGTGGGTGCTTTTTCATGTTGCCTGCACGTAAACATGCCTCCATTGAAGTGCAATCAGATTTGCAGTATGGTACAGATCCACTGAAAACGGGAAGACAAAAAGCATAACGCTCACTGCTGCTAAAACTTCCCAAAAGCTAAAAGAAAAAAAAAGAGATATGTAACAGAAACAACTTTGGAAATCCCTAGAAATGGATCTACCACCCCTTCAGGGTCAATGACGTAGATGTACAGTATGATACACTGTTAAAGCAAACACTCGAATAAATGCCATCAATATTGCTGGCCCTCTAGCAGCAAGTAGATAAATAAACAATCTTCTTGCACGCCACTAATCTGTCAAGAAAAATCAGACCTTTCTACCACCGATAGTCTTATGAAAATCAAAGCCTCTATGCTACTGTCAGATAGAGACATCTAAACATGCTGTTATTGAAGGTGCTCCCTTTAACAGTGGACGCATCTGTACATCCTTTATGAACACCTTCAAAACGGTCAATGATTACATCATCGCTTGTATGTTTAAAAAGCGCATCTTTTTAAATAATTTCTCTTACTTGGCCTGTGCTGCCGCAGTGTGGGAATACATGAAAATTGTTCCTTGCGCCCATGTCTCTCCAGGTTGTTTGTTTGTTTTTAATGCTTTACAACAGCGGCACGCCAGCTAGTTTTATTTCTGTCTTTCGGGTCGTTCCCACTACTCCCATCCACAAAATTGATGGTTGTCTGATTTATAAAATCCTAAAGGGTGACCATATTGTTACTCTCCGATTATTCCTGCCCGGGGCACCATCATGCCTGTTGCCATGCAGGCGCTGACCGACACAAACGACGCCACTGTGGGTGCATTTTTCGTTTGCAAGATTTGCAAAAAAAACTCCTGCCTCGTTGGCGATAAGACCAAGGACTATAATTTCTCTGACTTGTTTTGTACCCATGCCACATGGGCATAAAAAATTACATTCGGTAGCGAACCATTAAGTTCCCGAATGACTTTTTTTTTTTCGGCGGCGCTGCTACACGTCCAAAGGGAATAACATTTGACTTGATGTCAATAGCAGCACCTTCCTAGTGAGCAGCAATAAAAAAAATGAACAAGCGTTTACAAGCTTCATTCACATCAGATAATAAATAAATGTATAAATAAGCATATTACACTGCCGTTAGATTTTGTTCATTACTTCGTTTCACAACCTTGCGACCGACCATGTAGCAATTAAGCCAAAGGTAGTCAGATCCGCAGTGTAAAAAGAAAATGGCGCCTGTTGCATTTATTTTACAGCATTTACCAGCTGAAGATAAGTTTTTAAGCACTTGTTTAAGTGATTAGCGAAAATAAAATACGCGAAAGGTTTACTTCCAGTCAAATCAAACGTCATTTTATACAGTTACTTTATCAGCTGTGCCGTCGAGAGCACTCATTGCTCAGACGAATGAGTGCTGGCAATGGCATTAGGTGACAAATGGTATTTGCGCAAATGCCATTTCGTTCATCCGTCTGGCACCGCGCGAATGACATTCAATCTGAAGGCATAAGGAAGTAAATGCCATTTTCTCTGCCCGTGTGGCACGGGTATTAGCCTTGTGGATGTGCGCACGCAACCATAGAGTTTTCTTTAGTGTGCTCACTTGCAGAGTTCCTCGCACTACGGAAGTGCACGCTGGTTTCTCTGATGCGAGTGAATTTAGTGGCAATTCTTTCTAATCACCGCTCGTCTGCCAAGTCAGAATCGAACTATTTCGATGGCAGCCAGTCATATGAGGACTTACGTGTTCACACCTAAATGTTTTTGAGTAAGCACCATTTTAAAAGCTTGCACGACGAGACGAGGCTGATTTCATCACAGGTGATTGTTCTTACTTCGTGTTTACACTTGATGCTATTTCGTGCACTTATTATTGTATGCCTGTGAACTACACAGATGCTTGATGCAACGAATGTATTCTTTACATATATATATATATATAAAATATATATTTACTGAAGAAATTTTTCCAATGGGCCAAACGTACTTGGTAAGAGGAGAAACACAACTTAACGGTTGTCTTAGTTTTATTACCAACGTTTTCGACCGGTGGACCGGTCTTCGTCCGTGTTTGCAAACAACGAAGACCGGTCTACCGGTCAAAACCGTTGGTAATAAAATTAAGACAAGCTCCAAATTGTGTTTCTTCTCTTCTATGTATGTATATATATATATATATTGTTACGGTTGAATTAAAGGATAGGTGGATTTATTTACAGGGTGAGGATGAAGTTCGGCAGTCGCGGTAAAGATGGAGTCCTCACTCAGGCCACACCAGACAACGTCGTCTTCCTCTTCCATCTCCCCGGCACATACTACAGCCCGGCTCATACCGTAGCAATCCCCCGTTCACAGACGAAGCCCGCTGGGCGAGTTTACCTATGTCACTGGAGGGATGAAACTTCTTGAGGCGAGCCACGTGCACCAACTGCGTTCGATTTGACCGACGAGAAGGTGTCGTCAAGCGTGCCACAACGTACTTCAAATCAGTCAAGCGATCTACAATGACGTACTGGCCTGTGTACTGCGGTAAAAACTTCTGACATAAACCAGGTTTTCATTGGGGGGTCCACAACCACACGAATTCACCTTTGCGGAATGAAATGGCATCATGGCATTGATCGTATCGTTGCTTGGAGCAATCTTGTGATGCCAGTGTTCGCAAGCGAGCAATTTGGCGGGCTTCTTCAGCCCAGCACATTGTTTCGGCCATGGACTCGTCGGTATGGAGCTTAAATGGGAGGATTGTATCGAGGGAGCTGCGTGGTGATCGAGCGTAGAGCAGGTAGAAGGGCGTGAAGTCCGTGGTCTCGTGCTTCGCTGTATTGTATGCATAAGTAATAAATGGCAAGGTATCATCCCAGTATTTGTGATTGGATGCGACATACATTGCGAGCATGTTAGTAAGAGTTCGATTGGCGCGTTCTACAAGACCATTTGTCTGGGGATGGTATGGTGTCGAATGTCTGAACTGTGAAGTGCAGAGGCGAAGCAATTCTTCCACAGCGTCCGCAATGAATTGGCGACCACGGTCACTAATGATTACTTGAGGTGGACCATGGCGAAGAACAACGGAGCGTAACAAAAAGGCATTCGGGGCCAGTAAAAACGCTGCTGCACTCGATGCAGTGTGCGAATGAACCCAAGGTGTCCTGACGTTGGATCATCGTGCATAGTACAGAGAATGTCGCATCGAAGACTTTGAGGTACAACCAGTAAATAACGTGCACCGGTTGCTGAGTAATTCGTTTTGCACAACAGTCCATCACTGACCTTAGAGCGAACTGAGGAAAGCGACCACTGCCTTTGAGATTCCGAGGGTCAACGAACAATGGGTCTAAAGATAAATCATTCAATTGTTTTCGTTTGAAGATATTGGCATCAGGAAACGTGTGAGAGACCGCAGCAAAACAGATGTCAAGGGTATCTGCACTGTCTTCCGTCGTGGTCATGGGTAGGCAAGAAAGGCAATCTGAGTCCGAATGACGTCATCCACTTCTGTACGAAATGCTGAAGTCAAATCTTGAAGACATAAAGCCCATCGAGCAAGGCGGCGACTTCGTCGTAGATCAGGCGCTTGAAGCGCCGTGTTGCTTGGTTGATTAGCCAGCTCCTCCACCACAAAACTGTTACGGTTGAATTTAAGGATAGGTGGATTTATTTACAGGGTGAGGATGAAGTTCCGCAGTAGCGGTAAAGATGAAGTTCTCAGGCCGCACCAGACAATGTCGTCTTCCTCTTCTACCTCCCCGGCACATACTACAGCCCGGCTCATACCGTAGCAATATATATAGGCAGGCATGGTGGTTGAGTGGCCGTAGCGTTGCATATAGTTCAGTAGATCCTCCGTGAGTGGTCACAACGTGGTTTATTTCGACGTTTCGGCCTAGAGTCTGGCCTTCATCAGGATTAAA